TGACCAAGTTCGGCATGTCATCCAAGCTGGGCTACATCTACTACGAGGAGGACGCCCAGCAGCAGCTCCACAAGCCCTTCTCCGAGGACACCGCCCGCACAATCGACCTCGAGGTGCGCCGCATTGTCGACGAGGCATACAAGCAGTGCGTTAAGCTCTTGACCGAGAAGAAGGCTGAAGTAGGCATCGTTGCTGAGGAACTCCTGTCCAAGGAGGTCCTTGGCCGTGACGACCTTATCCGCCTCCTTGGCCCCCGCCCTTACCCCGACTCCGGTGAATTCTCCAAGTATTTCGATGGTAAGGGTGGTGCGACCATTGCTCCCCCCGACAACCAGGGCCCCGAACAAACCTCTGGTAAGGATGGCCGGGACGAGACTCCTCTCCCTCCTGCATAAATTGGGAGAGAGTTGTTTCCGTACCTGTGCTTTGGTTTGCTTCGTGTTTTCTGGGAGGAATGATATCACTGTGGCCTCTTCTTTTTCTGTATTTATGGATTGCATCCTCTTTTTGTCTCCCCTCTCATCATCTTCTCTCATTCTCTACCCTCCTCCCATAACACGTTTCCTCCTACCGCCCTATCGCGCTGAATATGATCTTTTCTTTTTTTTCCTCTCGTTTGTTGATCCCTCCATCTCCATGTTCATCTAGATAGGTATTAAGTACTACAGTACTAAGTGTATAATAGGGAGTTTTGTTGAAGCCTGTCTTAGTTTGGATATTTTTCTTTCCCCATAGCATCTTTGTCCGATTCGTAAGTTGTAAGCTGGCCCGGCTGTCGATATAGTGTTCCATCATGCGAGTTTGTAATAAAAAGCTTGGTCGAATTTGAACAGATTAAAAAGATATTACCATTTGTGATGGTTTTAGGAAAAAGTAAAAATTAAACTCAGAACCCGCCTTTCAATATACACGCTCCGCTCCGTCTTCGACTTGTATGTTATCCAAAATCCAACCTAGTTGTCTTTCTTGCTGGCGTGCTTAGTCTTCTTCGCCTCGACAGAAAAGCGAGGAAGGAACCGACCAACGCGAGCCTGGTAGTCACTGTACTCGGGGTACTTGCCCGCGCTGATAGTCTCAGTAAGACGGGTGCTTCCCTGGAAGATGGCAAGGTAGCCTAAGACACCCAGACCGGCCCAGTAGAAGTATGTCCCAGTCTTGTAGCAAGACCACGCGTACAGAGTCACCCAAACGGCTTGCTCGGCGACAAAGTTGGGGTGCCGGGACCAAGACCAGAGACCGCTGACAACAAAGCCACGCTCGAGATCCTCAGCGTTGAACTGGTCTTTGTAGGCACCGGGGATGCGCGCATTAGTCTGGTATTCCTTCTTAGCAGTTTGGAAGTTCCACTGCTGCTGATCGGCGAAGAATTCAATGACAATGAAGAAGAATACGGCGCGGGAGAAGGCCAAGTCGGTGAGGCTGAAGGTCTCGCTGCCCTGGTTGTACGCCAGAATGACAAAGATGTAGGTGGGAGCGGTAATGAGGAGAAGCAACAGCGACTGGGCCACAGCAATGAAGCTGAAGTTGAAGATCATGAAAAGGAAGCCGTTGTTCACTCTGGAGCGCACGATCTGCCAGCGGTAATCCTCCGAGCCGATCGAGTATCCTCCTTTGCGCCAGTAGTTGAAAGTCAAGCGGGCCTATCGTAAGATTCGGGTTAGCGCATACCAATACAAGGATGGAAAGCCTGCTTACACTCCAGACCACGCTGATGATGGCGATCGTATCCAGAGAAGACGTTTGGATGCCCGACAAACGGGCCCAAACGGCGAAATGCACGTTGTACAACGCGGGGAGAATGCTCCAAAACCGGTCCACCTGCGAATAGTTTCGGTTGATCTCGGCGGCGATGAAGAAAATAGTAGCAAGGACTCCACACAAAGCAACCGCGGAGACCAGGGGGTTGGTGGCGAGGTAGACAGCTTTCAGATTATCCACATCCCGGCCAGCTTCGCGCAAGCTTTCGGGAAGCCATCGCAGCTGTTCCAGGTAGGGGAGAACTGTGAGTCGAAAGGAAGTGTAGTCCGCGAGGGACTCCACCCGGGGAAGTGGTAAAGATGCCATGCCCAAGAATATTCTAAGAATATTGGAAACAAAAGCAAACAAACAGAGAAGAGAAAGATGGGGAGAGTAATGTTTGGATTACCTCATCGGGATTAGCTTCGAATCGGCTTTGCTTACATAGTTTGAGTCGCCTCAGGCAGCCCACGCGCGTCTTTCCTAAGATGTTGACGGGACTCTCGCAGTATGAACTTCATGTGATCCTTCGGGCTCATCATGGCTCGCAAAATCCTCTGCGTGGCAGAGAAGCCTGCCATTGCTCGCGCAGTGGCCACTCATCTTTCGGGTGGTTCATTTCAAACAGTAAGTCTCCTCAAGAGTTCAAGGTAGCAGAGGCTAAGATCAAGGATAGCATGCAATTCGTGGGAATCAGTATGTGAAAAACTACGAATTTGACTTCAACTTCGGCGGTGCTTGGGGCAACTGCTCGGTCACCATGACCAGTGTGTTGGGCCACCTCACTGGCTTGGACTTTGACCGCCAGTACAAAGGCTGGCTTTCCTGTCCTCCAGGGTCACTTTTTGAGGCCCCTGTGCAGGAGGCTGTTGACAAGGTGGGAGATCTCTGGTTGTCTCAATTGAGCAGTGCTAACGTCTTCAGTAGGATAAGCTACCAATCGCAGAAAACATTCGCAACCAAGCCAGGTACTCCAAGGCACTGTTCATCTGGACTGATTGTGATCGTGAAGGCGAACACATCGGTTCTGAAGTCCGTAACCAGGCGAAGGCAGGCAATGCTCGCATTGAAATCAAGCGAGCCAAGTTCAGTAACACAGAAAGCGCGTGAGTCGGAACTTTGACGTTTTCATCAAGCTCAATACTGATCTCGCCATAGCCATGTGCGTCGGGCTGCTCTACAACCAGTCGACCTCGATGAATATCAAGCAAATGCTGTAGCTGCCAGAATCGAGCTTGATCTTCGAATTGGTGCTGCATTCACACGTCTCCAAACCCTGCAATTACAGACTGTAGTTGCTGCCTTGAAAGAAAAGGTTATCAGCTACGGTAAGTTGGGTTCAAAAAAAATATAACATTGGCACAGCTAATCATTAACAGGGTCATGTCAATTTCCTACTTTGGGGTTTGTTGTCGACCGATACTTGAGAGTGCAAAACTTCAAACCAGAGACGTTTTGGGGAATCAAGGTCATTATTTCCCGTGAAGGGAAAAAGGTCAATTTTCTCTGGAAGCGTGTGCATCTATTTGACCGAGCAGTTGTGACAATGATGCTGGAACGTTGTTTGGTTGCAAAACAAGCCAAAGTCACAAAAGTGAATCAGAAGCCTACAAGCAAATGGCGGCCACTACCCTTGACAACTGTTGACCTACAGATGATGGGCTCTCGGTTCCTTCGGTTGGACAGTCAGACTATTATGAAAGTATGTCAGATACCGTCAAAGCTGAAAATTAGCTCGCTGACGGGCTTAACAGGTTGCGGAAGCGCTTTACACCAAAGGATACATCAGCTACCCCAGAACTGAAACAGATCAGTTTGACAAAGCGATTGACCTCAAGAAGCTAGTTGAGAAGCAATATCCCGACAGCTCATGGGGGCAATACGCTAAGGAGTAAGTAATTACTATGTTTCTCTCTGTGTTTATGGCTAACAACACTGCGCAGCCTCGTCGATGGCAAATTCAGGACTCCTCGCTGGGGTCGACACAATGATAAGGCCCATCCGCCCATCCACCCAGTGAGCTGGGTTTCACCAAATCAACTGAATGCCAACGAAAAGAAGGTCTACGAATTTGTAGTCCGTCGGTTCCTTGCCTGTTGCTCTGACGATGCCAAGGGCCAGAGCACGGAAATTGAGATCCAATATGGGGAGGAAATGTTCCACGCCAACGGTCTGATGGTGTTGGAGAGAAACTACTTGGATGTATATGTTTACGACAAGTGGGAGAGCAGCCAACAGCTGCCAAACTTCGAGCGGGGCGAGCTCTTTGAGCCCACAGAAGCCAACATCTTCGAAGGCAAGACTACGGCTCCGAACTATCTGACCGAACCTGAGCTCATTGGTTTGATGGATGCAAATGGAATTGGTACGGATGCTACGATGGCAGAACATATCGCCAAGATCAAAGAACGTGAATACGTCGCCACAAATCAACGAGGCAGTGGCCGCAGCTCAGTGCAAGAACTTATTCCAACCCGTTTGGGTATTGCCCTCGTGGAGGGCTATGATAACGTTGTCACAGGCCTCCCGAATAGCGTGTCTCTCAGTAAGCCGTTTCTTCGCAAGGAGATGGAATTGCGGATGCTTGAGATCTGCTCGGGTACCAAAACGCGACAGGAGGTTGTGCAGCAGAGTCTTGACATGTACCGGGAAGTTTTCATCCATACCCAAAGGCGCATCAATATGTTGAAGACTGCCTGCCGGAAATACCTCGTTGAAGAGGCTGCATCATGACTTTAACAAATTATGATTTACCTTAATTGCTTTGAATGATACCAACAATAGACTACCTCGTCCCCCCAGGTGTTTCTTTGCTGTGCTTAAGGAACCGAGGTACTCAACTTGATATGGTACTGCAGCATCATTGTATATTCTACGACTCTATTTAATATAGATATTATCTACCGGTGTAGAAGTACTAAATTGAGTATCAAACAGGGTATACAAGCCAATGATATACTTTATTAAAAGGACGTTAAATTCTTGTTAAATGCTCTATCAAATTATTCATTAAACACTACGTTATAAGTCATTTCAAATAATACTCAGTTTCAACTTAGTTCAACGTTAATTTCATGTAATGACCCTCTCATATGCAGATGGGAAAAAAGGTCTATAATCATTTCTGACCCTTAAAGTATGCACCGTAGATCTCAATTCCATCATTCCATCAATATCAGCCCCTTTTTTCATCCATTACTCAAATTCATTTGATTGAGCGCTATGGGAATTTGAAGCTAATCTCAGAAGGACTCTTCCAAGCTTTAATCCGCTGTGTCGGGCGAGATCGCGTGCCCATTTGACCCCCCTGTGGCATTTCGCACCGCATCATTCATGAATTGCATCTCCTGCAGGATCTGAGGAACGATTTGGACAAGGTTTTCCATGTCATCGCCAATCTCCTCCAGTCTTTGGTCAATGACCTGCTGATTTGTCCTCTGGTTGGCTCCTGTAATATGGGCGAAGTACTTGAATTGGTCCTCACATTTGAACGCAAAGGCACCAAAGACATCCTTCACTTGAGTGAATTCCATTCGGAACCTTGCTATATCCGTTTGGAGTTGTTCGCACACTTCAAGGATGGTACTTTTCAGTAGCTTGTGAAGCCTCTGGAAGTCGCTGTTGATTGACTTGTAAAGACCTTCGCCCAGAACCAGCTTCATGTCGGCAATAGAGTGCTTGGTTTGAGTTGTGTTCAGCAGCACCAAGAACTGTCCCGCAACAAGGAAAACAAATGCAATGGTGGCAAGGAGGAAATTGCGTTCGTTTGTTTCTTTAGCGAGAGTAGCTTCCCTTTCGACTTTCTCCAGCAGTTGCTGCAACAAGTAATCGGTCATCTGGTTTGAGATGGTTGTGACAAGTGGGCAGTAGGTCGGAGCTGCCACAGGTGGAGTGTTGAGATGAAAGGACTTTTCTTCGGTATCTTTGCGCAAAATGTACATATTATGTTTGGTTTCTTCCAGCGCAATCAGGTGTCGGAGTTGTTGGTCTTCGCTTGAAATGGCATCATCCTTAGTGAAAACGTAAGGACGAAGTCGGCGGGATCCGTAAATTGCTCCCACGACCTCGAGGGAGCCAATACTGCGCATGAGGTAGGAGTTTGAGAGTGAAATTGGAGTTAGAGGCACCGATTGCCACAGACCAAGGCCATTCAGGCCGGCGAACATGGTCCCCAGCAACCAGAATTCTAGCATTTTACCGATACTGACGTGTGGGATATTGAATGCTTTCAAGGTTTTGGATTTTGGATAACTTCTCGAGGATCTTCAGGGAAAGCGTGGAAATTTCCACATGTTTCTCTGTGGCTTGAGCTTTTTATATACCGGAACAATGCTTCTTATTCACTTGATTGGGTAAAAAACAATAAAACCGCATGGGTTTGTTCAGAACAAATATGAATGAGCAGCGCTCCCGCGGGCCTAAGCCTGAATAACTTTCAATCGTGTATTTTCCATATCGATTGTGTTATCATTATTCTTATTGGCTGTATGGCTGCATGGCTGCATTGTTTCGTGAATGATTCCTTTGTCGTCTTTGTTGGAAGACTGACCATTGTGCACATGAAAGAGGGATCATTTATGGATAAAAGTTTTTGAAGAGCTTTCTGCTGAGACCCTTATTCAAAAACAAGTTCTAATTATATTGAAATCCTCGGATAAAATTAGCTAGCCAACAAATAGCCCGGAAGGGAGTACCAGTAAATCCTAGTAGAAATGTCCGAAATTCCCGGAGAACATCGCCGAGCCATTTAACTAACAAAAGGTTCAAAGAGACATGCCCCGGGAATTGTTGCTGAGTTTTCAAGGGGCATGTGTCTCAACTTATTAATAGTGATTTCAATCGATACTACCACTGGAGAGAGGTGGAAGGAGGGACTGTCAGGCAAGGAAAACATACAAGACACAAAAAGAAAAAGAGATTGGAGTATTATGCCAACAAGAAAGCTACAGCCAATTTACATATATTAAGTTCCTGGTCAGTATTTATCCACACGCGACATAACGGCAATCATTTGCGCCCAATCTGGTGAGGAGTTTGTGCAACCAGTTCTCGCAAGTAAATAGCCAGTTTGCGCCTCACATTTTACCCATGGCTATTTCCGCATGGGTACTCTTGTGCTATTACACTTAAATATCTCACCTAATGTCCAATTTTCTTTTTTGGGGGTTCAGATAACCTTGTAAGGCATGGCCCCATAACGGGAGGCGTCGGTGGATCAAGCCACTTATTATTCTCCGGCGGCTCTTCGTAAAGTATAAGGTGGTTTAACAGGATTTCATTCCGTCAGTGGCGCCCTTCATATAACGATGTATATGAGATGTATCCCGAGTCGATTTCCCCGCACTATTCAAAGTATGATGACGTACACAGCCCTAACTTTCCCCCCATGATAGGCCCGCCCGGTGATAATCATTCCTTGGACGCCTTGTCTTGAAGTTTTATTGCTTCTATTGCTTGATTTGCTCGTCTGGTCAATGCAGCCTAAAATTCTATTTCTTATACTTTGACGATTGCCCTAGTATCATTGGTGTCCGTTCGCGTGGTGGTCCACTAACTCCGCATTAAGGAATCTTCCCATGACAGGGGAGTATATACCTTGCCTCTATTGGAAAAGCCGGCTCTTCCTTGCCGGCTCATCGGCTCGTCCGGCAACTATCTTCCCAGTGGCACGAAGGTCAATGATCCAATAATTTCATTGAGTAGGCGCCATTTTTGTCATACTGGCTGTCCTCGGCCGTGTCAATCCAACCATGTTACATGCACATAGATGCGTCTCCTTGACTTTCAAGCGGCCTATCCCGCATGCTAGCCCACTAGCGTATATGATAACTGGGGGTAAATGAGACATTTTTGCTCAACAGTCTCCATAAAAGCATGCCTGCCCTCTTCCAATCCCCACTTTTGTGATCTAACAGCTATCTTTTCACGTTCATGTCCTGAGTCGTGGATGACTGGTGGATTGGTTAAGCATCAAGGTAAGGCAACGTATCTGCAAGTGTTTGATCTAGGCAAAGATATCATGTTCCTGGCTTACTTGGCTCTCCAATATCGTTAGTAGATCGCAACACATACGCAACCCATTTATCTTATACTACGAATACTGCCCTTACCTTCGACTTTAAGCAAAAATGAAGGAAGAAGAGATCGCCGATCCGACTACGGAGAAGGATGAGCGCGTGGAGACTCCAACGTACGCACACAGTGAAGAAAAGATAGAGGTGCTCCCCGATGTGGAGGATCGCTCCCGTGGTCACCTCAATGCTGTGTTCGAAAACCCTCTAGCCGGCATCCCTCGCGAGCAACTCTTCAAAGATGTCGCAGAGTTCTGCCATAAGTATGACCTAATGGACCATGTCGAGACTTTCAAGAAAGGCGCTCTTATATCGCAAGACCCTGCAAAAGCAACCAGCCTTCCAGAATTGACAGATGACGAGAGAGTGGCTCTCGAGCGTGAACATACTCACAAGTGGTCGCAGCCATGGCAGCTTTACTTCCTTGCCTGTATGTCCTCAAGATACAACTACCCATTGACAGAGCTAATTTTTCAACCTCAAGCCATGTGCTCTCTTGCTGCTGCCGTCCAAGGTATGGACGAAACAGTTAACAACGGTGCACAGGCTATCTATATGAAACCAGATGTATGTGCTTCCGTATACATTCAAACTGCCCGGCTGATTAGAATACCCCAGCAACTCAACATCACTACGGCAAATATTCAAGGCCTCGTTGTAGGTGCCCCATACCTAGCTTGCGCAATCCTCGGTTGCTGGCTTACCGAGCCTCTAAACCGCTACTTCGCCCGACGCGGTACGATCTTCATTTCATGCTTTATTGCAGCTGTAGCTTCGGTTTGGGAAGGTGTCTGTAACACCTGGGTCAATCTCTTCATTGCCCGCTTTGTTCTCGGATTGGGTATTGGTTCGAAATCAAGTACCGTACCAGTATATGCCGCAGGTGAGTGTTATAGCTTGGTCAAATACTTCTACAATCCCTAACACAAAGCTCTACAGAATGCTCACCAGCTCCAATCAGAGGAGCCCTCGTCATGATGTGGCAGATGTGGACAGCCTTTGGTATCATGCTCGGTAACATAATGGGCGTTGCATTCATGAGCCTAAGCCCTGACCTCAGCTGGCGCCTTATGCTAGGATCCACAGTCGTGCTACCACTAATCGTTTGCGCTCAAGTCTACATCTGCCCTGAATCTCCAAGATGGCTGATTCAGCATGGTAAGATTGAGAAGGCTTACACCAACTTCCGCATCCTCAGGCCCACAGACATCCAGGCGGCTAGAGATCTGTATTACGCACATGCAGGTGTTGAACTCGAACGCAAGATCAACAAGGGCAAGAACTTTTTCACGATGTTCGTGGAACTGTTTACTGTCCCCCGCAACCGTCGCGCTACATGGGCTAGCTGGATTGTGATGTTCATGCAGCAATTCTGTGGAGTGAATGTCATCGCCTACTACTCTACCTCTATCTTCACCGAGGCAGGCTACAGTCTGACCAGCGGGCTATTGGCGTCCATGGGAACCGGTATTTTGAACTGGGTATTTGCCCTGCCAGCCTTCTTCACAATTGATACATGGGGCCGACGGAATCTGTTACTATTTACATTTCCGTTCCTCGCTATATTCCTCCTCTGGTCTGGTTTCTCCTTTTGGATTGAAGCCGATAACAACTCCAGCAAGGCAAGGGTTGCAATGGTCACCACCGGCATGTATTTGTTTGAAGTATTCTACTCGCCTGGTGAGGGACCTGTTCCTTTCACTTATTCAGCGGAGGCCTTCCCTCTGCATGTTCGAGAAGTCGGCATGTCGTGGGCAACGGCAACTACTTGGTGCTTTAATTTCATTCTATCCTTCACCTGGCCTCACCTTGTCCAAGCTTTCAAACCACAGGGTGCTTTCGGTTGGTATGCCGCTTGGTGTGTGATAGGCTGGTTCTTGGTTCTATTATTTGTGCCTGAAACCAAAGGTAAGGCCCTATGGATTGCTCACTTGAGATTGACGGTATGATGGTACTAATTTATCTTGATAGCTCTTACTTTGGAAGAGCTGGACCAGGTCTTCTCCGTCCCAACCCGCAAGCACGCTTCATACCAAATGAAGAACGCTTGGTGGCATTTCCGAGTTTGGGTTCTTCGTCAGGACCCGCCGCCATTGCCGCCATTCTATCAAAATGCTGAGCGGCTTGCTGAAGTGGGCAATTTTGCGTTGGAGTAATTGATTACTCTTCGGGTTTATCATTGTCTTGAGATGTGGGTATTACCGTTTGGATCATTTCTTAATTCGACATTTGCTCTGGTTTGCTATTTAATTGGGACTAGATTCGTGAACACCACTTCTCGCCCATTAATTGAACTATCCCTCGGCTGGTGTCATCCGGTTTCCTGGAGAGTACACCCCTTGTGGCGAGATCTTGATAGCTGAAATAGTGATTCAATAACTTTTTGTTCTCTTTTTCTTTTTCTTATTTTTTCAACCTGGGCTGTTTCTCTTAATATAAAACTAGTCACAGGCTTTAGCTCCAATGCTCTCGCATTGTAAAACAAAGTGGATATGAAAACAGTGCAAATGCTATGTACGAAGTCTTCCACCAAGCTGACCAATTTATTCCTATTGGCGTTGGGCGATGGATCACTCAAGTCTCTTGCTCAGTACAACACCGTAGTAGACTGTAGCAATAAAGCTGATCAAGTTGACCAGACTCGAGATGCCATGCACACGACCGAACTTCTTGTTCAGAGCCAGCATCTCCTTCGAGTGAGGCGCCGGGTCGTAGCTCCTCTTGCCATCACGGGTTTCTGCACAGCGATCAGCACACGAACAAACAAGCATAATGCAACAACTTTGAGAGAATAATATCAATGATAAGCTTACCCTGGTGCTTCCGCTCGCGCATCACATTGACAGTAATGGGACGCAGAACGAACATGTTCACCAACCCGGTCACTGCCACGGTTGCCATGGGCAGGAAGGTGTTAAGGCGGTTCTCTGGCGCAGTCAGTCCAGATAGTCCCAGTGCCTGTCCGCCGCGAGAAGCGGTCAAGGCGACTACCACAGGCAAGGCTGTCTGCAGCGAGAAGTAGATGGGGAAGATGGCAGTTTGCAGACTGGCGAACTGGGGCCTCGGCAGGGCGCGGAAGGCAACAAAGCCTCCGACGAAGGACTATTGACTTGTCAGGTGTGTTCTGTACTACAAGATTTGACTTCTCGGCATGTGGCGTCAAGTCATTGGAATTACCTGGAAGAACTGGGTTCCCAGAAGGGTGCCATAGCTGTGTTGTTTATTAGATGATGAGATCCCGGATGCGGTAGGAAACAAACCTTAGGACGTGATATGGGCGTGGGTCATTCATATTTAAAGGATATGAGTTGGAGATAGTATGAGGTTTGACGGAGGGGAAGACTGAATAACTAGTAGTGCCTGAATTCCACGGCCGCAACAGAACAAACACGGGTGATGTCATGTGCCTTCGCGTTCCGGTCTAGACCAAATGTAGAAATATCGCGCGTCTGCCTGGACGCTCTGTTGTCTTGGGGCGATTTTGAGCAACCCTCTTTCAACTCTCAACACTTCATCATGGCGGAAAAAGAGGCTACAGTATACATTGTGGACATGGGTAAGTCCATGGGCGAGCGCCACCATGGCCGCTCCGTGACCGACCTCGAATGGGCCATGCAGTATGTCTGGGATAAGATCACCTCCACGGTATGTGACTTGCGGCGAATTATTTACAGGCGCTGAATGGAGAATATAGGTGGCTACCGGTCGCAAAACTGCTACTTTGGCTGTGGTTGGACTCAGGACAGACGGTGGGTTGTACCCTACCCCATTCGGCGTCCTATCTAACGTGTGCAACACCAGAAACTCGCAACGAGCTTGATGAGGAGGAGAACTACCATAATATCTCAGTTCTCTCGGATTTGGGCCAGTATGGTTGAACGAATTGTCTATCTCATGTCGAATTACGCTGAACCCTTGCTTAGAGTCCTCATGCCTGACATTCGGAGGCTCCGCGAAACAATCAAGCCCAGTCGAACTAACAGAGGCGACGGTATGTAACCCGTCAGATTATTGAAGACTCAAGTCTAATATCCCCAAAGCTATCTCTTCAATTGTCATCGCCATGCAGATGATCATCACCTACTGCAAGAAGCTCAAATACAAGCGGAAGATTGTTTTGGTGACGAATGGCACCGGCTCTATGAGCAACGAGGGCCTCAAGAGTATCGTTTCAAAACTTCAAGAAGACAACATTGAGCTGGTGATCATGTGTGTCTCTTACCCTGTGATAGTACATCAGCGCTAATACTATACAGTGGAGCCGATTTCGACGACTCTGAGTACGGCGTTAAGGAAGAAGACAAAGACAGTAGAAAGGTAGTTGAATGGCTCTGATGCATTGAAACCCGTATTGACCGTTCTATGACAGGCTGACAACGAGGCTCTTCTCCGTGTCCTTGCTGAAGACTGCGATGGAGTGTTTGGAACGCTGGAGCAAGCCGTTTCGGAACTTGACATTCCTCGAATCAAAGTGACCAAGAGTATGCCCTCTTTCAAGGGGCATCTGCAGCTTGGTAACTCCGAAGAATACGAGACCGCAATCCGCATACCCGTGATGCGATACTTCCGTACATACGTTGCCAAACCACCATCAGCAAGTTCTTTCGTGTTGCGCTCCGGAACTGAAGCTGGGCAAGAATCTGCCCCCGGAAGCCAGGCTCCGGGTGAAGACGATACACTGACAACAGTACGGACGTCACGGACATATCAGATCAACGATCCAAATGCTCCGGGTGGAAAGACAGATGTGGAACGAGATGATCTGGCAAAGGGGTACGAGTACGGACGTACGGTCGTTGCCATCGAACAGACCGACGAAAATGTCACGAATCTGGAGACTTTCGCAGGCATGGAAATAATTGGCTTCATCCAGAGTGACAAGGTACATTCCCTCTCTGATAACTCATCTTATTATGGCTAAGTCAGCGAATAGTATGAACGGTACTTGCACATGTCCAACACCAATGTCATTATCGCCGAACGGGCAAATGACGCCGCATCGCTTGCATTGTCCTCTCTTATCCATGCACTATATGAGCTGGAGTCATATGCGGTTGCTCGATTGGTGACCAAAGAGAACAAGCCCCCTATGCTCATCTTGCTGGCTCCCTCTATCGAGCCGGATTATGAGTGCTTGATCGAAGTACAGCTTCCATTTGCTGAAGACGTGCGATCATATCGCTTCCCGCCTCTGGATAGGATCATCACAGTCTCTGGTAAGGTGGTTACTGAACACCGCAACCTCCCGAGCGATAGCTTGAAGGATGCGATGAGCGATTACGTTGACAGCATGGAGCTGGAAACCACGAATGATGAAGGGTGAGTAAGCCTTATAAAACACTGTTCATCAACTAACGAGTAATACCAGTGAACCTACTAATGAACTTCCAATCGACGAGTCATTCTCCCCATTGCTGCACCGCCTAGAATCAGCTGTTCGATACCGCGCAGTGCACCCCAACGACCCAGTCCTCGATCCCTCAGAACGCCTCACCCAATTCGCCCAACCCTCGGAAGCACTGGTCAAGAAGTCGAAATCTTACCTCGAAAGATTGATGTCGGTAGCAGATATCAAGAAGGGTAAGTCCCCTCCCTCTACTCAGTCCAATCCCCAAAAGAAGCCCTACTAATCCCATACTAGTCCCACCAAAAACAAAGGGCCGTAAACGCCAACGCGAAACCGAGAAACCCCTCTCAGGTCTGGACGTGGACGCCCTCCTAAACCTAGAACCCAAACGCACAAAGATCTCCGCGGAAAACGCGATCCCCGAATTCAAACAAACACTCTCACGCGCCGACAGCGTCGACGCAATCCAGGACGCCGTAAAGCAAATGGCTGACATCATCGAGACTCAAATTAAGCACAGTCTCGGCGATGCCAACTATGACCGAGTCGTTGAGGGACTTGGCACTATGCGCGAGGAACTCGTGGATTATGAAGAGCCTTCTTCTTATAATGACTTCCTGCGCCGGCTTAAGGGGAAGTTATTGGCGGAGGAACTTGGTGGGGATCGGAGGGAGTTGTGGTGGCTTGTTCGACGGAATAAGTTGGGTCTTATTGACAAGAGTGTTGCGGAAAGTTCGGATGTTTCTGAGGTCGAGGCTCAGGAGGTGAGTTTATTCTTTTTCTGCCCTCTCGGGTGGCTTGTTGGATTGGGTGCTAATGTAGTGTATAGTTCCTTGCTGCTAACTAAATCTTTGAGTATGAGTACTTGTAGTTATTATGGACTCACTCTAGTTATGAATAAGATAGCAATGAAAGTTATTGGGGCCATGGCATAATTTCTTGCGACTCTTCATGTATCCCTTGCTTAAGAAAGAAAAAGTATGTAATTGTGTCAGTTGCTCGTACCGCCTCATTTCGATATCAACTTTTCGAGCCTGGAACATATATGACGCTAGCCAAAGTAAACATATTAAGTTCTTATTTTAGATCCGGCGGTCGAAACAGAGCGTGATGATGCTGTTATGTCTGTCGGGACTATATATATCCTGTTGGGGTGTAAGCATCCACCATAGTACATCCAGCCACACCTGATGATTATTTCCAAGGAAGAACTTGCGAAATACAGCTTTAGCATTCTCATTTTTCTGAATAGACGATTTACTGAGAACTAAATATGTAGAAGAATCGAGCAAGCCCATGAACGTTATTGTCATATCGACGTAGAATTGACAGGAAGAAGAACAGAAAAACCTGCAATGAAAATGCCATGCAACAGACACGAGAAATCGTGATAGCTTGCAAAACGTCTCACAATGTAGAAACCGAAGAACCAAACGCCGTGCAAAACATGCCCAGAAACCATCGTTCGCTCCAGAGAAAACCAAGCCAACAAGTCAGACCGAAAGGAGAAAAGGAGAACATTAAACAGCATCCAGATGCAACTTGAAAAAGGGGTATGCAGAAAACTTTGTCCAAGTAGGACGATAAGAATAGAAGAGGAACCGCATATAGTGAACGTGCAAGGTTCCTAAAAAGGAAGCATGACAATTTCAGTGGACGGTCTTGGTTGCCCGTGCGGGACTGATGGAATTGCTCCCAACACGACCACTGGCCTTGCGAACTCCGCGAGACTCGCTGCTACGGGTGCTGTCCGTTGCCCGGCGAGGGCTAGAGCGAACCTTGCTAACAGAGATAGGTGCACCGCCGCCACTCTTTCGGCTAACAGGAGTCTTGGGAGTTGCATTGTAGTTCTCCTGGTCCTCGTGGTTACTGTCAGCCAAAGTGTAGCTGGCAGTGACAGTGGCAGAGTAACTGATCGATCGCGAAGTGGGAGATGCGACAGGAGATCGCGATGACCGCTTGGCTAACCTGCGAAGCTGAATCTCTTCCTCACTTTCGCTGCTCTCATTGCTCTTTCGGTGGGTGCGGTGTCGTTGCTCGCTTTCAACAGTCAGGGAACCAGAGGTAGTCCGGGAGTAGGGGTGGTGTCGTGAATCCTTGCGGTGTGACTTGCGGGGTTGACCGGGAGTGGGTGCCGGCAGGTTTTCCTCTGGGTAAGCACTGGCTTCATTGTGATCGATTTCCCCAAGGGCGGCGCGCTTAGAGTGACTGTTGTTGGGTGGTGTGGACACCACTCCGTTGCTGCTGCGCTTCTTTGTGGAGACCCGAGGAGTAACGGGAGTAGACTGGGCAAGCTTCTCGCGCATGGTATCCTCGAACCACCATTCACGGAAAGAACCCTGGTTGAGGTGCAGCCAGTGCTGCTGTGGCCCAACGACCATACCAGGGCGCATGAATCTCATAAATGCAATGACCTCATTGGCCGTGAAGCCATATTTGTAGATCAGGTAAGCACCGATCAAACACCCAGTGCGGCCAAGGCCTGCCTTGCAATGGACTGCGATTCCCTTTTTCTTGATGGTAATCATCTCATGCGCCATTTTGATAAAGCGTCGAACGAGCTGCAGGGGAGGGCAGGTGCCGTCCTCAAAGATCATATCGATATGGGAAATACCAAGTGCAGTGAAATAAGATGGGCAGTAGAGCTCCGAGTTCAATCGCACAACTAGACCGACGTTGCGGGATGAGAAATGCGCCAGAACATTCTTGAATGGCATTGGAATCTTGGCGGAGGAGATTTCCGAGATTGTGGAGGGCAATGCATCGTATTCAGGAGTGTTCATGGGAATGGGTGCCACGGGCTGCTGTTGAGGAGAGGCAAAGGCGAGGAAATCCGGTGTAACCCAATTGAAGTCACCCATGTCGACTCTTTCGAACTTCTCATACTCTTCAAGATTAAAATCACGAAGTCCGCAGAGCGACTGTTCCTTGGCTTTCCAAACGCCATAAACCACATCCTGAATGTTCAAGATAAAGTCGGCTTGACTGTAGCCAGCGTCACGGAAAGGCATGTAAGGAGGGTCTGCCTGCGCAATAGGCGCGAGAGCCAGATGAGGCGGCCACGATTGAATCATAACCATGTAGCATGCGACGAGACAGGCTGCATTTGCGCGACTGCGGGCATCAGTCTTGCTGTAGAAAACGACTGGGCGATCGCTGTTGGCTGGGTCGCCGAGAATCTCATGGAACAAAACGGCAAAGCGGTACAGGTGTCCAATGTGAAGTGGGCCAAAATCGGCATGGAAGGCATTGTATAGAAGCGTATCGTCAATCGTGAAATAGACGGGGGAGCGGCGCTTGCTCGGGGTGGAGGGCTGGGCGCGTGCCCGCTTGCTCGGAGACTTGGGCGCATCCAGATGGAAGGGAAACGGAGTTCTCGAGCTCGGAGCAGAATCGTAGGATGCCAAATACAGGCGATCTAAATAAGGCGCATGTTTAGTTTCCAATGTTGGGTGATGGACATCCAGTTGAAAAAAAAAACATTCTACCAACCTTGGATGTATTCAATCATCTGGCCGCCGTGGCTCAAGTCGGTAGTCATGTTGCTCTTTGTTTGTTGACAGAGCCGCGAGAGATTGTGTAACGTTCAAACTGAACGTATCTTGTCAATGTGCCGTTTGCAGGGACTTGTGTTGGTGGGACTCGAATGATGGCGCCAATTGTAAGAGATTCGGAGAACTAAACGTTCATGATCCGATCCGACCAAGATTAAGAATAAAAACAAAGAGGTCTGAAGGAAGCCTGTACAGGAGGGGTTTAGAAGAAAAGGAAATCAACAACAAGTCCGAGTTTCATGATGTTTGGGGCAACTGCCATGCCATTATGTTGTGCCTTTCCTGATTGGGCATAGTGGTGGCTGTTGACGTGACAACCGTGTGGCCTCAGGCAGAAATATGGATGCCTGTGGCATTCCACAAACAAAATACCACAACATACAAACAGCACAAACACATCATCCACCTCTCATACATCGCTCTCTTCTGACTTCACTCTTGATTTCATCATTGCGCTGCTTACTTCCACAAGGCAAACACTCGAATGGGCCACACGTTTGCCTGTTTTAATGTTCCATGACGGAATGGATCACACAAGCCCATGGATGCCTTCAAGTCCTAGATATGGATTTGGTCGCCCTTCCTATGCTTTAATACAAAGTCATTCGAGAGTCCGACCTTGACTGACATTAGCCTTCCAAGCATCTGATTAGTAGTTGTACTACTGAGCACATCCTGGCTCAGATGCGAGATGAGATCATGCTCAGGCCGCTTCGTCCTAGCGGGTAACAGATGCAGAGTGATCGATCTGGTAGACGACTTTTCCCGGGAAAACCTTCATAGGGGGTCCCCGTTGGGTAAAGGCAACTGTTCGGGATTTGCTGCTTGGCCCAGGATCGTGGCTATCATATTCCATTGTTGTTTGTGGCGAGTTCACACTTGACTGATCATACAGGTTGTATAAGTTATAGGACCCACTATTTGCCTCGAGCATTCAAATTGTCAGTTGACTGCTTCATCTCAACGTTACTGGCTCAACCATCTACAACTATCATCTTAACTTAATTGGCCCTTTCAACCGTGTCATTTTCTCCGCCATCCAAGGGGCTGAATGGCTTCGGTAAAGGCTGGATCAACTCCGAATTCAATGCAAGGATAGTTGACAACGAACTATATTCTCCTAAAGTTCGAAAGTTCCACTAGGCGAAAGTCACGTTTGGTCCGCCACTCCCTGCTGAGCGTTGAGATGATCGGCAACAGTCTGAACTGCGGATTCGCGCCGTCCCCGCTTAAAGCGCCACCCTTGCCTGAGCCTATCCGCGCTACGATGTCAAAGCCATCATCCCTCACTTCAGCGCTTCAAGATGGTCGGTGGTATACCTTTCGTGCTAATGTACCATTGGACATAGCAATTGATTCTGAGAACAAACACTCCACCTGCTCAGCCCGGTACTTCTGCTATGCTAAGTCTAAGCAGGAACTATACGACCTTCTCTGGCTTGGACCATATTCAAGTGACTGAAATGGCACCAATGCCTGATGGGAAAAGCTTCATACTCTACTAGCGTGTCTTCTGGCTCAACCTTGCTGCACCAGGGACTTTCCACGGTCATACACGCCTCCTGTCAATGCATCAAATCGGTTTGATTGGAGCCCATGTGGGCGCGCCACAAACCCCTTCGTTCGTGCAATTTCCGCTGAGTTGACACTACCTTCGCGGCTCTACGGGTGGCATATTAGCGCCGATCGTGATTATTGTCGACCCAAACGAACAATAACAAGCACAGTCAAAACAACACCCCTGAGGATCCCGAACGCTAGGGAGGACCCTTTGTGGGGAGAATAAACAAAGCCCGAGAATTGTATATAATGCTACCTCCAGGTCCGGCTGCTCTTATTTCTTTTCCTGTGTTACACGAGTCAATCCTTCACTTCCAGTCACTCTTTTCAGCCTCTATCTTTGTACACACACCTCCCTCACCAAGTCATTCTTTTAAAACATTCGATCTTATCAAATATCGCAATAATGAAGTTCACTGGATTCACCATTTCTCTCGCCCTTGCTGGCCTGTCTTATGGCGGTGCCATCCCCATCGCCGGAGGCGCTCTCAGTGGTGTCGAGGGTACTCTGGGCGGTACTGAGGGCGCCGCTGCCAACCTCATTGCTCCTGTCGCCTCCACTGCTGGCGGCCTGACCGGCGGTCTGAAGCGTGACCTTGGTGAAGCTGCTGGTGAGACTGTCGAGGCTGTCCCTAGTGTTCTCAACGGTGCCACTGGGATTGCCGGCAGTGCTGTTGGAACCGTTGAGAGCACCGGCTCGGGCATTGTTTACACGGCGGAGAACGCTGCCAGTAGCACCATTCCTGGAAAGCGTGAATTCACCGATGCCGCTGGACAGACCCTCGAGGCTGTCCCTAGTGTTGCTAATGGTGCTACCGACATTGCCGGCAGCGCTGTTGGAACTGTTGAGAGCATCGTCTCTAGCGGTGCTAACACGGTGGAGAAGGACGTTTCGGGCGTCGGCGCCGGCAAGCGTGATGTTGATGGGATTGTTGGCACCCTCGCTGGTACCATTGGTAGCTCTGCTGGCAACACCGTCGGCAGCACCGTGGGAAGCACGGTTGGAAGCACTGTCCCTGCTACTGTTGGTCGTAAGTACCCTTTCTTATCTATTCGACGACGGTTAACTAACTCTCTCCCAGAGGCAACTGCTGGTCTCGGTGGTCTGGCTAAGCGTGGGAACTGCCTCGCCAACGGCGTTGACTCAACTGTTTTGAGCTCTCTCTACCGCATCACTGACCATCCCATTCCCCTCATCGGTTCTCTCGTTGATCTCAAGCACGCCGCCGACATTGGTGAGATCACCAACGGCCAGCTTACCGAGCTTCCTGCTCTCCAGGCGCTGCTTTCTTTCATCCACCTCTAAGTTCGCCCAGATACAACTTTATACCTTCAGCTTGGAGCGAGAAGCAAAATCGAGACGACATGACCTAGGTCGCCGTGAATTCCATTCGTGTTGACTCCATTCTTCGTGCCCTCATGGGTAATCCTTCTGAATTTCTTATTTTGATTTACATCTTTTTGTGATCGAGCTTTTATGTACCATACCTCCATGAGTGACCTTTATACCTTCACGACTTCACATGAGTAATTTGCATGGGAGCCATAGTTTTACAACAAAACATTCATTCTTTTAGCGTTTTAATTTGCCACTATCTCAGTCCACACTTGATTTAATGACAATTTTTAATATCTTGTATCCTCAGACAGATCTCCAAGGTTGTTTGTTCTCTGTGAACCTCGAGACCATATAAAAGCTGAGTCATCATATTACGTCCCTCCACGATTTCGCCCGCTAAATGTCTAACCACATCACTACACATTCAATTGCCCAGAAGAACCCCGAGCACGCATTTCGAGACACTCACCGAGCGCCTCTCCATATTTCCACTGTCAATCCTACTCACATACCATGGCTCCCGAATCCAACAACCACGAGTTCCCCTACTCACTGTACGAACGCATCCCCCACCTAAATCTTAGATCTACCTGATCAGGCTTACACCCAATCTCCAGAACAATCTCCCTCCCCCTCCCAACAAATCGCCTCGCCTCCTCCGCCTTGCGCACCCTAGAAGTTGACTCAGAACTGTCCCCCTTCGTGCGGCGCACACTAAGTCTCGAATCTCCAACCTCCGAAGCTCCCTCGGAGCCCAAAGAAAAGAAACAAAAGCAAGATCACGATGAATCAAAGAGCGTGTTGAAGACTACATACTACGCGACGACCAATCGCATGCTACGCGTTGCTGTGAATGGGTTTATGGAGAGTCTGGGTGTTATACTTGGGGTTATGGCTGAATTGGATGTTGATGTTCTGAAGGCTGAGATGGAGGGTTGAAAGGATGACACTATGGGCACTGAAACATATGCTTGAATGAAGGGGTGTCTGCTTCCAGGGCTCTGTGCTAGTTGCTAGGTCTTGATCTTGATCTTGGACTTCTCTACAGCGAGGGCGGCAACAGCCTCAGACTCAGACTTGGCTTCGTCCTTTCCGGCATTGGGCTATACTTCTACTGTTTTACACTATCGCACGAGACTATTCGCGGTTTCACCGGGCAGTGAATTACACCTTGATTCATTGAATGGCCCTTTCGATGCCATCAAGGTTGGTTATCGCTTCTTGGGAAGAACAACGCCAAGACTGCCCCCATTGCAGATCGGAGAAGAATGACTAGGCACAACGACTGCTTAGTTCCAGTTACGTGACTGCTCCTTATTACTGGATCGCAGGTTTCATCTGCTGTTGGATTTGCTTCGCTCTTAGCTTGGACTAGCAGGAATGCCCAGCAATGTGAGTAATGTGGATATTCAAATGGTCCAATTTTACATTGCATTAGACAAGCAATAGAAATACACTCGCAGTATGCTCTTTCTTCCCTGGTACTTGAAAAAGTATAGCGTGATGGCCGATTGGCTGCCGCTAAGAGGTGGCTGCTTAGAAGAAAATTAATTTGAGAACATATCTTGCAATACCCTGTTAGTAGACAGCAAGATCTACGATCACCGGTATCTCGTGAAGAGAGAAAGAATTATGCCCAGTCTCTATACATCATTAAGCTTAAAGCCAAAACATTTAGCCTCAAAAGACTGCATAAAATTATGCGCAGACCGTCTAGGTTAACAAGATGACCAATAACGCGACCAATAAAGTGGCACCTAAAAGAGGTCGGTTCGGACAGTTCGCTACTTCCGGCGGCGCTAGAACACTCCGTGCCCAGACCCGCGGCCAATTGGTAAGAAAGTGGTTTGACCTCGGTTGAGCGCAGAGTACAAGAAGACCATGTTCTCGTTTCCGCGTCTGCGGTGTTCACTTACTGCCAAGTCCTCCCGTCTATCAGCGACGTCATTGCACCACTTATTGCACCATCCATTGCACCACTTCTCCCCGCGTATACTCTCGAAACCTCCTCTTGTACAGTATCAAAGCAAGATGTCTTCCGCTACGTCTTTCTACGACTTCGATCCCGCTGACAGTACGTATATCCCCATGTTACCATGTGTTCACCCATCCATCTCCTATCCTTCTTTCCCACGAATCAGCAAACAAACCTTGGAAACAAACCAACTAACCGAACAACCCACCAAAAACAGAAAAGGGCACCCCCTTCCCCCTCTCCTCGCTCTCTGGCAAGGTCGTACTGGTCGTGAACACCGCCTCGAAGTGCGGCTTCACGCCCCAGTTCGAAGGCCTGGAGAAGCTCTACAAGGACCTGAAGAGCAAGTACCCAGAAGACTTCACCGTCATCGGCTTCCCGTGCAACCAGTTCGGCAACCAAGACCCTGGTTCCGACGATGAGATCCAGTCCTTCTGCCAAGTCAACTATGGCGTCTCGTTCCCCGTGCTGGGCAAACTCGACGTGAATGGCGATAACGCTGCGCCGGTGTGGACCTGGCTGAAGGAGCAGCAGCCTGGTATTTTGGGCCTCAAGCGTGTTAAGTGGAACTTTGAGAAGTTCCTTATTTCGGCTGATGGGAAGGTTGTTGGTCGTTGGGCTACTACTACTAAGCCTGAGAGTTTGCAGGATACTATTGTGCAGGAGCTTGAGAAGGCTAAGAAGGCCGGCACTCTTGCTTCGTTGAAGAAGGGTGATGCTACTCCTAAGGCCCAGTTGGCTTGAGTAACTAGCTTTGTTTATTTGATTTGATTTGGTGGTAACGTTACCCTGTGTCGGGTTTACTTGTATCTATTCCCCGGTGTTTCTGTCTTTGACATACTGGTTTTTTTTTTCTGATTCGGAGGGGGATTTTTTTAACGTGGTAATGATATTTCGTGTCCATGTCATTTTCCAGTGGTACATTTAGAATTCGTAACCCACTAGACCTGTTCTCTAGATCTGCCCAGGTGCTCAATCATACCATAAGCTCCATGTTCCCAGTGTGGTCTGATGTCCCAGCCTAAGCAGAGGCGGCACCCTTGGGAATCAGATTCCGCAGGGATAGATCATAGACGACGTCCTCAACCTTCTTGACCTGCAACCCCTTTATATTAGTAACCGAGGGTTAAATTGATATGTTCGCAATCAACAAGACGTACACTATACTTGATACCATCACTGCGCTTGCGCAAGATATCATTCTTCAGGTTCAAGAGCTGGAAGCCAGCAAACAGCTCCTTGATAAAGTTGCTAATCTGCATGGGACGCGTATAATCACCCAGAGTGACGGAGTTGACGGCCAAGCGAGACTGCAAATTAACTTAGTACAAGGACAGAAGTTGGAGATCAATCGACAAACCAGTTCCTCAACCATGGCAATCAATGCCAGGAGATACTCCTCTATAGTCAAGTGGAAAGCATCTTGCTCCTTCAGGTTGACCGGGACTAGGTGAGAAACAGCACGTTAGAAGTGCGTTTCAAGACATTAGAATTGAACTGATGATAACATACTCTCAAGAAACTTGCCAACGTCTTCAATAGTCATGAAAGAAGCTGAGCTAGGTCCCTTGTGCTCCTGTAATCCACCCAACCACGCGCAAAGCTCAACCGAGGCAACCTGTCACACACATCAGTACAATCCTTCAAAGCTCAGGAGCTTAAGAACGAACCAGGTTCTGCAGCTCACGAGTCCACAGCCCGTTGTACTTATAGAAGGGGTGCTTGTCAGCCACAGTCTTGAGACGGGCGACTTCCTGCTTCTGAGCAAGGATCTCAGTAGTCACATCGTCAAGCACGGGCTTCACTATGATCAAAGTCAGCAAAATTGTTCTCGAGGATGTTTTGTGCGTCACACTACCCCAGGAACAAAAATAGAAATGTGAATAGAAGCAAATCCACGTCCAACTCTGTTGATCGGGCAGCTGGGAGTATGAACTTACATTGATCAGCAGGCGTGGAGTGAGCCCGCGACAGGATAGCTTGTGTAGAGCGCCCTAAGAGAAACGCATCAGATCTCAAGTTCGAAGATAGACCTCAATCGCCGAGTTGAGCAGGCCAGCGCAGAGACCGTGCATTTCCAGCGATGATCATGAATTGCAAACATACCTCTGCGGGCAAGAGTTTGGACAATCTCATGCAGTTCCTGTTAAGAATGATTAGCTATCGGTTTTCCGCGTTGGGCTTGGGGATGGCTTGGCGCGTGAAGAATTCATCTCGGTGACGCGCTGGTCGGACTTACGTCACGGACGGTGCTCTCCTCGTCGATCTTTGTTTGGAGATCTTCGAAAATTGTCTGGTCGATCATTTTTGATGGTGGATGTTGAGTGCTGATGGTCATATGGGAAAATTGGTAAGGCGGGTTTGAGAGGTGCGGTGGATGGGTTACGTCAAAATCGACGATGGAAAATGATGGAGCTTGCTGTCAGCGCACCATTGGGTATTTATGGCAAAATTTTTGGATGTAGGGCTGCTTGCTACTTCTGTTCGATATCTTTTTCTTTCAAAGGGCGATATTCCTCACTTGACGAAGGTGAATGGAAGTGCTTTCACTACGCTTGAGATACGAGCTACAGCTGTGGATACATTCTACAACAAGCTTCCGAGGAACCTCGAGCTTCGAATTGAACAATTAATCTCTAAAAATTGGAGACACCTTATAATTTTATTCACTCTCGACCAAAATGATCGCAAAGGCGACTCCAGAAACAGAAAAACTCCAGAACCATGACCATATTTCCAGGTTTTATCTTCTTGCTAGACCAAGTCTAGTGATCGTCATAAGAGTCGTAAGAAAGGGACACACACACTGGTCGCTGTCAGTGCTAACATGCGCCGGAGGGGATGAGGCTCAGTATCGGTATCTGGTAGAGTAATCTGCGAGGAAAGCTGTTAGCGAATAGCAATTCCTTCCGGGGACCAGGAGTTGCGCATACCTTTGGGGCTGACCACCAGACCTCGACCTTTCTTCGCACCCTTGTAGATAGTCTCGATGATGTCGATCAACTCCTGCTTATCCTCCAACACCCAGTTCAATTTGTTGTTGTTTCCGGTTCCGAAATCGCACATCATGTGCTTGTTGCGGTAGAAGAACATGATCGTCATCCGGTCGTAGAGCTCGTACATCTGGTTGAAGTCCGGGACCTGGTCCACGTCGCAAAGGTAGATGACCGCGAAGTCTGGGGAAAATCGTCAGCTGCTGTTCATTGGTTGTGGAATGCTGGAACTCACTCTTTACGCGCTCGGCAATCTTGTAGAGCAGTTCATCTTGGCGAATACCTGGGCGTTCATGTATTAGTTGGCGTGGCGCTCGGAATGGCGTCGGAGGCACTTACAGTCGGGATCGTGGTCACGGCCGAACCGGATCACCACCAGGCGTTCTTCTTCAGAGAGGATGGCCTGGTCGACATGCCATGCTGTCTGCAGGTGAGGGAGGACGATTGAACCCATGGCGACGTCTGTCCTTGTGTAGGTGGGAAGAGATGCGGAGGGGGAAAAAAATGGAGGCTTATCGATTGGCCCCGCGATTGAAGCTCCGAATCACGTGACTAAACGCTAGCTTTGGATGTTGACGACAGCGAGGTCCCTACAGAGGCAGATGACGTTCTGGGTATTGCTAACTAGCGCAGATCTCTTGATTAGGGACTTGGGACGGGTGCTATTAAGGAAGACTGGCATAATTCATATCGTCGCCGGTTTGGTGGCACCAGTATCACGGTCATGGAACTACAGCTCAAATTCTAGATGAGTTGGTTACGGTTTACGCCTTCAGAAGGGGACAGAGCTACGGAGACAGCAGCCGGAACTACTGCATGGCGACTAGCTCCGCACAGAGGGCACGAAGACATAGACGACTTCCTCACAAGGGATATGGACTGCTCATCAAAACAGTAGGACTCAAAATACAACTACAGAGCATGACGCGACTGCATTAACACAACAATGTAAACAATTCTAAACTTCTTCTCCAAGCGCTCGGGCAAGCCGAGACAGTTGATGAAAAAGGGTTCGCGTCGATCGAGGGTAGTGTAAGCCCGATGACACAGTGCAACGAGGCATGCGCAAGCACAGAGGCCAAGTTGCGGGATCCAAAAATGAGAATAATCAAAGTGTTTCCAAGAGGAAACTTTCAGAGATTAAACTGAAAAGAACAGATACTACACTTGATCTAAGCCAATAGGCAAAGAGAGCTAAAGAAGAAAGAAAAGAAGAGGAAGACTGGGGGGAGGAGCAGGTATTTATACCCAAGAGAAATCGCAGGATCAACGCTAGTCCCGATGAGTCATAGCAAAACTATTTTAGCCGAGAGTTCAAGCGAGCCAATCAGGAGCCATTAGTCACAGATTCCATGTGCCAAGCCCCTGAGAATCACATGACATCCGCCACCACACCTGCAAGGTCAAAGCCCTAATTTCAACCCAAAACAGACTAGTGCGGCACACCTGTTGAATTTCGCTATCCAAGGCTCCACTCGGGAATCTCGTCTTGACCATCTCTCGCCGGCGCAGGATATACACCTCTTTGCGACCTTTCCAATCGAAGTTCATCTCCCCCCAATCCATCAAAAATGGCTCCCGTTGCTGTACGTTGAAAGCCCAAAACCGCTTTGCTGTTCCCCCCGACCGGATCTCGGCTTCGCTCTCGACTGGAAACATCGGTATTGAAAAATCTATCGATGCACCATGTCGCAGACGAACTCGAGATACTACCACCGGGGCTCGACATAATGGAGCAGTAGGCTAATTGAATTGTTATATGGTATAGGCTCGTGGTCGCAAGGCCCCCAAGGTTACCCAGAAGGTACGTTTTTTGATCTTATCCCGCTGACATGCATGCATGCATTGGCCGTGTGAAATTGGAACTCGGAACTAACTTCATTTGCTCTACAGTACATCATCAACGCTTCGCAGCCCGCTAGCGACAAGATCTTCGATGTCTCTGCCTTCGAGAAGTTCCTCCACGACCGCGTGAAGGTCGAGGGCCGTGTCGGCAACCTCGGTGACAAGGTCGTCATCTCCCAGGTTGGCGATGGCAAGATCGAGGTCGTTGCCCACATCCCCTTCTCTGGTCGCTACCTCAAGTACCTGTGAGTCAATCCGGATTCTAATATCCATGCCCAATGCATGGTATCTTGCGCAAGAGTTCCCTCTGACCACCCATTTCCCTCTTCTAGGACCAAGAAGTACCTCAAGAAGCAGCAGCTCCGTGACTGGCTCCGCGTCGTCTCCACCTCCAAGGGTGTCTACGAGCTCCGCTTCTACAACGTCGTCAACGACGAGGCTGAGGAGGATGAGGAGTAAATGTGTCGTTCTCGACATGTTCTTTCACCTGTCCTTGGGATCGATCGGTTCTAGTCTGTGTGTGTCGCGTTCGATATGTCTGAAACCTCAGTTTGGATTGAGAGCGAGAGCCATGGGGGGATAGATTGGTCTATGAGGCCACGAATAAAACTAAAAAAGTTTATACCCTCAAATCTTTCTGGATTGTAGATTTTTAATGTGTAGAATGGACGTTTGTCTTTATAATGCAGTTATACGAGCTATACTATTATGCTTGGAACTTAACGGCTGACGTCGACTGAGGCTGCTGTCATGCTGAAAATGCCTGCGTCATGCAAGAGTATATCTATTTCGAGATGATAATTCAAACACCAGAAGACTAAGTAAATAATAATACTGTATGAAATCCTTCTCAGTTCTCAACTGTCAACTGGGCCTGATGCACCTTAGCCAGGAGGAACTAGCTTCCCATTCTCAAACTTCCATCCATTCTTATTCAAATCCTTCCACTTCTCGCGCACCTTCACTCTCACCAAATCACCAGTGGTGACCGAGTCTTCCCTGGAGTCATGCCCATGATCCCCTGTCTGGATATCACGACCAAGATGCCTGGAAGCCAGGCTTTTGAGACTGTTGCGGATTGGAAGACCCCTTGGATGAGGGTATAGCAGGACAGTGTCGATGATTGTGGGGTGGATGATCCTGCAGACATTCAGATCATTGTCGATTGCGTGGCCGATAAGTGGCGTCTCAGGCTGGAGTAGTTTGAACAGCAAGTCCCGCGCTTCAGCGGGGGATTTGACAAGCTGCAACGGTGACTGGGATCTGCCCTTTCCTTCCTTGGTGGGTAGATCTGTGGTGGACACCGGCGTACCGTATGGTTTGGCGTCGATATAGTGTTTCTGATAGACACCGGAAAAGCGAGAGTTGAAATCCAGCATTTCGCCTATCGGTCGGACGAGAACGTCGAGTAGATCACGGCCTTCAGGCCAGCTGACAGCAGTGAGTCGGATTAGTTCCATTCCCATGGATGTATAGCCCATCTCACAATCAACACAGACTGGCTCGAGGGGTCCTTTCTCGGGCTGTCGTGGGGTCGTCTCAAATTGGAGCACTGATGCAAGGCGCTTGGTCTCTGACACCTTAAAAACGTGGCTGTCGGCTTTAGTGCAGCCACTCGAGGTCCCCATTGGCTCATTGCAGCAGGGGTAGTATGGCTCTTGAGAACCAGTGACATGGTCTGTCTTCTTGCGCTGAGGGTAGAGGGGGCGAGATGGATGATAGGTACATGTGCCGCCGGTTGTCAAGACGCCGTCTTCGCGGCGACCAGGGAAAACCTGGAACCTGCCACCGCATCGGTCGCACTTCTCCCAGCCATTGGACTTGTCGACGCCTTCCTTGGCGACTGCTATCTCAGTCTCCGTAGGCGCTTTCGTCACATAACCGTACTTTTCGTAGCCAATGATGGGTGTGATGAGAAAGGGGACAGTCGCGAGTTCTTCTTCAACGGTCATGCCCGTGGCGAGAGGATTGGGTTTGATATCCGGCTTTTGGATGGGCTTGATGCTGTAGTATCGCGTATTCAGGTGGTCCATCACCTCCTTCACCCATTCCTCGATGCCCATCTTGCTCAGTTTCACGATTCGAAGTTTGATCACGTTACCATATACTCCCGGGTTATCCTTCGCCGTCTTTTCCTCCTCGTCCAGTGCCATTGTCACCAGTTCATCCGGAGTCAGGATGAAACATTTGTTCGCGCTGTTCTTGTCCTTTCGAAGCTTTTCATTGTGTGCCGTCATCGCACCGTGCAGCTTCTTCAGGATGGCAGTGCGGCCCACATGGCTTGTTGGTGCTTTAGTGAGCATGCGCGGGTTCAATGTTTCCTTCGGTGCTTGTCGAGGAGGAAGTTTGGCTGAAGATCCAGGTGTACCGTTCTCAGGTTTGGTCTCGGTTTTCGATGCATTGGATTTGGAGGGCACAGCAGTGGTGGCTTTCGAGGGTACAGGCCACGACGACCTTGAAAGCTCAGAACGACTTGGAGTCGGTGGTGTAACCTCTCGAGTGATAGACTGAAGCTCCGAGATGCCTTGAACCCCACTTTGACGTGCACTGCCAGTAGGGACTGGATTTGGCCGTTTCGTCATTTCACGCGTGTTTTCGTCGGACGAACTCGAGACCGGAACCTGCGCCTTTTCAGCGCTCCGGTCCAACTTGGCTCTTTTTGAAGGCGGGCCATCGTCACCTGAGGCACGAATTTTCGGAGTACTATCCCCAGCTGAACGGGGTTCGTTGCTTTCATGGGAGAAGAGACATCTCAAAAGAGCACATTGTTCTCCCTGCGGACAAGGGATCCCCTCAAAAAGTCCGAGCGGCGTGAACATGATGACAGTAACGTTCAGGTGCAGGTGACGGTCAGACAATAGGATAGCTTAGGCGAGCCTTGTTATGTGTCTCTCGATATAAAGCAAGACGAGACAGTCATGAATTCCTGTTTGAGACAATAGGTATGAAACGAAGAATGAGACCACACACTATTCAGATATTAGCGACTTATTCGTAGGAATCACCCGTTTGCTTGTCTTACGTGTAATGAAAGGATCCAGGTCAATGCTGCTTGGCCTATGTGGCATCATTTAAGCCTTGTCTTTGAGAGTTAGAGATTATGGACAGGCCATTCTGACCCTTATCTGCGAATAAATTGACCCGAATATGCCGAACATACGAAATCAAGACATCAGACTGACCAGAACAAGAGCAACGATTGATAGGAAGTTGTGATGACAGGTGCAAAGTAGTCAAACAGTTGCCTGGCTTTGCAGGCAGCAATATATCATTGCTCTGCCTTGGATTATTTGCTATTAATTTGGATTCTTTGGACGACTAGCTTGAATATTCTGAGAATATAGTCCAGGCTTGCATTTCAGCTTGAAACTGAGACAGATACACATGGAATGCTATCGAGCAATGGCTGTGCATACAGGCAGAGACAGGTCCTTATCGCCGATAGCTCCAGTGGCGGACGACGCGGACTTCGGACGAACAGACATCCGCTTCCAGCCTTAAGGAACACTTTTTCTCCTTTTTTGTTTATATTCCATTTGTGAATAGGTTCATGCGAAACAATGCCTAGCACTTCATCCACAGCAGACCACCTCTGTGTGCTGGTCCACGGGTACCTACTCTACTCTCTTTGTCAATGACGTTGACCCAGAACTAACGCGACCCGGTTTCTGACAGACTCTGGGGTAACCCTTCCCACCTCGATTATGTCGTCTCTGCGCTACGGGAAAGATATGGCGACGACAGCCTCTACATCATCTGTCCGAAAGCAAACAGCGGAAACTACACATATGACGGAATCGAGCTGGGCGGAGAACGATTAGTGCGTGAGGTCGAGGAGACACTCGAGTCCCTAGCCAAAAAGGGACATAAAATCACAAAGATCAGTGTCGTCGGATATTCACTCGGTGGTCTCGTCGCGCGCTATGCGATCGGCCTGTTGAATGCGCGGGGATGGCTGGACAAGCTGCAACCCATGAATTTCACGACCTTTGCGACTCCCCATGTAGGAGTCCGAACACCGCTGAAGGGGTTCAAGAACCAAATATGGAATGAATTAGGCCCGCGGACGTTATCGATGTCCGGACGGCAGATGTGGTTGATCGACTCGTTCCGGGATACTGGGCGGCCGCTGCTCAGCGTTTTGGCTGATCCCGAGAGCATTTTCATACAGGGACTAAAGCAGTTTCAAACTCGCAGTATCTATGCAAATATTGTCAATGATCGCTCGGTTGTCTTCTACACGTCTGCTTTGTCCAAAGTGGACCCGTTCCGGACTTTGGATGAGCTTAACATCAACTATGTTAAGGGCTATGAGGATGTGATTATCGACCCTGACCTTTATGTGTTACCGCCCGCCCAAAAGAAACCCGCATCAATGGCCGCCAAGCTATGGAAGAAATGCAAGTCTGTGGCATTATGGATACCTCTGTCGGTAATTCTCGTTGTCCTCGCACCAGTGGCTATTGTAATCTTCTTGATCAATGCTGGTATTCAGACTTTCCGCAGCTCCAAGCGCATTCGTCTACATGAGAAGGGCGATTACGGTGCTTTCTTTGGGAGATACAGAGTGCCTGTTATTGTTCAAGACGTGCAGCATGTTGTGGAGGAGGTTTTTGAAAACGTCAATGCTCGACAAGATCCGGCTTATCTGTCTAACAGCGATGCCGACTTGTCTGACTCTGGCTCGAAGTCTGCAGAGAACAATGGTGAATTTGCATCCAGATCGCCTACTCTTTCTTCTGCCACTGCAGCCTCTCCGCACTCTCCCAAACTTGCGTTGTCACCCGATCAAACTGCCATCATCGACTCGCTCAACGCCGTGGGAATAAAAAGATATCCAGTCCACATCCAGAAGCACCGACACAGTCACGCAGCCATCATTGTTCGAAGCCCCAAAGACGGATTCAGTGAAGGCAAGATTGTGATGAAGCACTGGCTGGATAACGAATTCGTTGTATAATTTCACGATTGCACATTAGGTCTCAGAGCGTTCAAGCATGTACTTCTAGTCTAGAACATAGGTTCGATAGGTACAATAACATCAACGAAGATATCTATCCCTCAATCCCGGGTGAAACATCATAAGAAACCCGACTAATCCCCTTCTGCCGACTTATCTTTCGAATAACAATAGCCCCAACCAACCCCGTCGTCCCAACATGTGTCCCACCACAAGGATTATGATCAAGCCCACCAATGCTCGCAATCCTCATCCGACCATCAGAAGACCGACCCTCCTCATCATCACCATCTCCAGACTCCTTACAGCCCTCTTCCCAAGAAATGAGAATTTCCAAATCCCGCTTCACTAACTCATCAACCTTTTCCTGAATGACAGGCTTATTCTCATTATACAATAACCCCTCATACTCCATAGACGCCTCCCTAGGGAAATGATTCGCCTTAACCTTCTTCATTTCCGGCATGAGAAGCTGCATCGCCAATCCAACAATGTGACCAGCAGTATGAAGACGCGAATGATAATTGCGCTTCGAGTCATCAACTTTCTGGACAACAAGTTGGCCTTCGGTGAAAGTAGAAGATGCGTCTGCATATTTTCCAAAATGGAGATATTTCCCATCAGGCGTTTTGCGCACTAACGTTACTGAGAAGGTTGGTTCGTGGTCTCGTGGCCCGATTGCGCCGGTGTCGCTGGGCTGGCCGCCGCCTTGCGCGTAGAATATTGTCTGGCGGGTTGTTATGGCGCTTCCTTCTACTGGAATGTTCTTTGCTAGACATCTCTCTTCTTCTGGGAGTGTAGTTATTGATTGCGACGAGAGGATCTCTGTTGTCCATGTTCGGAGTGAGGCATCATTTAGGTAGAGGGCCTCTGTTCTTGTGGCCTGGTTTCGAGTATTAGTGAGGTGATACATTAGGTTTGGATCGAGGAGTTTAGGCTTACCATCTTTAGTTCGGGGTCTTATACAGTTTTTGCGCGTGTATGTGAAGTTCAGTAGGACTTCCCGGGTCTTTCGCGGTGGGTCATGTCAACCGAACGCTGCAATATTCGCCTAATCATTCTACCGTGTATATCAACAACTGTTTTCGATTTCTTTCCAAGAAACACGCCGATAGATGTGATCTTACCAGCAGAATTATCACGATGTGCAAGCTCTCCAGAGTCAAATCATTACAATCATATTAACATTAGTGCAGGTTGATAGTATTAACATACACAAGCTTGCCCACTTGCTGGGCCCAATTTCTCGGCGAAGTCGATTGAATATCCATTTCAATCCCAAATTTGTAGATTGCACATATACAAGACATCACCCTCTCAAAGCTTCAAAATCAGCTCGAAGTGAGGAACAAATCTCATCAACAAACCGCATCTCCTCTTCAGCTGGCACACCTAAAGCTCCAACCTGCCAACTGATCGTACAAACCAAGCTCCCCCCTTTAACGCTAATGATATTAAACACTAGCGGTGCACTGAGACAATTGCCAGGCTGCGAAAACACCATCTCGCTAATCCTGCAATTGTCACTGACATCACCGCCATCAAACGCAAGCAGATTGCTCAGTTCATACGAAGAATCCCGCTGGTGTCCAATTTTACCCAACATCCAGCTCCGAATACTGGGAACATATCTCAGTAACCCAATTGCCTGATCCTGCAGCCTTGTACCACATTCAGCGAGCCTTTTCGTCATCGAACTTGCAGCCGTCCACATCTCATCCGACAACACAGATTCCTTAGCCTGGGCGCCAGGTAAACGAGAATGCACCTCATAGTAGCCAGACACGTAGAGGCCCCAAGTCAAAGCTGGTATACCAATAGACGCTCTCATATCAACGGGTGTTCCCGAAACGAAATTCGTCACGTCACTGTTAGGAAGAGTCTTGCTCAACGCCCGAATAGTAAACTGGTGTATCGTGGCGGTAAGCTTAGCATCATGCTCTCTGGAAACTTGAAGAGCCTTCTGCACGAGCGGAGCTTCAATCTTGAGGATCCTCACTCTACTGTTTAGTCCGGGAACCGGCTCGAAGATGCGCGAGCCAGTCCAAGTACCAGAATCAACTGTGCTAGCCGCTGCGCGAAGTCCGAGGGACCCGGCTATGAATTTTGGTAGGTAGACCGCTACAAGTGGTCCCAGGAGGAACTTCAATGATATAGGAAGACTTTCCGGGGTGTCAAATGGTGCTGAGAGGGTTTGGTCTGATGGATTCATGGATACCAGGGAGGAGTTGTCATTCGAATTGTTAGTCTGTCGCCATGCCTCTAGGAAGGTGCGGTGGAACGCGACTCCGACCATGCCGTCTCCGAGCGTATGAGAGAACGAGAACGCTATAAAGCAACGTTTCGTGGTCGAATCACGCGCCGATGATAGTGGGAGGACGACGATACGCCAGGGTGGTACTTCAACTGGCCATGGCCGGTCGAGGATTGGCACGAGGACGTTCTGGATGATATTTGTTTCTTCATCGCTGTTTGGGTCACTATGAGCATTATTGTGGACGATAGACACATGTGAGTCGAGGTTGATAGTCGAGACTCCTTCATAAGCTGGCGTTTCGGTGTGGCTATTTTTGACGACCACACTCAGGTAAGCGTGCTCTTGGATGCAGCGTTTCAGGGGCGGGAAGAATGTCTGAGCTGAATTGAGGTCTATAACTTCATTCTCATGCTCGTACACTGCTGCTATGACGAGTGCGTGGTAGAAGCCGAGGTTTTCGCGACTGATAGTACGGCGCTCATTGGGACCTGCATCATGGTTAGTGTTGCATATGCACACCACTCAAGGGACAACAAACTTGCAAATCGCAGGAAAGGTTGCGACATTGTGTGTCTATTTCAGAGGAATGAATTGAATTGAATGTACACTGTTGGGACTCCAGGCACCAGCGAAAGCCAATGGCTTAGATTGCGGCCGAAATGGTCCAATTAGAAGGCTGCCAGATCAGGACTAGTGTCATTTCAACTATAGAAGCTATCACAGCAATTCTACTGCTTCCAAACTAGAATATTGCTTTATCTTGACAGATCTTTTGATTGTTAGGTAAATATTGGATAATGCGACTAGAGTCATCAGGAGATTTCCGGCTCTGAGCTTTTATATCGGACCTTGATACAGTATATATATTTCCACAACCCCACATGAAGTTGTTCTACGGACTCCCAGTGAGCTCTATAATGTCAAGGTAGCTTCAATTCCAAGTTGAATTTGCATTCAAGGCAACAAACAGTAAAAGATTATCAATGGAATTACGACGCTTGTAGGATATTATTTGATCGAGAGTGGGGACAATCTACTTCTCGTAGTCGGACGCATATACACGGAGTTTGTGTTTAACGCCGGATATCTCTCTCTTGAAAATTTACGTTCTAGCAGAAGAATGTAAGCTCGTCTATTGCAGAACAGCTCACGGTGAAACCCAACCTGTAGAGTACTAGCCGAGAATGATAAGCGTGGGACCTAGCGCTCTTTTCTATTTTAGCCCCTTGTATATCCGTAAATCCCATAGTAATGAAAGGCCCAAGCTCTCAGCAATGGAGCCCGCCTTTATTCAGAAAGCCCAAAGGTGGAATTAACGTTAAGCTAAACTTTAGGCCCATGTGGCACTGACAACGATAACTCTGCGTACTACCACACTGCTCGGTTTATCTTGAATGTATTTCTCCTGACTATTCTATTGCGGATGTTTTGACAGTCTAACGAATTAGTTGAGGACGAATACGAGAGACTGAAAAATGAGACCTTCCGTCACCAGATCTCGATGGCATAATCTATGACAAAGATTCCACATCCTCCATCCCACTGCGTACATATCCCGCAGAACCCCTAAGAAAGAGCATTCGGCAGACGACAGGAATCTCCCCGAAGCCGCATTGTCATAGCCTCGCCGACTAGGAAATGTGTGCAGCAGATCACGACGTTAGGCGCTATCATACTTCCGGAGCGGGCCTTTTTTAGGACACCCAAACCGCTAGCCAAGGCAGACCCCTCAAGCCCCTGAATGTTATCCAGCGAATCCAGCAAAGAGAGCAAGATTATTCCGCTAGCCTTCGATCAACCCTGCAGTAATGCACACCCGACGAATAACCGATCCCACAATGCTCGGCGAACCCAACAAAAGAAGACATTTTCCCAGCCGGCCGAATTTTTAGCATCGAAACTAGTGCCAAACCCCGCTCACATCAATACAGTCCAGTCCGGTAGTGGACTGCGTACTCCGTTCTCCGTAACGATACTATCTTTCCAACCGATCCTGCTCGGAAGAGCTCCGACCCAGATACTGTATCCCTGCAAACCTGCAAGATTCCAAGCTAAAGATAGATTCATTGAACGGCTAAGCCAAACGGGCCAAACAGCCACTCCGGCTCGAACAATGCAATGTTATTCTGTTCGGCCCTTCCCCTATCCCCCCCCCCTTTTTACATGCACTGGACATGTACATGCACATGGCTCCGAGTCGACGTACACAGGGAATAATCACTGGAGAGCTTCTCCCGCTGACTCGCGCTCGGGGCATGGACTGGCCGGGATTTGGACTTGTCAAAATGTTGATCGACAACGGTTAATTTGCTAGGTCCCACTACTCCACGCCTTCCCCCCTGACCGTTGGCAGATGCCGAATACATTACTTGTATGGGTACGAGATGTACGAGATGTCCGAGTTTTCGACGAGATATGGGGTTTCCTAAGTTGGCATGTACGTACAATATACTCCGTGCGCGTATGGTAAATGTACATGGAGAATATGGAGAGGGTGGAAAGCCTATTGCAGGGGCTGTAGAGTCTGAAGGGTCTGAAGAATTTGATGAGCCGGGTCGATAGGTCATTCACGTAGATTTTCTGACTCGTGGGTGACGTTTGGCTTCGGGGAAGTGTAAAGGGTAAAGTTTAACTATATTCGGTGTGTACATGTGAGCTGTCAGGCTGTTTTTCTGAGTCTCGTGTTGATATATTGTATCTTAGGTGGAGAAGAGGACTGTGTGTTAGGCGTAAGAACATCCGATTCTCACAATGAGAAGCAGATACAAGAACTAAAAGCATGTCGTTCTATAGACTTTGATGTGCAACTCGAGACGAGGAATTGGTGGGGCATGGATTATGCATACATATGGCACCTGTGACTACATGTAACAATGAACTGAATGTCTACACAAGCGAACGGGTGCACCCCACCACACACGTGGAAGTTTTCTCGGAAGTTGCATGTGGAGGCGATGCCAGATTCAGGGGAGGCAACTCCCTGTTTGGATAGACGAGGGAAGTCGACCCACCGGGTACGTAGCGTGGCAAGCGAGTGTCTCGATCGCAAGCTACAAAAGGCGAATCTCACACTATATCGAGCCGGAGAAATGTCGCCTGAAGATCGGGAATGGACAATTGCATATTCACAGAGTTCTGGTGAGGTGATGCGAGGCTGGTAATGCGTCAATCAGTCTCCACTAAGGCCTGGCGCCAGTCCCAAAGCGATCACCCCTGCCTTAGTAGGTGGACGGCGCGGGATGGATTGTCCATGTACTCTGCAACGAAAATCATGAAACCGGCGCATGCGAACCGACGGGACATTCCGTGTTTGTTTCAGGTGGAGGTCTTTGTACCTTTACCGCGTGGGGTTATCAGAGGGCGATATGGCCCTCCTGTACAGTAAGAAGAAAACATGAGTTCATATTGCGAATGACAGTTTTGCGGCTCGTGGATTTGTGGAGTTGACAGCGGTCCGACTTCTGGTTTGGTCCCGAGGCAGTAAGCGAAAGAGGCCGAGTAGGAGCTTTCTGATTGGGCTATGGGGGAACCCTCAAGCGCGAACTCCGTGTTCGTCGTGCACCACGGACCTGTTATCCAAATTGTACTCCTAGAGAGAGCAAACACTGGTAATAAGGAGCATCGGGACAGAATTCCGCTGTTTCAGACATTCCTTGTGGTCCATGCGGGTTTCAGCGTCGATCTCAGGCTTTGCTCTTGGCGTGGAATAAGTTATTGTGTGCATGTTCCATAGAATACATGTATTATGCAGGCTCCTTGAACACATGGGAAGCCAAGACATATGCAAGGTAGGTAAACAAATGGATTGTTCGAGATGTGCTGATTGGGTTGGGCCCGAGACGCTTTCAATAGTTCCATCTGATCCCGATCTCGGGTTTTGGCATAGTTCCCTGTTCTGTGTAGGTGTCAGTTATACATGTACAAGTTATATTAGTGACAGATGGAGTGACAGGGGTCCCAGAGAGGACTTTTGCAATCAGATGTAGAGTAAAGTACGTGTAATTCCGATTACACAAAAGTACGAGACTTAGTGGCGAGAGAATGATAGAGAGGACTCCGGCATTCTCTCCCCGCTTGTGGATGCGCGTGGGACGGCAGAGACCTTCATTCCTCTCTTCCATTTTCCGCCCCTTGTCTTTCCCGGAGTCCTCGGCTGTTGACCCGGCTCTATTTCGCTTCAGTGAAAACTGAAGAACACCGGTTTAGGAAACTCAGCGGCACCGGATCTCGATCTCTCGAACCCTTGGAAGGCGATCTTGTCACCTGTCGCTCCCCCCCGAACCTCTCTTGGCCTCGACACTGTGTCGCCCACACGGATTCGCCTGTCTCGGAGGATAACCTGGTCTAATTGGAAACACAACAGTCGAATTCACAACGGAGCGTGGTCGCAAGGTGTGGGGAACAATCGAACCTTCAAGCTTCTGCCTATCACATTTCTCAGCGAAGGTAGGCTTCGGGTGTATAATCGCGGGTCTTTTGTGAAGGTAGGCGACCTCCACGCCTTTGGTCCCGATGGTCGAGTTCGGGTCTTTTGGCTCTGAGCTTCGACTGTCGACACCCGCGGTGGCGCAATCCAATCGCATCCCTGACTCAGATCGTGCACACCCAATGTGTCGAGTCTGTCGTCGCACCAGTTCAGCTTGCAATGAATCGTTGCTAACAACCATCGCGCTAGATAATCTATTCTCAACCTGAATCATGGGCTGCTTAGTTTCGACACCGGCGGAGGCGGATAAGGAGGCGCTGCAGCGCAATGCGCGTATAGAACGGAGTATCAAGAATGACAAGAAGACGCTCGACCGGACCATCAAGATTCTGCTACTAGGTGGGTGAACCCATCTCGGTTTGTTTGAGTGCGATACTGACAACTTGGCCAGGCGCGGGAGAATCTGGGAAATCGACCATTATCAAGCAGATGCGCATCATTCACAGTCGAGGATTTCCCGAGGAAGAGCGGTATACGACGCGCGCCGTTATTTACTCGAATCTTGTCATCGCCTTCAAGGTCTTGTTGGATATTATGAATGCCGAGGGTATCAATTTCGAGAATGAGGAAAAGACCAAGGTACTTGAGATTCTTGTTAAAGAAGTGTGCTTTGGCTAACGAGTTTGAAAGTCATACGCGGAGTTATTAGATCACACCGACCCAGATGTAGGATCGGACGAGGCTTTCTCAGACCTGACGGTTCGGGATGCTATGAGGGCGATGTGGAAGGATACAGGTGTGCAGACAGCTGTTGCGCGAGGGCACGAGTTCGCTCTCCATGACAACCTGTACTAGTTAGTCAATGTCGGAATCTGTGTCTTACATGGGCCCAAACTGACCATCGCAGTTTCTACGAATCTCTGGATCGCATATTTACACCGGGTTGGCTTCCGGACAACCAGGACATGCTCCAAGCTCGACTCCGGACGACCGGTATCACGGAAACTCTCTTCGAACTTGGGCAAATGAACTTCCGAATGATGGATGTCGGAGGACAACGATCAGAGCGGAAGAAATGGATCCACTGCTTTGAGGGTGTTCAGTGTCTACTGTTCATGGTCGCCTTGTCAGGATACGACCAATGTCTGGTGGAAGATCAGAACGCTGTAAGCGCAATATCTCCCATACTCTCTCGATCAGCGCTAATGCCCGCCACAGAACCAAATGCACGAAGCCATGATGTTATTCGAATCTCTCGTCAACGGTGAATGGTTCAAGCGCAAGCCAATCATCCTTTTCCTCAACAAGATCGATTTGTTCAAGGGGAAGCTTGCCATCTCTCCTATCTCGAAGCACTTCCCAGACTACACGGGCTCTGACACCGATTATGATGCTGCCGCGCGGTACTTTGCGGACAGGTTCCGTGGCATCAACCGAATCCCAGACCGCGAGATCTATATCCATTACACCAATGCAACAGACACCACATTGCTCAAGGCGACTATGGATTCAGTACAGGACATGATCATTCAGAAGAATCTGCATACCTTAATACTATAAGGCAGTGACTTTCCATTTCCAGAGGCATCTCAGACGAGTCTCTCTGTTACGATGATTTCTTTTCTCTTCTCTTCATTTTCAACTCCAAGCTCCTCAGCCTACCTTTTATTTTCCGGTTGCATTGCAGGGCGGATCTTCTTTCACTCCTTTGTGACTTTTGCCACATGTACCTTTTCTTCTACATTGCTTCTTTTTTATTGTGTTGACGAAGGCGTCTTGATTGAGAGGTTATTGTCGGCTCTCTGCTCGCATCCTTGGGTCTATCACGTTGCATCCAAAAGCCCATCCGATTTTGCCAACTAATGCCTCGCTTTGTTTCCAGCGACGGTGTCTTTTCCTTTTCTCATTTCATTTTTTGTAATGCAGGATGATACCACTTGTTTGTCTCTGCAGCTGTGTTATACTTGACGACTCTGCCCTGTATCATCACAATCATTCTGGATTTCCTATTTACTACTATCTGAATGATATCAATATACTGCTCTATGAGGAGCACTCTTTGCTTCTTTTTGCTCTGTATATGCTTACTGTTTGTTTATTTGCCTTGCATGCGCTTACTATCGGATTCCTTGTATGTAGATCGTGCCTCGTGCGTCATTCATGCGCTGTCTACCACCAACACCCCTAGAAATAGAATATGGCAGATGACCTTACAAGAACAGATTTCATGCACAGTAAATGCAGTTCTCAAGTCAAATCGCGCGAATAAATATCTCTAAGATGTTCAGAGCAACACCTGAGGCATCAATCTTACATAACCACATCCGCATGATCAGTGACACCGAATTCCGGCCCGACTGATTTCGCCTCCGATTCAGACTCATTCACCTCCCAGTGACTGGGTTTATATCTGCCAACCATGTTGTCAACATCGTTACGCCGGGCGGCATGGTCTCCCATGCCCCTGCCCGGGATAACTCGCCCCGCTCAGAATGTTACCAACGGCCTGCTCGGCGCAACCCGACCTCTGCACCAGCGCCGATATTCCTCCTCGTCCTCCAAACCCCCAGTCCCGCCCAGCGATGGCTCCCGCCGCATGGACGCCTCTACCCCGGCAAAGGGAGTCAACTCGTCTGGCGAGAAGAGCAAAGCTACCCGCCGACGCAAGGACAACTCTGCTCGTAACGGTTCGTCAAAGTCTAGCCAGCAGCATGCGGCATTTTCGAAGCTTCCGAGTGTTCCCTCGACACAGCACCGCCAACCCCATGGTGAGTAGCAGCGTCCAGATTTACAAAGATATCCTTTCTCGTGAAGAAATGCCCGAAGCTAACTTTTCTTTTTCCTTCGTTAGATGTCCATGTTGCCTCGTTCTTCTCCATCCACCGGCCAATCTCGGTGACAACCACTGTGCCCCCGACCTCGAGCACCGACGCCTTCGAAGCGATCTTCTCGTCAAAGCGGCCCCTGAAGAACGAACCGGAGGACGTCATCTTCACTCTTTCCTCGGCCGTGCAGAACATGGAACACGGCGCACAGGGCATGTCAGAATCCGAAGACCAGTTCCGAAGCTTCAGCGAGCAGGACGGTGAACTCCGTATGCTGGACGGCCCCGACGCAAAGATGTCTGTGGAGGAATTCACCCGCCGTCTCCGTCCCTTCCAGCCTCCTCCCCCACCAGTCCCTATGGACACAGCCGCCGTCGAGGCCAGCGAGTCCCAAGATTCCCAGGTCGACAACGAGTACTCCACCTACTCGACCGTTCTGACAATCCGCGAGGCTCGCCACGCTGACGGCCGCAAGACCTACGAGGCCCACACTGGTCCTTTCGTCCGCAGCGAGATGGAGGATTCCGGTGTGCACAACGAGGTCAGCATCGAAGCCCCGGCTGATAACACCTCTGGTATGACATACATGGAGCGTGTGCGTAACAACCGCACCATGCATGCAATCTCCACCAAGAGACGTCGCAAGGTCAAGATGAAGAAGCACAAATTCAAGAAGCTGATGAAGCGCACGCGGACCTTGAGACGGAAACTCGAGAGGTAGATAACCTCTCGGTTTCCTGTTTAATTTTATACAACCTTTGCGTTGTCAGTTGCATCTTGTTTGCGCCTGCTCCTGTGCATTTTGGGCTGAGGCTAGTCTTGTGAGAGTTCAGGGCATATATCCTTGTTCGTATACGTTTTATTCTTTTTTTCCTTTACACATCTTCTCCTCTTTCCTCTACTCTATCTCACCTAACTCGCACTCTACCAAATTTTCACATACACCTTGGTTCCTTGGGTTCTCTTTTCTTCATGGAGACTTGCAGTCTTTGGCTTCTCTTTTATGCATGTGGGCATTCCATCCCATGTATTGCGGCCTACCCAATAGATATGTTCATGTGCTGTTCATCCTCGTGCATTTTCTGCTTTCTGAGTTGAGTGTCTGCCTGTATTGAAATAGCCACTGGCAATAGAGACAAGGTTTACGACTGTAGTCCTTTTCAAACACTAGCCTTGTAGTCCATTGGATCTATGACCCATAGGTTTACACATAAATTGATGACACGAGTCAAGAACTGGCCAGGAGCATATTACACAAATTGGAAATTGCTATATCATACGGAAAAGAAGGACCCGACGAAAGCTCATAAGACAAGAAAGCCAAATCCAAGGAGCAAAATGTTCATAGATAAGACAAAAAGAAACATTAGCAAGAAACGAAACTCCTTACAGAAGAACCCGCCTAGCCACTGTGATGGAAGTGAGGTAAAGACCCAAAGTCAGGATCAGCGAATTTCATATAAAGTACAGAGCCCAGCGCGATAATGCAATGTAAAGCCAAAAATCCAATATCTACCCACAGCTGTCCACAGTCCAGGTCGAATGCTTGCACAGATTCCCCGATTCTACATACCAACAGTAATCAGAAAACCTCTTCTCAAGACGGAGATAGATGTATCATTTTCCGAAATCGGTTTCTCTCCTACACCCGCCCGCGTCAATCATATTTGTCATGTCAGCTTCCCCGGCGGAAGAGGTCCTTTGATTTGCGTCAGGGAGATGTTGAAGAAGCACGTCGGAGAATCGAGCCTGGAATCACGCAGGGAGATGTAAACCATGGTGCGATTCGAGGTTCGATTCCCGATATGCGGCGGGAGGTTGTTCGTTTAGCAGTCTGCTTTGGAGCGGGAGTTCATGAGCAGAGCCACAATCAACCCATACAGACCCAAGACTTCAGCGAAAATGAGAATCAAAATCATTCCAACGTAGAGTCTGGGCTGTTGAGCCGTTCCTCGAACACCTGCATCACCGACAATACCAATAGCGAAACTGGAGTGCAAATATAGTTAGAAATGATGCTCCACATGTGACGCTTGAGACGTTTTTGGGAATGACTTACCCCGCAGCGAGACCAGCCAGACCGACAGCAAGACCAGCACCGAGCTGGATGAAACCAGTGTAAAGAGGGAGCTTCTGGGTCAGGTCGTTGGCGACCAAGACTGACACGACCAGACCGTAGATACCAATAATACCCGCCATGACAATGGGGACAATGTCTATAAATCATTGTCAGCGAACCATCCAATTCTTCAAATGCCAGCATAGAGATATCCAGCAGCATAGCAACATCTCATTTGTTCGAGGGCAACATACTCTTGACGATCAGGTCAGGACGGAGGACGGCCATGGAGCAGACTCCGACACCGGCCTTAGCGGTTCCATAGGCGGCACCGAAGCAGGTGAAGACGATCGCGGAGGTACAGCCCAGCGCGCCGAAGAAGGGCTAGAATGAAGATGTCAGTTATGATTCGATGGGTTCATGCAGATGTTGACAAGGATGCGGAGAGGCGGTCGAGACACGGGCGATTTGCGTAATCGTGCTCGGGGCGGAATGGAATGTGTAGATAGACTCACCGCGTAGACGGGGCTGTAAGAATGCATATGTTAGCAAGATTGATCTATCTCCACTCGTGATACCGGGAGAATGCCGAATATGATAACCAAGTAACGATCGGGAGCTGTCAAGCACCCAGGGGTTGGAGAGGTCTTGATGACGACTTACCAGAGTTCTGTGGCCATTTTGATGGACAGCGACCCAGCTAGGTTCTCGAGGAGTAGTTGGAGCTTGAAAAAGATGTGAAAAGACCCGAGGTTGGCAGGTTCAAGTTGGATGCGGTCGGGAAGGATGGAGAGACCAGAGGTTTGGACGTTGACGGCAAACATGCTGGCCTCAGGTCTGATCACGTGTTCTTGGCATTTCTCCACCGGGACGGGTACTCGATCATTATATGACATGTTAGACATGCATTTGTGATAGATTTCTTTTATTTGGCTATTGTACATGGTCTAGTCTATCCATATAGCCTCAAGGAGCACTCGAGATCCTGGAATGTCCAACTTGGTGGACTCTGACCCAGCTCCTTTCATCGGCTGGGAGTACGCAATTGCCTTCTCAGACAGGGCGCCGAATTGATAAGGCATAGCAACGAGATCTTTCACGCTTGAGCTGCCCTCATGCGTATCCAGTTCCATAGAGTCAGATACCATACCAAAGTGATAGCTGACAGCAACTTCTGGCGGGCCAGCTTCATCCGAGACTTTACTTTGTGAATAAGTCGGCTCTACTGCCACAAAGAACTGAATGAAATCACCTGCAGTAGCGACCTGTGAAAGAAGAGACAAATCATCCACGGTTATGCCCTTGTCAAGAGAAGGCAATGTGTCGGTGGGCAAATTTTCAGGATCGAAGATTTGACTCAAGGCAACTAGCTCGTCGCGATTAGCTGTCCCCGAGAAGCTGACTTCGGGGTCCAGTGAAAGGAGGCCTTGCTTTTTGCCCCATCCCCCTCCACCACTCATGACACGGTGCAACTTGCCACCCTGGTGCAGAGACTGGATCAAGCGATCATGGGTCGATGCAGCTGCATCGGCTACAACTATCTCAGGCTTCTCCACCAGCGCCCATACGGACACCCGTTGGTCAACAATATTATGCTCTGCAATATAACGCGGAAGCTCTTTCTCAAGCTCCGAAGAAGCAGGCATTGGCTCATTGGACGCGGGATCAGTCGATTTGCCCAGTTGTCGTAGAATGTTTCCCATGCTAGAGATGACCTTTCGCCGTTCGGTCACTTGGTGCAATGGAAGATCCAGTGTAGTGTTCACAGCTTGCGCAGTAGCCGTAACCATGCAGCTTGTAAGATCGACTGATTGTTCCAAAACGTACTCGTTTGAGCCGCTATCCCGAAGCCATTGCGTGCCTGATATCGTCGTTTCCTTCCCGTTGACAAAAACGGTGTTGGCAAGACGTAGTCCAATTTCGTGGGCAGGTCTGTTGTTGGTTTGGCCAGGACTCCCAGTTTGAATGGAAACCAAGAGGTTGGTCTCCTCGCTGGCAGAGCTTCTAATGAGACGAGGCGGTGCAGCCTTTCCGTGGAAATTTGATTCTTCAGTCACCAAAAGCGACAGACCTTCTGATTCTGTTGACGCCGCAGGGGAATTCTGAGACGCAGGTGCTGTGGATATCGTACGGGTATCTGGAAGTGCGTCGACCACAGCGGCGACAGCGTAGGCAGAAGTTGCCTCCGCAGAAGTCCCATATAGTTGGCCTAGACATTGTGACAGGAAAGGACTGCTAGGGTCGAGCCAGTGGGCAAAGCTCGGGGTGACCAGGAGGAGAGGAACGGAATTGGGGGCATTCGAAGATGGTACTGAAGGAAGACTAGATAGGATATCATCTGGTGTCTTTCATAGTTTAGCTCATATCCAACAAGAAAGGGATGTTGTTGACTCACTATGTCTTCTGGTGTATTTGTGAGCCATGTGCATGCAAAAGGTCGCCCACCTTTCGGGCTTTGAGTCGCATACCATCTCTGTGTGCGCCCGAAGCTTCTTAGGGCTTGATGAGAGCATTGGAGCTTCTGACGTTGTAGATTGAGGGCCACCCTCATTGACATGATCCCTGCGACGCGAGAATCGTGAACATTAATGCATCGAATCCGAACTCCAATCAGGAAAACGCGGAAGTCATTGCGAAGGTGGGCCGGAGCGGAATAACTTGAGTGTCACGACTATATATGCCTACATCGATCAGCCGTTTATTCTAATATCATGTTGCGAGATTCTAGCGAGCAACACCTAATTCTACGAGTTGTTACAAGAAATAGTAAATTGTGCCTCTTGGAGAGGTTCAACCACGCTAAGCCTATCCAAGTAATCGTCCGCGGACCACCGCGGCCTCACTCTACATCCTCACCTTACCCTTCAACCTGCTTCAAGCGGGCCATATACACAATGAAGCGAACTAGAGATGGCTATCCTATCATATTGATGCATCAAGGGAACCGAGCACCCTCGTCGTGCCAAGCCTGCCGCGAGAAGAAACGCCGCTGTGATCGCACCCAGCCATGTTCGAACTGCATGCAAAGGAACATGTCATGCGAATACCCTGGACAGAATCCCGAGAGCTCAGAGAGAGATGCCTCTAAAGCACTATGTATGGCTAGTTCGAGCCAAACGACTATTGCCCAGTCCCAGGCTCCCGCTACTGTGGCTACATCTCAGTAAGCAGTATGCCCCGTTCGAACCTATTTGGAGCTGTTTGTACCGGCTCACTGACACCTGAAAGGAATGATGATATTTTGAATCGAATACGTAAGCTAGAAGAGACTGTGTATGAGAGATCAAATGCATCTCGAGAATTGAACCGGGGAATCTCTACAACGCTAAGATCTCCTGCAAACACAGTATGTACATTTGCTCCAGTCCTGTGATTTTTTCATATTTTTACTTGATGATACTGATCTGACCCAAAGACATCTATGCCTGCATTATTCACTCCTTTCGCATTGCACCATCAGTCGACGCCAGATGACCAACCTGACAGTACCAAAGAACAGGCCGACACGACTGAAGCAATAAAGCAGCTCCCACCGATAGGACAGGCAAGGCACATGTTTGATCATTTCGTCAAAACCCTACAGCCGACATTTGGAATCCTACATATACCCTCCACTCGATCAATCATGGAAAAGACCTACCAAGGCATGCTCGACGGTGAACAACCCACTTCCACCAATCTAATGCTGCTGTTCAGCATCTTCTCCGGTGCAGCCCTGGTCTGGTCCCCTTATCTTCTGAGGCAATTGAACGCCACCCAAGATGAAGCCAGAGCAGCCTTCAACACTTACAGCCTGTTGGCTACCTCTATTTTGGAACATCCACTTGAGCCTGTGCAGCCATCAACCACAGCCATAGTGGCCATTGCTACTCTCGGTCACTTGCTTGCCAATACCGTTGGATTCTCTATAAAGATTGGTCTCCTGCAAACCCGGTGCTTCTTGATGGCCCAAGCGCTGCAGATTCATCGCTTAGACACTGTACAAGCCCAGGAGGAGCGAAGGGTCAAGGGGTGCGATATGATCGATATTGAAGTTCAAAGACGGTTTTGGTGGAACATGGTGGCAACTGACTGGTACATAGCCTGATGATATTGGATATCGGATTAATGGCTGACAGCCGCAGGCTCGCTTCCTTCTTTGGACGGTCACATGAAGGCACATACATCTTCCAACCAAGACATATGAAAGTGAACTATCCAAGCAACATCGATGACGAGCTGCTTACGGCCACGGGGATTCAGCAGGATCTTCCCTCATCAGTTCCGACAGCAATGTCAGGACCTATCCAGCGAATCCGGCTGGCAACTCTTTGCCGCGAAGTGGTTGATGCTGTACCCTCGATCCTGCTAGATGACCAAGAACCCGAATACGAGGTGATACTTGCACTGGACAAGAAATTCCATGAATGCTTCGAAAATATGCCAGACTTCTACCGAATGAACCCTGAGAGCATTCAGAGAAGTCAGGACATCTGCAAAGAGCGACCATACATCACATGGCAGCGAATCAATTTTCACTTCAGCATACATACACGGCTATGCCGATTACATCGACGCTACCATCTTGAAGGCGTGACGAATCCCAAATATGCCTATTCCCACAGAGCATGCATTCGCTCAGCCCAGGCCGTATTAGAGCTAAGACGTGCAATGGACGACATCGACCCCGAAGCTGGAGGCTATCCCGCGCGCTTTTGGCGAGTCAACCAGCACGTCTTTCTCGCAGCGCTTATCTTAGCAACGGACGTCTCGTTCCACCCCAATGCACCAGACGCTGAGGCTCGCAAGGCGAAGGTCCTTGCTGCCTACAAGACCTTGGAGAAATCAAAGCAAGAGTCCGGATCACTGGTGGAGGGCGTACAAAGAAACATGCAGACTCTCATGTCGACGCTTCAGAAACAACAGCCACGACTATCAACGTCGCAGCCAAGATATCTGACAGGGATAAAGGAGCCATCCGTGGCGGCTCGCGAAACAGGGCTGAACAATACGCTGACTGGTGGGCCCGGCGAACTGTCGATGGCCAATGAAGGTGATCAGAGCTTGCAGATGCAGTCTGGGTGCACTCCAAGTGGAGGCTTGACAGATGATATTGGGGAGGAAGGCTGGCAGCAGCTCTGGTCTGACTTTGTGGCTGTCGCGCCAGATCTAGACGTCCCACAGTGGAACTCCTTGTTGGACGATATCGATTTTGGCTCAGGCTGGCTGGACGGCTCTGTATAGACAAGCTCACCGACTTTACTTGGTGTTCTACATTCAAATAACTTACCTTATTCCCTATTTTTGCTCTTATTATACGCACCGTTTATACAAAACAAAAGTACGCGAGTGCTTCCCTTGATTGCGTCAATGCCTCTCTCCCTGTTTAGACACAAGTACAACGGTCCCCAGCCACCCAGTGAAGTGTGAAGTCATAGGCCGATGACATATGATTGCAAGCGCCTTGGCAGGTGGACCAGGGCCCATTATAGGGCTGGCATTGTTTGGCTCGAAGTGTGCGGCGCCACCAGTTGTACAACAAGCAGGTACTTGGAGTGATGATCCCCGGGAACAAAGTTCACTCTGTACCGTTCGTAGTGATCGTCAATCATGAGACCTAGCGCCCCTCAAAGCTGGAAGCTGAATATTGAATAAGAACAAAACAAAGATCAAACATAGAAGGATGAAAATTGCAGCCTATGGCGCCGCCAAGCATCAACCAGGCAGCCAGCAAAAGGCTGCACGGGATAGGGCAGAGTGAAGGTGATTGGAGTTGCAGCCGCTAGCGCAGAAAATCCCTTAATCATCATCTTGGCATGTTGAGCCGAGGACGGGATGAACGATCGCAATTACAATCCCAACATGTCTGCAAATTAGAATTAGAGAAGAAAGGTAAACTGGAAACAGGAAACAGGAAACAGGAAACCGGGAAAGAAAGAGCGCAGAGATAACTCAAGAGTAAAAAAAGAGAAGGTACAGCCACAACAGTGCCTTGAGTACATGCGCCACAGAGCTGGCGGCATGATGTAATGACCCAAGCTGCCCAGGGCCGCTCTCCTTTTTAAGTCTTCCTCTCTCCCGTCTCCCTTCTTTCACTCCAACTTTACCATCCTTCAAAATGCCTTTCACCGCTTCGTAAGTTGCTCTTATCTTGCGCATTCCCAGTCTGCCTCAGTCTACCCGGACATCTCCCTGTCTCGGATCCGACTTGCGCCATGTCGTCATGTCGCCCTGTCCTGTCGCGGTGTCGCTTGCAAGAGGAAATCCACCAGTCTGCTAACCTTTTTTGATAGTGACATCTGCAAGATCATCTTCGCCATCATCCTGCCTCCTCTGGGTGTCTTCCTGGAGCGCGGATGTGGTGCTGACCTCCTGATCAACATCTGTTTAACCATCCTGGGATGGATCCCTGGTATCATCCACGCCATGTACGTGTCTCCCACTGTGATGACAGTTCTTCCGACTTTCCGCGATCACCTCACTGACTCTTTCTCGCAGCTACATCATCTTCAAATACTAGCGATACCCACGTTCCTCACACCGTCGCAGCCAATAATACTTGCCACTCGATATTTCGTGAAAAGCGAGTCCCTGTGACCAATCTCACCTTCATTCCCCTCAAGCAAGGGGCGGTACGATTCAATATGAGGGTGTCAGCGTGGCCCGAAGAGGTCCGGTTGGGACTAGCCTGATGCAGCCTCCGCCACTTGGCATCGGATCCGGCATGATTTCCATAATTCCCTAATCTTGTGTTGTTCTGTGGCATGCTTTTCTTTTGTTGTTTTTTTTTTTGTTCTGCTGCGGGTTCTTGGTTTTTCGTTTCGATTGATACCAGCTCATACCATGTTCTTGGGCATCGTTGTTTCGTGTCAATGCCCGCTAGCTAGCCTTATGATTCATGGGTATGAATTTATTACTCGGTTTAAACGCATTTCATTCTACGTAGAGGTATCTTCTATGGTTTCTGGTACCTGGCGGGACCTGTCGGAGCACAGTTGCATAAATTGGACAAACTGACCTCAGGATGAGCCTGCCTTGTGGGCCTATGTCTTGATTAAAATTATTGAAATCATTGAAACTGTCGAACTGATTGGCATCAAGTGGCTCTGCACAAAGCGGGTCTAATCAGACCGTACAATCCGAGAATGCACACCAAAGCCTATGTACAGCAACAACAAACAAGTCTGGCCGTGCAAGTCTGGCTGTGAGTAATCCAACACAAGCACCTTCAGGACCAGGTAACCCGAGGCCAATCACTTGATTAACCGAACATATGATTCCCAGAATCGAAGTCTTCTAGAAACCCTAAGCTGCAGTCCAGCGCTGGCGGGTAGAAGACCGAAGAAATAGACACCAACCACAACACCACGCAACAACCCAACCAAAACACAAATAAACCATCCACTAAGCATCCAAGATCTGAAACCTAGTCTGGGCGCCATCAACAACTCATTCTGCAGCCTAAGCGCCCACGATGGCCCGGCGCGTATCGCAGCCGCTTGCAGGGACGCCCACCAAACCAAGGCGCTACGCCTCTGCAGCCATTCGTCTGCTTCGAGACTACTCCAATGATATAATATGTCATACAGGGTTTTACTGTAGCGCTTACAAAGGCACAGCCTCCAGCACTCTGTTTCAGGATGGTCGGGGGTCTCAGCCTCTAGGTCTGCCCGGGACATGGCCAGCGTCATGAGTAATTTTGCCTTCGCGCGTAAGAGGGCGTTGCGCTTTGGTGTTGTGGTTAATTAGGCTTGCGTCCCTTCTTGGTGGGCTTTTTGGCTTACTTTGACACTGTCTTTCGAGTGTTGATTGTTTTTTTAATACTTCGACGCTCTGTTGCTTTCGCATTGCTTACACTACCACTACTGACGATGGTAACCATATGGATTGTAGATGTCCGCGGGTAATCATTCCCATTCATGATTTTACAAGGTTGGTAGAAGGGTTGAAGTTGTTTGTGGTTGACGATTCGCTGATGTTTGCCGTCTACAGGGCTAGCGCAGTATGCTCGTTCTTTCTATTCACGGGATACTCGTTGCGATCCTACTTTTACTTCCAGTCGGCTATGCGGCCGATACATCCGACTCATCTTTACTGAGTATGGTCCCGGACTGTGCCCTGGACTGTCTGAATAGCTTCATCAAATCCGAATACACGCCCGAACAATGCAAATCGCCGTCTAATATCCCGTGTCTTTGCCGACACAAATCAACCAGTGGCGAGTCGTTGGGGGGTGCGGCTTTGAGTTGTGTGCATTCTGGGTGCTCGCAGAAAGTGCTTGCAAGCTCCAATGCATATCGGATCTGTGATTCGGTTTCCGGGGCTCTTTCGCAAACACGTAAGACGCATACCATGACGATATTATCTGACTCAACTACCACGATGAAGGGAGGTGCAGCAACTACGAGTGAGGCATCATCGACTAGCTCTGCGGGAATGACTGTGGTTTTTATGACCTCAATAATATCTTTGACGCCGACACCGATTACTTCCTCACCTACTTCGAGTGCGTCTTCGGATCTAACGTTTTATAATCCTTCGTCTTCAGCATCTGAGACCCAACAAACAACTAGCACCGAGCCGACTCCTGTCCCTTCTAGTGACATCTCTGCGGATACGAACAAGAAAAATCACCACGGAATCAGTGCAGCAGCAGTCATTGGAATGTCAGTCGCATCAGGCATAGCAGCGTCTTTCATCATCGGCGTCGCTGTATTCTTTTGCTGCAAGAGACGGAGAAAGCAACAAAGAAGCGAGTCAGACCCCCATGTTTTCGAGATTGGAGGTGCCATGACTGAGCCTCCCGACTTTTCGAAACCGATGCCCCGACTCCCAACATCTGGCCCAGACCCCGGGTCCTCACCCAGTCCAGTGAGCTCAGAGGGGAGAAATACACAGCAAATGAGTTCTGTTAAACCGATGGCCTTCATCCGGTCACAGTCACCTTACTCGCCTGGCTATGCTTCAGCTTCCCACCAACCTCAAATCAACCATTCCAGCCGCCAAGAGCGAATAGGGTTCGCCATCAGCTCAGACTCCGATTGGGATACGTCCCCTCGAACCCAATCTTCACAGCACAGCGTGGCACGACTGATACCCGAGGGCTCAATCGGACTATATCCAAAGCCACTTAAATGGAGCCACCGACCAGTCAGTGGAGAGACCCTCTTTGAAGAAGACGAAAGTCAACAAGCTGCATTTGCAACAAGTAAGATAAAACCCAACAGTTCAAAACCAGGAGTCGCACCCAAGCTCGCCGGTCTACCAGCCAACCCCCGTGCATACAAGGAAGGAGGAGTAGGAGTCCCAGCAGGACCAAGACCAGGACCCCCAAGGGCCCTCGCACCACCATTCTCCCACACCTCAACTCTCAGAACCTCAACATCAGACAGCAGCACAGCACCAAACGACACCGCCAACGCATCAAATCACATATCCACCTCCAACACCAACACCAACACTCTCCTCCCACCCTTCACCACGAAAGCTCAAGACCAAAACCGCACCGCCAACAAACCCCCAGCCCAAACCCCCCAACCGTCCCCAATCCCATCCTCCTCAACCCTCCCCATAGGCTCAGAAATCGTCTCCAAACCCCGCATCGTACAGGGGAAGGATATAAAAAGAGTCCAAATCCGCAATAGTCCACGCCCACCCAGTGAAGTCGTCGCGCCCTACTGTCCTGATGATCTCTGGCTAGAGCGAGGACGCACTCTTGTGCCGCCGAAATCGAGAAATCCTTCTGGAGAACTGCCTTATCCTTCCGACATGTTTCCTGGGGATGTGCATTACCCTGATAGTCCAAAAAAGAAGGCTGTTACGGTTTCCAATCGTGTTTCTCCTACGAGTCGGAATTTGACGCCTTCGAGGAGGGGCGAGGATTTGATTTTGAGGGTTGATTGAGGGTTGGTGTGTTTTGTTCCTATGTTTTCATTCTTGTAGATTATAAGTTTTTCATTCTTATTTCTTCTTTCTTTGCCGTTGTTGTTGTTGATATTGTTGATATGGGTGGTTCGTTCTCTTTGGCCTTTCTTTTGTTGTTGTACGTGTTGATGAAACAAAACTTGTATATTTAGAATTCACACCTTTACATTCACTTTAAGGAGCTGATAGCGAGAATATTGATAAAGGATATAGTTGAAATTGGATGAGTGTGATATCCATTTAAGATTCGTGGTGGCCTGACGGTCCTGTTCACAAAGCTTTGATCACAGGCAGTCAACCGTCTCCTTTATCAACACCTCCCTTGTTTGCTCGACAACATGTTAACGACTTCGCGCTCAGAATTTCCACGAAATAATGCAGCCACCGCCGCAAGCCACACGAGATCCAACGATTCAAGCACTTAAGGTCAAGGCTCGACGGTCTGCCAATCATCTCCTTAGGGTTCCATTACCCGAAAGACTCGTGATTGGGGCTATTCTCTGTGGGTTCTCCCTTGATGCAAAGCTATCGACGATATAAAGGGGTCCTCGGATCATGATAGCCATAACAGCAGAGTGGAGACGCAAACAGGGTTCCCCAGAATCAGTCGATCACGATCTTCAATGTGTCGGCAACCGCCTCTATGGGTCAAGATCTCAAATTTGCTTCCACATGAATCCCACGACAACATGAAAGCCAAAGGGCCCATATAGAGGAACCCTCTCTTCAGCAGAGCTTGTGAAAGAGCCCAAAATCGAGTCCAGAACCATATCATCAACACCCTGTCCATCGTGAGCTCCTCGTTGCTTCCAAAGGATTAATGATCAATGTGTACAGACTGTGCGCAGACCCAAACTAAAAAGGCAACTTTACCTTTTCCTTCTCTATACAAACTACCAGGATACCATTCTCCGCACGCTGAGCTGTGCCCCGACAGCCGCGCATGACGCCAGCCCACCTCTGCTCTTGGAACCCGTATGTCCCTCGATCATGGGCTGCCTTCCGTCATAGAAACAGACTCGCGGCCCGCCCACGGGTGTATCCACAGTGACAACATTTGGCGCTCTCGAACTTTTTGGTTGTCCGAGAAATGTCCGGCTAGGGGATAGGGGCCCTTGTATGTACCATTTCACTGGATGTTTGAGATATCAAGGCTGTGGGTACTTCTACACCCGCCTCTTTCTTTCTTTCTCTCTCTTTTTTTGTGTTTTTCTCTTTTTTTGTGTTTTTCCCCTTCGAGGTGGCACCGGCCGACATGTGGTGGCGGCGCCGTGCCGCTTGATCCCCTTAGTGCGGACCACTCAGCTCTAACTATGGCGCACAATGGTCTTTATGCGGTCTAGCATACTCTGATTCCATTGATGATCCAGATATAATTTGTGGTTCGCTTTTTCTTGTTATTCTGGTTCCTGTAATGAGTCAGCATAATGACGTCAATATCCCCGACATATCCCGCGGTGACGCTCGTTGGCTCGACATCATCCAGTCGGAGGACGCACGTCGAATTTACTCGGGAAACTTGAGGGCTGAGCACGGGTTGGCTAGATTAGAAATACGAGACGCCGAAAAGACGTCGCCTCTCGGTAGTACTCTCGGAGTATCGATCACGCCACGCCGAAAGGCTTGGATGGTTCGAATGCTGCAATCAGAGGAATCAGATACTTGATTAGTACTGATTTCCCCTACGTCAACTGTTCTTTTCCACAGGGCTCCACCATTTGAACTCGGATGTCTCTTGGACAAATCAGCTTGTCCAACGGATTCCTGCGCCAAGAGTGCGCCGTTGTGTATCCACAGCTACGTTCGACTTCAAAACGCTTAGAGATACGCAGTCCCAACCTAAAAATGGCCGATGACGAAGGCCATTCAAGTGTGCGGACCCCTGCCCCTTGGGTAACAGGATCGACGGTGTTGAAGTTACTCCGTTGGGCCTCAGTCTGCTATATAAATGGCCCTTCGTCCCCACTGGCTCCATCTACCCTAACTCATTCGACTCAAGTTGCTCGACTCTTGCTGTGATCTACTTGATCCTCCTGCAGCCTGCATAATCGTTGACGCTTATCACAATCTATTCACAGTCATTGAACTTTCAAGCGTCTGTTTGACTGTGTGTTTGACGATCTGCAACCGGTTATATCACAACTCAACAGGCAGCGATTAACATCGTCATTGTACCCGCATTTCAGACCCACACCGCTCACTTTCCATTCACAATGGCTACATCCGACGGATACGCAAAGACAGTCCGCCGACTCGACAGCCTGGATGCTGCTCAGTCAGACCTTTATGGTGGACCAACCGTTGTCATTCCTCCCAAGCATTTAATGGCTTCTGATTCTGAATTTATCTCCAACCACTCGAATATGACCAAAACTCACCACGAAGAAGAAGTCTCGTCTGAAGATGACTACTCTCAAATCCCTACCCCCATGTCCAACCCCCCTGCAGTCACTAGCGATGACTTTGCACTGGCCTTTGACATCGACGGCGTCCTCATTAAGGGCGGAAAGCCTATCCCTGCAGCCGTCGATGCGATGAAATACATCAACGGTGAAAACCCGTACGGAGTCAAGGTGTGAGTACTTGCCCTGTGTGTTCTATTTCTCGCACTCTTGAGTGAGGGGAAACCCTTTTAAGCAAAACATCCTAATGGCATTCTTTTTAGTCCTTACATTTTCCTCACCAATGGCGGTGGTAAGACCGAGAAAGAGCGATGCCTTGATCTCAGTCGCCAACTCGACCTCGAGGTCGACCCTGGCCAATTCATTTGCGGTCACACCCCAATGCGTGATATGGCAGAGAAATACCACACTGTCCTGGTGGTCGGCGGCGAGGGCGAGAAGTGCCGTATCGTGGCCGAGGGATATGGATTCAAAAATGTCATCACGCCCGGCGATATCATCAAGACGCGACACGACACCACACCGTTCCGCACATTAACAGACGAGGAACTCGAGAACTCGCGCCTCCTCGATCTCGACAATCTTCGCATCGAAGCGATCTTCGTTTTCGCCGACAGCCGTGATTGGGCCGGCGACCAACAGATCATCCTAGACTGCCTCATGACAAAAGACGGGTGGTTGAACACACGGTCGGAAACCTTCCAAGAGGGCCCACCGGTCTTCTTCTCGCACACCGATGTCGTGTGGTCTACCTCGCACGAACACTCCCGTCTTGGAATGGGTGCGCTGCGCGCTTCCCTGGAAGCTGTGTACGGAGCCCTGACAGGAAAAAACCTCAATACCATTGCCTTTGGCAAGCCCCAAATCGGCACTTATAAATTCGCCACCGGGCTTTTACAGAAATGGCGCAGTGACTCTTGCGGTATCAACAAGCCTCCGTCTACTGTGTACTTCATTGGCGATACGCCGGAGTCCGATATCCGTGGCACGAACGAGTTCAACGAGACCACGGCCAACGATTGGTTCTCGATCCTCGTTAAGACTGGTGTTTACCAGGATGGTACTGTCCCGCGGTACCCACCCAGGAAGACGTGTGAGAATGTCTTCGAGGCTGTTAAGTTCGCTATCGAGCGTGAGCACAACAAGCCATGCAAGGGCTCCACAGTTTCCTAGCTCGACAATGATACCAGCCAGAAGGTTAGAGAAGTTGCCAACTATTATATTTTATGGCCTTCTATTTTTCATGACTTTATTGTTCCCAATCACACTGTTGTGTATCAACCGGTGTGTTTTACTAGCCTATTGTTTTCTTTCTTCGCGACTTGTTTTATAAGATTCCCAGTTGTCCTGAACTTCTGCATTTACTTGCGCGTCGTGATACGGTTTTATACCTTTCGATATTTCGGGCGGATTACTATCTTGCCTCGGAATCATAGATTCTCATTATGAACAATGATACATTTGAAATGAAATGAAATGAAATAAACCAAGACAAACCTGGAAATTGTAAAATCTCTGCTCATAGCTGTGACTTGCATCTGTTTCCACATGTATGTGAACAGCCATTGGTCTCCACAGACCAACATGTCATAGCAATTAATGAAAACACACCTAGCCGTACGTGCATGTACTGTAGCTCAGATCGTACCCCAGACTTCCCCACAGATTTGCGCACTATACAAAACAAAGGACATGTAACCCTCCATTTACAATGTACCCCGCACCTCCTTCCAGCCCGGCTATTCACGCATCTCTTTCTAGTCTGTGGCAGCAGCGAATCAATCGTGGCAAGCTCTGCTTACATGCGGGATCCCCGGAGTGACAGATTAGGCAATCCGAGGAAGTGGGTGGATGGGCGTTGAATTAGGGTTTGGTGGAGCCCATGTTTATTAGATCTAACATACTCCACGACCAAATTGTGGTAATAACTCTATAGGGTGGTCTATATTAACACTGATTTTATGTAGTGCTACAAGGGATCGACTAAAACAGAAGCTTCAAAGCCTAAACCCATCGTTTGTCTATTCTGCTGATGCACTGGTTGAACATCTAAAGTCACGAAAATGCCACCTGAGAACTAAATTACCAACATGATTCTAGATACACCTGTTGCCCGTATCACGCTTCGTTGCAAGCTTCCCACAGGGCACGGGGCGTCAGGTCCTCCCGATTCTTGCAATTATTGTAGACCTCTTCGCCCCCTTCCATCTCCCGTAATAGTTGCATGGCTCTGGAATCACCATTCAAGGCAGTAGCAAGATAGTGCAATGCAGTGTTTCCGTCCACATCCTGGGCGCGTATATCGATCCTCGCATCAGCAAGCATGCGAAGAGTGCTGAGTTGTGCATCCTGCTCAGCAGGAGTCAATGGTGTCGGTGGATCGATAGAAGTGAGTGGCACTTCGACGGCGACTCCTTTTGTTGTTTCCAAGTGCAGCGGGCTGGGTTGTGGATGCGGAAGCCACTGAGAATCTAGGGTGCGGGCGCAGTGAACACTTCGCACGGCATCAGGGATTTGTCGGTTCATGGACATTGAGGTAAGTGGAAGCGAGGCGATGTGAAGCAACGTATGACCCAAAGCCGTCGTGCCTGCGCTGGAGAGTGGCATAGGAAGAAAGGATAGGAGTTCGGGGTCATGGCGAGCAACTGCCAAATGGAGTGGATGAATTTCGAAGATAGGAGTGCGGAGATTTAAGTCGATATCCGGATGCGCGAGAAGATGTTTGATACAGGCCCGGATATTGGGATCTTTTGGATCGCATCGACCCAGTGCAAAAGAAAGCGGCGGAAAGGCAACTGTGGGAGCTACCATTGCCCGATAGTTGGGAGAATAGTGATATGTATTGAGAAGCCGTTCGAGCATAGCGTGTTGACCATGTTCAATGGCTTCGTGGACAGGGGATGTGATGCTTAGTGACGATGGCTTAGTATCATCGAAGTTGGCTTGGCCGGAAGTGCTGATCCAGGCAGACTCATCTGCCCCCGCTTCGCGAACCAGCGCGAAGAGATCCTCAAAGCCCAGACCAGCAGCCACTTCTAAAGCTGTGATGCCTTTGTTCATCCTCAGTCGCTGGCCTGGGACATTTGGCTCAGTCCAAAATCGTGGAAAGCTGGTGCGCCGCTCATCCAGTTCGGCTTGTGTCAACGGCTGTGTCTGCTCGGTGATTCCCTTGCTCTTTGCGACTTCTAGAATGTGTAATCGGGAAGGGCACGGGCCAAAACTCGAGACATCGACTTTGGCGTCTCGACCACGCATGAACCTCGCAGAGTAGTCAGATAAATCCCAAATGTGGATGCCTGTGGGATCTGCACCACTGGCCAGAAGCGTCCGAACATTTTCTGATGAATTCACGCGAATGGCTGCCGTGAGCGGAGATTCGTAGGTGCCCATGTTGCCGCCACTGATATTTGCATTGGGAGAGCACCCTGCTAGTTCACGAAGCTTTCTTTTATGGTAATCCAACAGAGCACGAAGGACGGCTGGATTGGGATTACCGGCGGCCCGAATGGCGGCAGACTCCTCAACGCCCCAGGTGACGTCTTCTCTGGTGAGTTTATATGACATGGTATGGTGGTGAAGCTGGAGAAGAAGAGAGCTCTTGCTTTCTATTTAACTTGCTCAAGTGCGGGGTTCTCTCGGTGATATCATAGGAGCTATTTGACATGACTCAATCCATCCTGGTTCCATCGCTTATATTTACGGTCTGTGTATCTACACATCGTCATTATCATCCATTATGTCGTCCTCAGCAGCTTCACCCAAAATATAATTAGGGGTGAAGGGTCGACTCTGCCGATAGCGTCCCCATCTAAAGTACCATCGCGTCGAGCATGGATCCTCCTCATCGCGATATCTCGTCAACTGACCCCGTTGAGCTCCCGTGAAGGTTTGCTCCGTTACCAAGTCCTCCTGGTGCAGATAGTTTGCAAAACGCCAAATCATCCGGTGATGCTCATTATCATAGTCGGACTCCCGTCCACCCCCTGGATAGAAGTAACGAGTGTTGGGAGTCACCCGGTTGCCCGTATTGCAATTCAACACGTGAGCTCGTCGATTGTCACCTTGATTGTCGTTGCCATCCACACGAGGATACCTGTTTTGCTCAACATACTGCTGGCCGTGGAAGGCCACTATGGCGTATATTCCTGCCCGGAGTACACCGTCGCGATCCATGATATGGTCGAAGTGGAAATGAAACACCGCGTATTCATCGCTGTTAGTCTCTCGATATCCCGGGCCATCAGGCAGCCGCCATACAACTGCATCGTATAAGCAGATGTCTACAATGTACATTGCTGTCCAAGATAATGTCACTTACTTTCCAAAATATACTCCTCTCCTCTAGTACGGACCAACATCTCATACTCTAGGGTTAATGTACCGTCCATAATTCCCTGCATTATATAACCTATTCTGGTTAGTGCGCATTCAGAGTGTGGGAGGTAGGAGTCATACCCCAGCTTGGTTGTCCAAATCCTTCCGAGGAACTATAAAGCTCCTCGGATTCCGCAATGTTTCTAGCAGATACACTCTTCGCCGCCGACAACAGAATTGTAGCATTGGAACGTTTATCAAGGCCTGCAGCAGCGCAAGCCAACACGCAAAGCTGGGACCCAGCATCCAGAGAGTCCGCGACCTCATTTCTCCCATGCGTTCCCAAGCACAGAAGGCTTTCGGTCCGTGCAATAGGCTCAGCATTAGGCCTGTTTCATCGGTTCAGTTAATGTTCCAGGGGAAATAAATACAACACTTACCACTCAGCCTGGAACTGATCAATCTCGTCCAGGGTCACCAATGGATCACTAGAATTATATTCGCTCTCCATCAACGTCATCTGATAAGTCGGGCTGTTGCCCTTCGCGATGGCGGTCAAATGAATTAGCAGACTAGTCCAGTCTGCCTTGTTCAAACTATGACGCTTTTGCAAACCTATTTCGATGGTGTCCCGCTTTGAATACTGGCGCTGGCCTTTGTCGCAGACGGGATCTTTGGAGTACTTCTGTAGCTGAGTTTTAAAAGCCGTAACGAGGGGATCATTCTACTTGTGTTAGCAAAGATTGCAAGTAACAGGGACCACAAGGGGACTTCCACATACACTCGTAGCTGGCGAATCGCAACAGAATGATCCATATCCTGACATGCACCCAGAAGGATCAGTCGCGATGGAAGCTTTGCCAGCAGGGCACGTTCCAGAGCACTGGAAGGGAACAGAACCCCAGAATTTTCCACCATGATAGTACCAGTCGCAGTTCTCGTATGGAGGGGGCTGATCACAGCAGAATGACTTGTAACCGACAATACAAGGCTCCTCTCCACCAGCACCGTAATTGGAATAAGTTAGTCGCTCCCGTCCTGACGGGCAGCCTGCATTGCTATGAATTCCAGCACAGAAAGGCGCACTTCCTGACCAGCCACACTCAGCAACTGCTTTGTTGGCCGCAGTCTGCGTACAGCAAAGCACTTTGTGCCCAGTCCAACAACTCTTTCCTGTCCCACTGATGCTGCTTGACACTTCGACCTCTCCCTTGTGACATTTGCCATTGCAAAATGGAGCCCCGCCACGCCACTGGCAAGTGGGCATATTGTCAGCTGGACAGCAGTAAAGACGGGATTTGCCGTTCGAGCATCCAGTGTTGGTACCCGTGTTTCCTCTGTTCTTGCCATCGCTCCGCTGGACAGCGCTAAGCCCAGTCGGACAAGGTTCGCCGCACTCGCCCAACTGGCAAGATTGAACTTGGTCAGTGGTAGAAGCAAGTGATTTGGCTGATAATGCGATGGTGCTGCGGCCCGTCAACTTCGATAGTGCCGCCGAAGCTGTGCCCTCGGAATCATCTGTCGATACGGCCCATACCATGGTACCGCCAAGACAGTGGTTATTGGCATAGTCCAGCTTCAGCTTCAGAGTTTCCTCGTCATCATAGCTGACCCACTGGTTCTCGCCCCAAGTGACCATCTTGACGGCGGCCTCCTTGTCTAAGGTCACCTTGCCGTTATCTTTATCTATCACACGCTTGATCTCTGAGTACGAGAGTGTCCCGACAGAGTCCGTGCAAGACCCTGCGTTGCCCCCTGATGTGAAAATACACCCGGGGGTATTGCAACTGGGATCGGTGAGAGTGAAGGACCGGCCATAAAAGCCCAGACCGAGAACGACATGGTCAGGGTTAATCTTGTTGCGCCAAAGGAGCTCCAATGCCAAGTTGATTTCGGTCAAGTTGGTATGCGCATTGATATAAGGGCCCAGATATTTGTTGGTGTTGTCCCAAGTACCGTGCAGGTCATAGGACATAATATTGAACCAGTCAATTGTCTTTTCGATCTCGACAATGTCAAAGTGTTGCATATACCAGTAAGAAGATGGGATGGTGATGGTGAGCCCGTATGTATGCCCGCTTGATGCGAGGGCATTACGAAGATTCTTCAAGAAAGAAGTGTAATTTTTGTAGTCAGCGGCTTTGCCTGAGCGCTCTTCAGCTACTGGATATTCCCTAGATTGCATAGTGAGTGGTGTGATTACCAAGTAAGGGTGTGGGATAAAAATACCAATCAAGATCGACGCCATCAAACCCGTATGTCTCTAAGAAGGAAAGCAAGGATTCAAAGAACTTCTTCTGTGCCGACTCTGATGCAGCCAGGTCTGAAAAAGTGGTAGCAGTGGGTTGATCGGGGTCGTTCATGCTCCAGCCTCCAATAGATATCCAAGTCTGGAGGTCAGGATAGAGATTCTTGAGCCCAGTGAATCTTTTATATAATGCAACATCCCCGCTATCCATCGGGGCCACTTTGAATGAAGTGGGGTCAATGAAGGCAAAGGCAAAATTCAGATGTGTGTATGATCCAAGAGGAATAGCTGTCTGATATCAACACGACTGCGCGCAAGATGTATATGGACAAGGAAAAACATACATTCTGGGTACATTTTGTCACATTTGCGCGTAATGCCCCAGCTCTCATAGTATCCAATTGTACGCTTAGAAGCACTAGATCCAGAGCAGCTGGGAGGCTCGATGGTTTTGTTGCCGCAAAAGTCTTTGGTGGTTCCACAGAAGCCATATTCAGAACAGCACACGTTGAGGGGACATTTGTCTGCCGCGGACCACTTTACAAAGTCAGTTCTTTTCAATGGATTCAACTTGAGTTGGAGTGGAAATTACCTTCATGCCCCAACCTGGGTTGCAGTCCGACTTGCTATCACAGTTGGATATACAACTCTCTCCGCAAAAGTCAGGTCCCATTCCACAGACTCCTGTGTTCGAACAGCAGCCAAGTTCACATGGCTTGTCGGCGCTACAGGTGTAGTCCTGACCAAGACAGGGACAGCACCATAGCGCAAGTAGAAGAATAGCCCAAGGCTTCATTTTGGGGGCCATATAACAATGCAAGATATCAAATATAGCACGGGAGTCTAAAGCACACCCAAAAGATGCCAAAAAGATGCCAAAGAAGTATCCAAAAGACTCGAAGCTACTAGCACTGGGCCTTGACTTCTTTGAACAGGCCTAAATACCCTGATTGCAGATGCAATAGCATATCCTAGTGGAGGCCGGGACTTTTCGCCCCTAAATCCCTGTTCATCACACCCTCCATCACAAAGCACTAAATCTCTAGGTGATCCTTTTCCAAGTTTGCTTTCATCTACACCTCTTGTAGATGAACAAATGAAAACATCATCGGAAGAATGCTATTTTTCCCCTGATAAGTCTGACATCACTTGGATTGCGATCCCTGTCTCCTTCAGAAGTTCACTGCCTTTTGAAGAACGCACTAGTGCCGCCGAACACTTTTAGTGTTATGGGGTCTAATTTTCCCCTCGTCTTGGCTACATTAGTCGTTTCAGACCTCCGATCTACATACCCAGTGTCATAATTCAATCTTGTGAAGTCATTCCTGTCGGCGAAGAAAGAAAATACCTCACCTTGACATTGGGAAGTGAGAGCTGGATGATTTGGGTATACATCCACCCAGCCTTCACCTGATGATCTCAATTCTCCATAGTCTGTTTGATACCTCAGAAAGATTTTGAGAATACCTGTCGCCATGAAATTTACGGTTATATTTGTTATCACTTATTTCGCGTCTGCCTTTGCGCAGATCGATCTATACGAATATGGAACCAATGCCACGGCCTTTATCTCGGATGGATGCACTTCTGCGTTGAGGAAAGAGCTAAACTGTGATCCTTATCTTCTTACGCTTTCCATGTCGGACTACTTCGGTCCAGTGGGCAATCAGACCTTCCAAGATCAATTATGTGATGAAGGTTGCGGCAGCGCATTGGAGACCTACCATTCTTCTGTGAAACAACAATGTGCCGGCGATGTCGAGCCCTGGGATGGAGTCCCAGCTGTGTGGGCGGGAGACGTCTTATGGTCGACCTGGAACAGGACTTGCCTGAAGGACCCTAAGACTAACACATACTGCACCGGTACCTGCCTCGATTCCTATTACTACAATGCAGTCACCCGATTAACAATTTCTAGATGCAATTGGAGACATCCAAGCAGCCCTGGGTGACATTGATACAGCCTTAGCAGCAGTATCAAAAGATCAACTATGCTCGACGTGTGTGTTAAATCTGATACAGCAAATGCAGAAGACGGCGTATTCCAACTACGACGAGCAGTTGGTGGATGAATATGTCAAAATCCAGGACACCTGCAACACAGGGGCCCTGCCCACCGAAGTGCAGCCTCCTGCTACCAATATGACCGCCATCCCTGGCATCGACTACTCAACTCCCTCCAACATCTCCTGCCTCTCTGGCAACTTCTACTCTGCCAAGTCCGGCGACGACATGCAGTCCATTGCCAAGGCCCAGAAAGTCCCCACCGGCCCGCTGAGAACGCTAAACGGGATCTTCCCGGACGGATCGAATCTGCTTGCCGGACAGAATTTGTAGGTCCATCACACGTTATCAATGGATTCATTACTTACATTTCTAGGTGCCTTCCACGAGCTTGTCCGGTCTATCTAGTCCAAGATGGAGACAACTGTAACTCCATCGCCGATTCCTACGGTCTCACCATTGCAGACCTCATAAGTTATAACCCATCCATCAACAGAGCGTGCTCGAACCTGAATTCCGGTGATAATGTCTGTGTAGGCGCCTCGGGTCAGTTATACACACCAACCACCATTCCTGGTGCCACTGCTACAAAAACAGCCCAATACGCAGCTAGCACCGTGGCGGCAGCAGGTCCAACAGGTTACGGAACCACGAAAGAGTGTGGGGGCTATTATCCCGCCGCTGATGGGGATGACTGCGAACAGATCTCCCTCATATACTCGATCAGCCTTGATCTTTTCCTTGCAATCAATCCAGCCATCAACGCAGCCTGCTCAAACCTGTTTCCGGGTCTATATTACTGCGTCTATCCGACCGCAAATTGGAATGCCACTACCAATGGAACAACTACGTCGACGTATGTGACGCCTCCTGCTCCCACCCCAACAGGGACCACCTCGAACTGCTACACTTGGTAAGTAAATGATAAATGCCACGCAATAAATTCACAGGCTGAACTTTTCCAGGCATACCATCGTCGATAAGGATTCTTGCTCGCTTTTGCAGAACGTGTATGGAATCACATTCGCGCAGCTTCGCACTTGGAACCCGCAACTCAATGAGGAATGTTCTAATTTGCTCCTTGATGCCGCGTAAGCTTTTGCATTATACCTCCTTCTTATATGCAAATCCGCTAATCTACTATAGTTATTGTGTTCGCGGCGATACGGATACGACCACCACTTCCACCACTGAAACAGCGGGAACAACAACATCGAAAACCACGACCACGGCGGATCAGCCGACACAGACCTCTGTGCCAGCCCCAGGTCCGACTCAAGATGGTGTTCCCAAGAACTGCAACAGCTGGGTTATGCAAAAAGAAGGTAAGTGGTCTACTATCATCGATTGAACTTGACTGACGGAGTGTAGGGGTATATTGCTATGACATGGCCGCTAGTGCTGGAATCGCGCTTGAGAAATTGTACGAGCTTAATCCGGCTCTTAATGGAGATTGTTCGGGGCTGTGGGCTGGATATGCTTACTGCATTGGGGTCTCAGCCTAAATGGGCAGTTTGTTTGATGCTTTGGGCTCCTGTGATATTGTCTCTTGGTATAGTGCCATGTACGAGCTGTCTTCCCCGAGCTTTGTAATGATCATTCAAAGATGACTGTGTATATACGTATTTCCAACCTCTTTTCCCAAGTATCTTTTCGTGTGTCTTTTGACCTGCCTATTCGACTGCTAAATTACTGTCTTCTTCGAATCCAACGTAGCACACTTTCTTGTCTACTTTGTGCTTATAATTTTCGACTTGTATAGCGAGCACAACGAAGTGACTGAGGGAGATAAAGGCTTTGAGTGGGTACTACCCAGTGGCTCTAGTGCCCTTTTCTTCGGTCTACTCGGTAGGCAAAGCACACCGTATATGACGAATACGGCCCAATGATCCTCTCCCAATTCTCATTCGATCTCTTCTGTTGCTCCCACTACCCCGCTCGCATAGGCTCAGATCATGCAAATTAGGTACTTATTGTGATTTGACTAGCATCACTTCCTTTTCTGCGTTCTCACCTGGTCCCCTTCTTGGAAAGCAAAATTCTCTCGTTTCGAGTGAAAATAATCATCTCACCGTGACATTGTATGACAAATATTTTGGATAGTATTGTGAGTCTTAACCGACAGGTATCTCAATATAGAAGCAATACCCGCCTTAAACACATCGAGAGGTGGCCCCCTGCCGCCATTCCTGGTGCTGACAGGACCGACCTTTAAAATCAACAGAACCTAACTTTCCTTACGGAGAGCCTAAATACTCAGCAGATTGAAGAAATTCAGGCCAGATGGGGACAATCTGACTACTCTGCCACCTTTTGGAGATTGCGTAAGGATGCGTACCAGAACTTTATTTCTAGCAAAGCTGAACTCGACCACCTACAGCTTCTGTGGAGCAACAGGGGGTTGCGAGCCGACTGAGCGAGCTCGCTATTCTGCGCCACAACTTTCAGGAGAAAAAGCCAGATCTGGATTTTTTCGACCGCTGCATTCGAGTACATGTCATCTCAATCAAGAATAATAAATGCATAATGACCATTTGCAGATTGTAGACAACCCAACAATCTCGGAAAGGTGGCATCAGTTTTGATTTCAGTAGAGTCTAGAGTCATGAGAGGCTATTTTATATCGGGATCAATGTCTATATCCTGATTAGGGCTAGTGCAATGTACGATGCCTAATTAGGCTTCGTGTTCAAGGTAGTTTGGGAGTCAAGGATAACAGGATGTAGTGACAGGGTTTCAGCCCTATGGAGACATATTTGGTTGTGCTAACGAGAGATAAGTCCAAAGTTTGCGCGAGGATTGGCTTTAGGTACTGTGATTCAGCATCGCGAGTGTTTTAAGGCGGATCGGGAAAGCTATCGGGAAATCCTCCCCCACTCTTACCCCTCACACTGCTATCAACATGGGATTTTCTACATTTCACAACTCCCTGCGAGTTTTAATCCTTGTTACCTGCAATGTCCAACAAAATACTAAACATAGCTGACCTCCAGGAGGCAGCTTCCAAATCCCTCCCTGTTGCCGTAAAAGGTATTTCCATCCCCTCACATAACAATCTCTAGTTCTAAACCAAGGACTAGATTTCTTCAACTCTGGCGCAACAAACCAAGTAACCCTCCACGATAATTACTCTGCGTATAGAAAGTACCGTCTCCTCCCCAGAGTCCTGAAAGATGTCTCCCAAGTGGACACGGGCATCTCCCTTTTTGGTCGGGACATCCTGTTCCCACTCTGTGCTTCGCCCACAGGACTACAAGTACTGGCCCACCCAGATGGAGAACTAGCAACAAGCAGAGCATGTGCCAAGGCAGGCGTGAACATGGGAGTCTCCTCCTACACCGGTTATCCAGTCGAGCAAATCACCGAGGCAGGAAACGAAGTGGGACCTGTCAACCACGTCATGCAGCTCTACACGTTGAACGACAAAGCTAAACAAGAGCGTATTGTGCGTCGCGCCGAAGCTGCAGGTTGCAAGGCAATCTTCTTAACCGCGGATAGTCCCGTTCTTGGTGTTCGCTGGAATGAATGGCGGAATGGATTCAAGCCTCCGCCTGGCGTGGCGTATCCGATGTATGAGAAAACATCGGATGAGATCCAGGCGCAATCTCATGATGATGGGTTCACTTCGACAAATTCAGATTCTCATTCTTGGGCTACGGAGATTCCGTGGTTGCGCAGTATTACCAAGATGGAGATCTGGATCAAGGGAGTCCTTACGCCGGAGGATGTTGAGATTGCCGTTGAATACGGTTGCGATGGTGTTATTATTAGCAATCATGGTGGTAGACAGCTAGATGAGACGCCAGCTACCATTGATGCTCTTCCTGCTTGTGCTAAGGTTGCACGAGGACGGATTAGGATTCATATTGATGGTGGAATTCGGTCCGGAGCTGATATCTTCAAGGCCCTGGCTCTAGGCGCAGAGTGTTGCTGGGTTGGACGTCCTGTGCTTTGGGGATTGGCGGTAAGTAATTCTTGTTGCGCTATCGATATTGATGATTGCATACTGAGACTTCCGGCAGCATGATGGTCAGCAGGGAGTCGAGCTGATGTTTAAGATTTTGTACGATGACTTCAAGCGATGCATGCAGCTTACAGGCTGTAAATCGGTCTCGGAGATTCGCCCGGAGCTTTTGGCTATTGTTAATGCATACGGGCCTTTGGCAAGGCTGTAATGGTGTGCAATGGCATATAGGGTTATGGTCATACACTAAAGGGTATAGCTTAGGTTGCTTGTGGTTGAGGAGCTCATTACAAATGTAGATCGAGAAAGAGTGACAGTTTGAACATGCATAGACCAGGCTCAATATGCTCCTGCACTCAAATAGATATCCCGAAAGTTTGGGACTGATCGATAAAAGTCCAGGATTTTGGTGTGATGAATCCTGACTATGTCGCTTGTAGTATCATGGTTCGTTGGTGAATTGAAAACACTTCGTTGAATAATCTGGTTCGACGCCGAGAATGAGCTGATGAAGTATTTGAACTCTGCGTTTCTTGGTGGTTGGTTAAAGGGCTCTTATTGCACCATAGGGCCTCAAATTAGAAGACTGCGGGGGATATTATTGCTGACCATAGTTCATTCGCCATTATCGTAAACTGGCCCAGAATATTTAATTCAACATGTAGTGTACGAGTTTAGACATGATTTGCAACATATCTCAAGTAAATACAAGACACCTACGTCGGACGACGCTGACGAACAAAGCATGTGGGTGACAACACGGCCCAGAGGTCTATAAATTATAACCCCATCTCCCTTATTTATACGCTCTACAAGATGAGAACACGGCAAACTAGCATCCTAACATGGCTTCCTCGAGGTCATGCTAGCTCCTTCTCCTTCTACTGTGCCTGGTATTGGAGTTTGTACTTTGCCAATGTGACGGTACAGTCTGTTAGTTCCTACGAGACAATCCACTATGCCAACGATGCTAGCCGACTGAAGAAGAGATACGACACTTCTCCGGACACCATAGTTAGAATACCTTTTATGTACAATAAAATTCGCTTCCTGGTTGCCTGACTGAGCTGATACACGGTCGTTCCCGTCCCTAGATGTATTGAGAATTAAATCGAGGACAATTTTAACAGCCCTCTGGTAAGAAGAGTAGAATGAAAACTGGTGTTGTTTGACACATGTCATCCTCAGGTAGACAGGGTATATTAGTGGCCAACTACCTAGTCAAAGGGCATCACTCCAAAAGCCATACGAACGATTCCGCTTGATAATATCCTCAACATGCAAATCACGCAGACGAAACTCAACCCCAACAGCCGAACATAATAACTCAAGTTCCGCCTTGAAGTCCGCAAACTCCTCTAACATAGCAGGAATAGGACGAGGTTTAGCGTTAGACTCCTCAGTTGACTGATGGACATGCATCCAGTTTCCCTTGACCTCTAAATAAGTCAAGTTTGGGCAGCGGTACTTCCCTCCTAAGAGTAGGTCTTTAAACGCCTTAGCTAGTTCAGTTGTATGCTCTATCTCTAGACCATCAAGAATAAGGCTTTCCAGTGATAGAGGTAATACATCACTGAATCTATTCCTTGATGTCTTTTGTAGGTCACTCCAGCCTTGGTTCCAGTCTAGTATATGAGATGCCAGCAGCCGAAGTTCCTTCAGTGCACTGAATCCCGCGAATGATCCGACGTAATCGTATTCGTGGTTGTTGTCCTCGTCGGTCAGTGTTAACGTTTGCAAGGTCTCCCGATGTCTGCGCAATGGTGGATAGTATCTCGCCGCGTATATCCTCTCATCATCCGCGTAATTTGGGTTATCGGAATGCTCAAAGATGAAAGATTCGAGGCTCTTGGGTGCGCCGATCAAATCCGCAAAGCCTCGTCGAGAACAACTGGACTTGAGGTGGATATGAGTAACATTGGAGTACCTAACATTGTCAGGCACGTAACTGACCGGATCGAACGCTTCATCTTCGGCATATTCCTCATCAGAGCTACCACCATCGCATATCATATGGCCACAAAAGCTTCGTAACGAGGGAAGTCGAAGGATTGGAAGACAGTGCGATGAGCTGAGGCCACCATCTACATAAAAACACACGACTGTGAAGTTTTTTAATTTAGTCAAACCAGCGCTTTCTTGCTGGGCGATCCTGGCCATCCACTCGAGAGTGTAGTTTGAAAAATCAGGAACCTGCAGGACCAGATTCTCCAGATTAGGCAAGAGGGCCAGAAGCAGGACAGTCCATGCGTCACTATTCTCTCGACTCTGTAGTTCCCAGTCCCATGTGGATAGGTTGCCGTCGGGCCCCAGGGCTGATTTCAGAACTGGCAGGATAACCTCCTGTTCATATCGCACGCCGGAAGTCGGCCGCCAGCAATTGGGGACACACAAAGTGCGCACTTCTTGCGCTAATGCCGGCTTGGATGCTAGTGTGTGTACCAGATGACTCAAGTGGCCATTGCGGTGCTCTATCAGGTCGAGCGATGTAAAGACTTTGGGTAACAAAAGTGGATAGAAGGCACGACAACAGGAGGCGAGCCGCAGAGTGTCCGTGTGGCTATCAAGATAGCTTGCTATTGAGAGCAGCAGCTCCGCTGGTAACGTAGAGAGCATGTTCCTTGCTGAAAGGGGGGTTTCTGAGTCAAAGGATAGTGAACATGGTGTTTATGGTTGTTTAAGACAATTTTAAACATCAGCCGGCAGGCAGCACCAGGCATCCGATCCTTCGCCAAGCCTACATCTGTCCCACCAAATTAGCAAGTGGGAACGTTGCTCCCAACCACTAGATTACCCAGTACTCGACCAATTCTTGCTCAATTTTCATGAACCTAACGTGTTAGTAGCGGTCTTGTTCTTGTCCTTGTGCTTGTCCTTTTTCTTGTCAATGAAACCACTGTCATCGTTGTCTAGCTTTTTGCAGAGCTTCTTGTCTTTCTGCATGTGTCTTTTGCTGACTCCTCGCGCTGTTGATGCTCCCTTCAACTTGCCGAACACCGTGGCATATTGAAGTTCCAGCATTCGATACGGCAGATTTTCCCAACGAAATCATTGAAATAGTCTTGTGGGGTCAACATGTTCTCATCGAGAGTCCGCCGCAACAACGGGAGCATTGAGTCCTGCCTGGATTTTGCCTGCGCCGGTAATTACATCGATTGCAAGCTCCACCAAGGCCTCGAAGGTCGACATTCCGAACGCACAAAGGATATTTTCGAGCATTGGCAGTCCTTTTATCACTCCTTTGTAGCCTCCTTCGTATGGCAACTGCACTTGCCAGTCATCCAATTATGCCCAGAGTCGCTTTCCATATGCGGATAGGCGGGATTATCCAAATCGGTCACACCGGGCATTTCGCACTACGAGAAGAGTTAGCAACTAAACTCGGGAATATGTGTTTCTGATCGTGGCATACCTCAAACGCAATTTGTTCGGGTCCTGCTTTGCACACCAAGCCTTACACGGCGAGTTGCCCATCTCACGCTCCTCCCCGGTACCTCCGCCGCCAGGGTAGAAGTTCATTCGAGTGCCATCATCCAAAGCGGCAACAGCTTTATCGGACTCATGCGCATGAGCTGCCACAAGGCTACAAGCGAGTAGCCAGAAAGAACTCTTAAGCATAATCGAATAGAAAGCTCAATTGATTGAGTATAGGGTATTCAAGATCTTATTTTGACACTCCGTGATAATACCTGGTCAAACTAGATTTCACACTACCTTATATAGGCACCTTCGCGCTCCAAATATGCCCAACATGTCGAACAGCGTCATGGCCTTTACTAGGGGCCGTAAAGCCAAATGGTACATTAGGGCAGACAAGGTAGTCGTGCCAGGACTAGATACCGATGCGTGACCTGTACAAGTGAAAATATTCTCGAAGGATGCACGGTCGGCCGCAGACCCCCATTGGGACAAGAATACGTAACCTAACAGTATGAAGTATTACTTCATGCTAGCGCGGATAGACATAACCCTATGCCGTGACCTTCATGTGAAAGTGAGAACATGCGGCTGAAACCCCCTAAAAAGGCCATTTGAACAACGATGGGATACATGTTATTGGGGGTTTAGTGCATTGTGTAGTCAACCTCGGTTGGATTGGGAGTTGTTGATTCATTCTTTAATTAGATACGTGGCGGACTCTGAGTGATAATCTCACACTTCAAATCTGATATCGGGTCTGGGGCTAGGCAGATTTCACCCTGGCCCTCGGTTTCTGTAAAGGGAACTAACTAGCCTGCTTGAATTATCACGATGCAAGGCAAGTTAGAGGTCGAGGCTATGTACACTATTTAAGTTAATGTCCACGTGGCCGGCAAGATCCGATTATGGAGGAGGAGGGATGAAGGCGTTTAGAGACTGCTACTTTGTCGGCATCGGGGTTTCTGCAGTGGCATTTAATGGAGTGCTGGTGAAAGTACCTGGTGGTTATGTTGGGGAGAATTTGTGGTCGGTCACAACAATACCGCCCCAGTTCACATCCCTCGGTACAGGAGTTTCTGGATTTCCTCTGCCACTTCTTGGCGTCCCCTTTCCGTTTTAGTATTGTTAGGTATGGGTCAGAAGGGCGGTGCGTGGATGTTTTTCGCTGGTTTCAGTTTCAAGTGTGGCCGTGTCATAGAGATCAGGTGAAGTCAAAATAAGGCGATAGAGCGAGGCAAAGAGTCTTTCACCTCGAGGCATGACTGACTTGAGTTTTTATGAAGGGAAACTGAAGAAGAAGAAAATAAAACAAAAAGGCCATGGATTATCAAGCCCGATACTCCGAGGTAGTGCACGTCTTGACGGACCCCCACACCATCTTCATGTCATCAACTGTCCCTGGGGTTGCTTCGCGTGGTAGCAGAAAGTTTGTTTATTTTAGGGAGGTTGCAATAGTTCGTATTCACAATGGGAACCAAAACAAGTCCCGCGGCCAAGAGCTTGGCCTTAAAAAACACGGGATAGCGCCGGAGATCCTCGTATTCAGATTCTTATAAATTTAGTACATCCCCGATAACCCTTCTGTCACTGGGATTCATTTATCACCGTTTGAAAAATCTTGAAAAGCAATTCTTCATCGTTTGGATCCATCATGAAGCTCACTAGTCTTCTCCTCAGCGCCCTTTTCGCTACCGGTCTCAGCGCCGCTCCTGTCGCTGATGCTGAGCAGAGCGAGGTACTTGACGGTAAAAAGATCTTCGGTCGATCGGGTCAGTTGTGCAGAGTTCTCTACAGCGAGCATGTCAACTGCCGCTCTGGGCCTGGCACGAATTACCCAGTTGTGGTACAACTATCCAAGGAGTGGACACGCGGGTATTACTTCACTTGCGTTAAGTCTGGAGAATGCATCACATACAATGGTGCCGTCAATTGTGGTTGGGACTACTTTGAGGAGGATAAGTGCTACGTAAACGGCCATGCAACCGATAGCTCTTGTACTCTGGGTATGTGTTTACCTTGGCATTGCCTGCTGTTATATGTTGTGTTAATATTAGCGAGGATAGCCAAACTTGGACGCTGCTGATTGGGTAACAAATTTGCACCATTGTCGCTCGATGAGAGTGTAGTCGCGAGCCAGACATTCTCCGGACCAGAGGCCGAAGCAAGAATACCACCCTGTCCATTAGTATAGCCTCACCTAGCACCTCGTTCGACGAGCATCTGAACCACTCTGTCGTGACCGGCTCGTGATGCAAGACATAATGTATTGCCATGCTTTCCTGGTAAATTCATGTCGGCACCCTTGTTCAAGAGCATCTGCACCGCCCTGTCACGACCTCGAAACAAACGTGGACGCCGCTAATTGGGTAACAAATTTGCACCATTGTCGCTCGATGAGAACGAGTGTAGTCGCGAGCCAGACATCCCGTACCAGAGGCCTGAAAAACATTACCACTAAAGATTAGACCCACTCTTAGCAGGACTAGGAGGTACTAAAGTGATAATTAGTCACGTGACCATCCTCAGTAGTCACCTGACAGTCCCGGGGAGGATTGCGGCCCGCTGAGTCATGATGGATGGGTCCGAGTGACGCTGTGACGCCATCTTAACCCCAGACTTCCCTTCATGATCTCAAACACTCCATTCATTCATTCCTTGAATCTCAATTAGGTATTGCACTCTCTTCTTCAAACCACTGAACTGGCTGATAGCCAGAAATTGCAAGCCCCAGAATGGCTCCGCCATGCAGGTATGCATCATGCATCTCCTGATCGGCAGCTGCGGAGCTCCACTAATAGCTCATCAGTAACCATAAGAAACACGACTCAAGCAACTCGTTTGACAACATGAAATCCGGAACGGAACCGCTTGTGGATGTGATCGAGGTATATGATACTGAGAGCAATGGCTTTGTTCCCAGCCGCCTTGATTGCCGCCACAACAAGAAACAAGGACGCCCTTGCTTAGCTCGGTTCCTGCGAAAAGGGCTCTGCGCCTTTGTGATCACCGGACTGGCAATTCACTACTTCGGTTTTTCATATAGTATGGCATCTCTTCCATGTTACAGTGCACTACTTACCGATTAAATAATCAGGCACCCCATCCATCAACACGCCATCCGCGCACCCCGAGGCTTCTCCACTTTGCCAATCGGAGGAATGCATACATGCTGCATCCGAGATCCTGTACAACTTAGATCCAAATTACGAGAAGATCGATCCATGCACTGATTTTGATCAATATGTCTGCGGTGGATGGCGGGAGAATCATGACATGCGCCCCGACCAGGGCTCGATCTTTGCTGGCACAATCATGGCAGAGAATGCGCAAACTCGACTCCGTCATATCTTGGATCGCTCAGAAGCGCCTCAGCCAGCCGACGCTGATAATTTTAAGAAGCTGAAAGCTGCTTACGATGCTTGCTTGGATGAGCCTGCCATCAACAAACGGGGCACTAAGCCTTTGGCTGATGTTTTAGATGAACTGAAGAAGATCTATCCCGCTAAGACTGGACTTGTCAAGGGAGCTCAGGAGCATCTCACCAGTGCGATCTTGTATCTCCTGAACGCCGGTGTTGAGGCTCTGGCCTCCCCGGGTGTTAGTGTAAGTCCATTTGAAAGTTCTAGCCGTCTAATTCTAGCTACTGACTATCCACAGCCCGACGACAAAGACCCTGACAATGTCGTCATCTTTATTACTCCTCCCCGGGAAATTGGACTTCCCGCAAGAGAATATTACAATAACACCAAGACTGTGGCTGACTATACCTCTGCTTTCAAGCAAGTCATCCAAGGATTTGCTGGAGATGGGCACGACAAAGTCGTTGAAGATGTTGTCGCTTTTGAGAGCAAGCTCGCCGATGTGACTCCGGATACACAGACTCAGGAAGATGTCACCAAATATTACAACCCCCTTAGCATCAAGGAGACCAACGCTTTGGTACCAGAGATTTCTTTCGCCGATATCATCACATCTCTTGCGCCACATGACTATAAAGGAGACCGCTTGATTGTTGGATCGCCCTCTTATATGAAGGCATTGTCTGGAATTTTAAAGGACACCCCTAGAGAAACGATCTTGCTTTTCCTGCAGTGGAAGCTTATCCAAGCCCTCGAAAGCGCCATCGAAGATGGCGCGATTGAACCTCTCCGGCGATTCAAGAATGAGCTGGCCGGTAAAGAACCCCAGGCCAAGCAAGAGCGGTGGCGCAAGTGTCTTGGTCGCCTGGACGAGGGACTCGGATGGAGTCTTAGCAGATTCTACGTGCTTGATTCCTTCCCCGAGGCCTCCAAGAAGCTTGGTGACCAAATCGTTTCTGATATCAAGGAGCGATTCGTCTTCACCTTGGACCAGACTAGCTGGATGTCTGGGGACGTGCGCAAGCTTGGTATCCAGAAGGTTGAAAACATTATCCAGAAGATCGGCTTCCCTACCAAAAGCCCTGATGTTATGGATCCCGAGGACGTGAAGAAATTCTACCGCGATCTGGAAGTGTCGAAAGATACTTTCTTCGAGAATGAGGTGGCTGTGGCTAGATTTGATCTTCACAATGAATGGTCTAAGCTTGGAAAGCCTACCAACCGTGATGAGTGGGATATGAGTGCGCCGACGGTCAACGCCTATTACAACCCTCCTGGCAATGAGATTGTCTTCCCTGCCGGTATTATGCAGCCCCCAGCGTTCTATGGACCATCCGCCCCGCTGTATCTTGCATACGGTGCATTCGGTTCTGTCAGTGGCCACGAGCTGTCACACGGTATGGCAAATCCCTTGTAAAATCGCGTTTGCCTTGACTAACAAGACAACAGCATTTGATTCCACCGGTCGTCATTACGACGAGAACGGAAACTATACAAACTGGTGGGACGACAAGACCGTCGAAGGCTTCGAAGAGCGGGCCCAATGCTTCATCGACCAGTACTCCAACTACACCGTCACAGGCCCCGATGGCAAGGTCCTCCACGTGAACGGGCGATTGACACTGGGCGAGAACATTGCCGATGCAGGTGGACTCACCGCTTCATTCCATGCGTGGAAGAAGCACGATGAGTCGAAGCCTGACCTCCTTCTCCCTGGCTTGGATGCCTTCACTAAGGAGCAGTTGTTCTTTATCTCGTATGGTAACTGGTGGTGCGGGAAGACGACTAAGGAGGCGGCTGAGCAGGCGATCTATAACGATCCCCATGCACCTAAATCAGCTCGCATTATTGTAAGTCACTTATGTGTCCTGTTGCTTGTGTGCTCATACTGACCGCTTTAGGAAACCATGGCCAACTCCCGGGAGTTCAGGGACGCCTTTAGTTGCCCGGAGCGCAAGCCGGTTTGCAAACTCTGGTAGTTTACATATAATTTAGTTTCTTGATAGTTACCAATGGTAGTTCATTGTTTTGATTCTCCAGTCCTCGCGTTCCCTCATATGCACTGTTTGCACTGTTCGTGTCATGAGCATTCTCCGATGCACGTCTCATTGCCCTCCTGACTCATCACAAACTCACCCATAGCACCCCGGCCGCGTTTCATCAAATGGAAGTATAGAATAACTATATTTTAAGTTGCATCAAGTGCGTCAACGTCAACCAGGGCTGCCTTGATGCCTGGAATCTATACCCCGCGTGCCCAAAATCAAGTCTACGGGCGATCTTCGAAACATCCATGGCTCAATACTAGACACACCCACGGGCCATGAGACCGTTTGTGGATTCCATATGCAACGCATATTCTGGCCCTTCAAGCTACACCCTACAGTGAAAAATGCGTCTTAAGGTTCGCCGGACCGGAGACAGACCTCTAATAAGTTTCAAGTGCAGAACCCCTGCAACTGAGCCTCTCATTCACAAGGCAAAGTCAAAAGGATTCAGGATCTTCCTCCCCTCCCAACAAGGCAAAAGCAAGAATTAGCCTCCAGCGGATCTACCGCCGTAGATCCGCAAGGTCTGAGCCCCTCACTTGGTCACTTGGGAGGGTTTCCCGGGTTCCCAGACATATATCAACTCTGATCGATGTGATGGATCACTACCGAGGTATGTACAGTACGTACATGTGGGATGATCAGTTAAGTTATGGCAAATGGCGGTAAACAGAGGAAGTATACGGCAGAGAATAGCCGGGATGGCAGCTCGGAGAAATACACCTTCACCGCGACTCGGGGACTTAGCGAGATTGGGTTGAACGATCCTCGATGTGTGGATATACAGTCTCCAACTATTTCCGAGGAATGAGGCGATCAGTCGATCATGTGAAAGGTTCATTTTTGCGCTGGAATAGGGCGTTGCTTAAAATCGGAGAGGTCACACAGGCTAAGTGAAACGCTTATTGGGCGTCAAAGTACGATTTCTGCGTATCCTCGCGTCAATGCTGGGTGGAGGAATAACGGGCGCTGTAGCCAACCATGTACTTCGTTCTTAGACACTTCTCGCGTTCACCGGGAATGCACGGCCTATCATACTCGTTATTAGAGCCCACTTGCAGTTTTCAGCTGAGCCATGTGTGGAGTATTACATCGTTGAAGAAATTAAAGAAATCCAAGAAATTAAAATGAAGCAATAATATTAATTGGACGAGGTTATGTCAAAGGGGGAACCGTTCCCTGTTCCGCCGCGTCGGGTTACTCCACCCAAACAGAGCTGTCCGATTTCTCTCTCCCTTTTACCTACCTCATGCCACTTCGTCGGATTGTTCCCTGGCTGCTTTCGCAAAGCCTTTGATCAGGCTTCGCGATCGCCATGGAGCCTTTTCCTCCTGCTGATCTGCTGTTCAAGGAGGCCTACTTGGGTCCGCAGGTTCATATCAACGAACTGCCTTTAAATCGTCCAGGTCCCCAGAATGCATCGAATCTACGACGGGCGAATACAGTAGCCCAGGGTGGCAACATAATTAAACGAAATCTAGAGCTGAAGGCGGCGCGTGAGAAAACGGCAGGCCTTCGCGCCAAGGACAGCCATGAGATTTTGCGACACCAGCTGCAGCGGTCCCAAACACATCGAGGGCCACTAGAGGCGCGTCCACCCGGAAGGAAGGCCGGGCATTTCACAGTAGGAAGCGTCGGCCAGAATGGCAAAATATTCCTCAGGTAAATCCAACCTATAACCTGCCGTGCGACATATAGTATGTGCGTTGCTAATTTAGAACTCCCAGACCGATTGCCAATCCGCCGCAAAAAGGCCCACAGCCCGAGCCCTTTGCCCCTGTCGAGACCGCAAACCCCAATCTCCTTCAGCCACAGCGTCATGCAACCGTCCGCGAGGACCCGTCCAGGTGGTCGAGCTCGCAGCTCTCAGAGTTACGCCCGCGCGAAGTTCCCCATCCCGAGTCCGTCCTATCCGAGTCCCCTGCCCCCGAGCTATCGAGCCAGCACCGCGCGAGACCGAATTCCTTCTCGACACTCTCCGAGCAGCAATCGACCGCTGGTGCTGGGAAGCGGGGTGAGCTGCGGATCGTGATTGATAGATCGGAGGACCGGCCCAGGTCCGCAGGTGAGAATTCAGCCCACGCGCTGGAGGTTCCTGTTCCTCGTGCTCGATTTGGGGAGCCGCGGTTCAATGCCGAAGGTGGTGCAATCCTGCAGAGCTCAGTTTACTCGCGAACTCCTATGTCGGACAACTTTCGAAACTCTACCTTGCTCGGGGGCATGGCGGACCCCTTGCCCGGTCTGCGACAGAGTCCATATGCCCGTGATTCCTTCTCGCGGCATCGGCCATCTTTTGCCGTGTCGATGTTTTCGGGCACTGCTGCGATTGATCTGAGTCGAGCTTCGCCGATTCCGAGGAACTCGATGGTGTATGAGTTGAAAGAGCCAGTTGAACCATCTATATACGAAACACTGGTATATGATATGGATGATGGATCCGTTGTTCGATATATTCCTGGCACAAAGGATATCAGTGCTGCTACGCCTGCTCGAATTGTTGCGCAAATATCCTCTGAATCGTTTATGGACTATGAGTTGGTTTCGGACTTCTTCCTAACCTTCCGTTCATACCTCTCCGCCTGCCACCTTTTGGCTCTTCTTCTCGCGCGGTTAGAATGGGCGATCAATCGGCTACAAGACGATGGTCGCATTATTCGGATTCGAACTTTTGCGGCTTTGCGTCATTGGATTCTGAATTACTTTGTTGATGACTTCGTCACGAACTATGATCTCCGGACCCACTTTTGTGATACCATCAACGCGCTGTACCAAAACGTCAAGGCTCGCGAACATGGCGGCACGAGTGATCGGAAGATTCTCATTGATCTCAAGCGATGCTGGAATGGCAAGTGCTCGGTCTATTGGTCTTCTCCTGACTTAGCTCGTGCCTACAATGACTCCGACGTTCCTATTGTACCTGGAAGCGCTCAGATCAACTTACCCAATGCCGATGAGTTGCACCAAAATGTTCCCCTTCCTGGCATGACTCCCCATGCCGATACTACCTTCCACGATAGCTCTCCCCACGCCGCGGCGCATGATCGAAACGATTCTGCCGCAACCGCACAAAGCATTCCCTTCTCCACGAAAAGCGAACAAAGCGTTATGGCACTGTCATGCTCATTCCCCCCCAAATCACCGCGACGCCAGTCTATGTTTGCTTCGAAAGGCAAGGCGCCACGCCCTGTTATATTGGGTGGCCTCACCAAAATCAAAACTCAAACCCCGTCTCACGAACCGCCCATGTCCCCAATCTCGCCCATGGTAACACGACACCCATATCACACACATAGCCATAAAAGAAGCGGAAGCTTCTCTGACTCGGTTCGAGATGATCGATTGCCAATGCTTGCCACGGAGCCAGACACAGGAGCTGCACTGCAGGAGATGCTGGATCCCGTCAGTTTAATTCGCGGAGAACTGTATCCCCCCGCGGAATCATACATGGCAATGATGGCACCAGACTCGCCTCCTCTCCCTCCGCCATCAAAAAATACGAACCCGGATCGTCGAAGCACGCCAGATGTACCCAAGCCGACTGCTAACTCCGGCGTGAGGACCATCATTGGATCGATCAAGCGAGCGTTGCACACCAGAAATGGTGGCCAGAGCGTCTCAGCTCGCATTGCGAATGCGTCCGAGGCTATTTCTTTGCCGTCCCGGGGGAAGACATCTGCAATGCCAACCGGTATGGCTTTTGGTTCGGAGTACTACCGCGAAAGGAAGATGGCTGCTGTTCCCAAGCGCCCTGCTCGGATCGACATACTCTGTGATCAGGTCTTGAAACAGTATCGCCAAGCTATGAACAAGGATGAACCGAAAGATACCCAGGTGCCCCCTGCGTCCGACTTCCAAATGACGCTGCAGGAGCCTGCGTACAACGCTGCTAATCTTTCGCCTATGCAAACCCCCAGGGCTGAGCCGCAGCTTAAGAGTGGAATTACCATGGGTAGTGGGTCGATTGTCATTGTCGATGATACCGGGTTTGAACTACCATTCACGACAGGAGCAGCACCGGAACCGACGCTCAATCCCGATGATCTAGCTTCAGAGCCTGCGGCGCCGACAGAATACGAGCCTTCAACCCAATCCATACCGGTGGAAGGGGAATATCTGCGTCCGATTTGTTACAATGCCGACGAACCGGGAGCAGCTATTTCGAGCGATCTCCCTCCTGCGCGCCCTTTCACGCCACAGAGATCATTCTCCACTAAACGCGGCTCTACGCCGTCGATAAAGAAGAATTCTCTTGCTTTACGGCTTCGAAAGTACGCATCGTTCCAGAGCGGCGTATCAAGACAACGCTACTCACAGAGCAGTGAGGCAGGAGAATCGATTGCTGGATCAGAAGCAACGCAGGATCAGAATGGAAAGCACTTGGGGCCGGCTCTTCGCAGGCGGCGAGGTGGAAACCTGCGTCAAATGCAGACTGGGGATGATCTCGAGGACCACCCGGCCCATGACTCGTTTGGATCTTGGAATGCCTCCATAGCGGACACTGCCCTTTCTGAGAGTGATGTTTCTAGGCCTCCTTCCACCTTGATCCCTCCCAACCCTCGGTTCTCGCTCATCCAGCCTCGTTCTTCTCGGAAACTTAGACGTTCTTTTGAGTCAGTTATTGCCAAGTTTGCGCAGATTCCTGATGATGATGATGGTGGTGTTGAATCTACGCTGTTGAAACTGGAGGGCAAGTGGAATGGGCCTGGTAGTGCGAATCGGAACTCCACGTTTGCGCAAGCTGAGGCATCTCGAGATGCTGGTGCGCATCGCTCTCACCGAGAACAGGCGCTGGCCCCGCATGGCCTTGACACTGCGAAGGCTCAAGTTGGTTGGGATGTTCTCACTCGGAGGAGGCAGACGGACAAGTCTGCGTATTCTACGGTTGGCGGTCATCTGGCACCACCGAGGCCATACTCTGACTCCGTGGCCGAGTCTGAAGAATCCTATAATTCCATCCCGCTTCTTGAAAGAGGGTTGACTGATGAATCCATGAAACGACCGCCTACAAGCCAACCGGCGCACTACGATCAGTATGGTGCTCCGCTCAGTCTCATTTCCAGCCGGGATACGTCCGATAATGCTTCCTCGCACCCCTCGATTCAGATCGTGCACAAAACCGAAAGCATGCGGCGGATTCCTTGCGGCTCAACCGTTCCTGCGTCAGGATTACTGGGTGACGGTCAGGTTACTCCAAAGCGCTTGTCGGCTCTTTCCTCTGAAATGTCAGTCGATATCATTGATCCGAATGAAGCTATGGGTGCACGACAGTCCACCGATACTCGCAGTCTGAGTTCATCAACTGTCGAGATTCCACCTCACCCCCTGGCGCACCCTCCCTCCCCGCCTATGACTATTCAACATCCGGGCTCGTTCACGTCCTGCGCCTCGCCAATGGATAAAGTCCTGTTCCAAACTCATCCTCTTACGCCTGAGACATCCCCCAGGCACAAAGATATGACAGGCATTGCTCAACGCCCGATCAATGTACAGCAGATCTCAAGCAATGTTTTGTTCAATTCAGAAAACCACCATCCCGCCCAGAACCCCATCACCATCCTCGCGCCGCCCGACCACGTCCCCTTTGTTCTCGCCTGCGAATCCCAAGTCCTCGCCCACCAATTAACCGTAATAGAAATGGCCGCGCTAAGCGAGATCGACTGGCGAGACCTAGTCGAGATGAAATGGAGCAACGGCTCCCCACTAATCCTAAACTGGGTCCAGTTCCTGACGACCGAAAAACGCAAAGGCATTGACCTAGTCGTCGGCCGTTTCAACCTAATGGTAAAATGGATCTTATCCGAGATCGTGCTGACCCGCGACGTCAACGAGCGAGCCCGCACGATCGTCAAATACATCCATACCGCCGCGCATGCACGTCGCATCTGCAATTACGCCACCATGCTCCAGATCGCCATCGCCCTGTCCTCATCTGACTGCACACGCCTGCAGAAGACGTGGCAGCTTATCCCCTTGGAGGATAAGCGGTTGTTCAAGGATATGGAGTGTCTCATCCAGCCGGTGCGCAACTTTAATGATTTGCGCGTCGAGATGGAGACAGCCAATTTGCAGGAAGGATGCATTCCTTTTATCGGTCTATATGTGCACGACCTTACCTATAACGCTCAGAAACCCGCCCAGATCAGCAGTAGTGACGGTGGTCTACTGGTCAACTTCGAGCGGTATCGCACTGCTGCTCGCATCGTTAAAAGCTTGCTTCGTCTCATTGACGCCAGCACGAAATACCGCTTCCAGCCCGTGCAGGGTATCATCGAGCGATGCTTGTGGATTGGATCTCTCCCCGAGGAGGAGATCCAAGCTCGCAGCAAGGCACTTGAATAACCACCATCCTTTTTTTTATTCGTTTTGTTGGATCTGGGATCTTGGCCCAGTCCATTATGTATTACAATCTCTGTGCTTGTGATTGGATAGTTTATACCCCCTATTTCAGAGGTTGCTTTGTTCCTCTGCTCATGTTTGTTCCCAGCATTTGCATCTGGTTTCGTTCTTTTTGGATTTCCTTATATTTCTTTCGGTGATGTTGCTCGGTTGTTATATGACAGTTATCTGCCCATGCATGCCCGCTAAGGTTTGCTCTCTTCATCTTAATCATCGACGTCGTTGGATCGATGTTCCCTATGTACCCTACTCTATTTGGCCTGAACGTGCCTTCCATGTCGTGCCTGGATTTCAGAGCGTTTTTGCATCCGAGCGTGGCATTTGCTGATTTTGTGTCTTTCGTTGATAGCGTTTTTCTTTTTTGAATTAGCATGGCAGATCAACTTATAATACACATAGGTATCAACATATTGTCATACCGATCCCATAGAACAAATGAAACCAGCATTCAAATTATTCTTAAATAAACTTCTATATAAATAGTAGCTAAACCAAAACGATTCTAGCCCCAAAACAAACAATTTAACCCCGTTTGACCCAAAGTACCCAAAAAGCCCAAAGGTGCGCGTCATATCGATCATCCAGGAACGGAACACCATTTTCGGCTCCCGACCACCTACCTCAACCCACCACATCTCTCTCCAACAACCAATATCCACGGGTGCGAACACCCTTATCGACCACAATCCCCAAGGGCCCGTTCCATCCCACCCACTCCGACCCCTTTGATGTCCCCCCTCAGGGCCGGACAGCCAGCCCGCCACGATGGACACGACCGAACCGCGGCGCGGGGGTTCAGAGGACTCCGTCCGCTCCAATAATGACATCGCCTTCCAAGAACCGAAACAGGAGCTCCCTGACGACCTACCGAAATCTCTGGATGATCGTCGCTCTGTTCCTGTTTTCCATGCGGAGACTGAGATGTACGATGCCTGGCAAGGTGAGCAACAGAAAGAGAACGAACGCGCAGCTTTCGTCCCCGGACACGCTGGACGAATACACCCATACCCATATCCATACCCAGCAAACATCCACATCCCTAAAACTCCAAACTAACAAACTCCCCAAAATACCAGGTCAATCCCAATTCCTAACAACACCAGTCGCCGCAAAACCCCTCCCATTCAGCCTAACACTAGACGACCACACACATGACACAGAACACGAGCTCCGAGCCCACTACGGGCGCGATCTGGAAGACAGTGACGCCCGACTGATGGAAATGCTGGCCGCCCAAGCCGCGCATCGCGAAGTGGATTCTCTCAGTGCGGACGAGGAGACCATTGCCGTTGATGAGAAGCTGACCGATGATGAGAAGCGCGATATACTGCAGAAGAGCTTGAATATGGCGGCTAGTAATGGGGATGTGGAGCGCGTGCGGAAACTCGTGCGTGGGAATGCCAGGCCTTTTGTTGATGTTAATATGCCTGATGAGGAGGGGACTGTTCCGTTGATTTATGCTAGTTGTTTCGTGGGTCCTTTCCGTCTTTTCTTTAATTTTCTTTTGTGTTTGGTTTGGTTCGGAGGTGAACGTGTGGCTGACGGGTCTTCTTTTAGGGTCATCAAGAGGTCGTTGCCGCGCTTATTGATGCTGGGGCTTTGGTTGACAAGCAGGATCGCAATCAGTGGAGTGCGCTGATGTGGGCTATGACGAACCGCCATAAGACTATTGCGAAGATTCTTCTTGATCACGGGGCCTCGCCGGATATTAAGTCTTCGTCTGGAGGTACTGCGCTTGATTTTGCCCAGCCTGGAAGTGAAATCTCTGAGTATCTGCATGAAAATGGGTATAATTTTGGTGCTGGGGCTATTGAGGATGATTTCTATGATGCTGGGCTGGCACATGGCCGGTTTGAAGAAGAATTGGCTGAGACTGAGATGAAGCGGAGAATGATGATGGAAGAGAGCGCTATTAATTTGGAAGTTGATTTGTCCAGTCTGGGGCTTGACGAGAAATTCGAGGTGAGTTGGAGAGTACCCGTGTACTTACCTGGCATGGGCATGGGCTAACTCGAGTTCGCACAGCCGTCTGATGAGGATGAGCTAGAAGAAGAGCAACAGGAATTTGTCTGGGATCGGTGTCTGAACGACCAGATGTTTGTCTTCCAGGACCATGAACTGGAGCGCATCTTGGATATCATCATCACCAACATGACTCCCCAGCGGTCTCCATCTCAAAAACCAGTGCCTGCAAATCTCCTCTTCCTCAGTGCACGTTATGCGCATTATCATGCCAGCCCGGAGCTGCTCGCAACGCTATTGACGTCTGCGATGGACAAGATCAATGACGTTGTCGAACGCTACCAATGGGACATGACCATGCAAGCATTCTGGTTGTCAAATGCCACGCTACTTCTTCATTACCTCAAGAAGGATGGCGGTCTGGTAGAATCTACGGTCGAGTTCCAGCTCCATTTGGCAGAGCTGATCAACGAGATTTTCGTTCTCATCATTCGTGACGCCGAGCGTCGAATGAACAAAGTCCTGGATGCGGCTATGCTGGACCATGAGACCATCCCTGGACTGGAAGATGTTGCCTTCCAAAATGAATGGAAACTCTTCCGCAAAAACAAAAATAAAACCCCTGAACCTGCCGAGAAGCGATTCCGGCCTCCATCTCCGCGCCGACGAGCGCAGGTTTCGCCCCGAAACATCACCTCCTTACTTTCATCGACCCTTTTTGTACTTGATCTATACGACGTCCACTCCGTGATCGCAACACAGATCCTCTCCCAACTCCTTTACTGGCTCGGTGCCGAGATCTTCAATCGGATCATGAGCACGAAACGTTACCTGGCGCGCACAAAGGCGATGCAGATCCGCATGAACGTGTCAACTTTAGAAGACTGGGCGCGCTCCAATAACCGACAACCCGAGCACTATGAAAACGGGTCTACATCTTGCACCGGAGAGACCACAATCGAAGCCGCCCGTCGACATCTGGCGCCAGTTATCCAACTCCTCCAGTGGCTGCAATGCTTCTCCTCGCTCGGCGACGACCACGAATCGCTCGTGACAACCCTTCTCCAACTCCAGCAACTCACCCCTGCCCAGCTTCTTCACGCCGTCAAGTCCTACCGCCCAGAAGTCGGCGAGAAGGGTCTCACCAAGCAAGCAATGAAGTTCCTCCTTGAGATGCAGCGCGACCCAGGAGTCCTCTTCCGCGAGCAACAAAAAATACAAGACGAGAAGAAAAGAGCCGCAGCCGGGCCAGCGTCCGACGCAGCAGAGGGTCGTCCAAAAACACCATCAAAGGACCAACCCTCCGACGCACCCACATCCCCAGACCCGGGTCTTTCCCCGGGCTCAGCAGGCGCCTCCTCCAGACCAGCAAGCATGGTTGCCATCAGGAACGACGAACGCCCGGGTGGCGGCAACGCTGTCATCCTTGACCCGACCCTCTTCCTCCCCTTCTCCCTCCCAACCAGCACAGACATGCTAATCAGCTACGGCGCCGGCTTCGGCGGTACGAATCGCGAACGAGCACGCAAGTACATCCCCACCGTTCCACCAGAGGTTCTTAGCCGATTTGATCGTGGCGATGCATGAACTAGTCCAGTCAATTACCGATACCCTGCGCTTTTTTTGGCTTTCGCTGTCGCTTTTTCGCTTGCGAGAAATGTGCGATGCGGGGCTTGCACGTTGGCATCTGTTGCGCTGGGTATATAATTTAAATGGATATCATCTGCATCTGTATCTGCATTGGTGTCAATAAGTATCGTCTAGTATAACTTTAGTCAATGCACAGTAGACGGCAACAGTATGTATGTCTCTCGCTTCGCTCCCGTCGGCGAAGCCCGCTCCGGGAGCTGTTGGCTGTTGGGTTGTCTTGGCTTAACGTGTTGGGACAGGGTTTGAGCATGGCTTTTTTTTAACCTCCGCTACTGGCTTAGTGGGTAGCACGTCAGCTTACCAGATATGCCAGTGGATTCCACCGCAGACACCCTGCAGATGGAGTACATGTCGGGTGGAAGTGAAGGTATTCTGTGGAAGGGCACGTTCGTCTGATTTGGGGGGAGATCTCGTTTCAGATTCAAGTAATTGAGAACTTAGGTCTGCATTCATGTTATGTATCCAAGACCAAGAATCCGATCCGTGCAAGATCTTCCAGGGTGTACACTCCGTACATAAACATGAGCTGTAAAGACAATGCATCATATCCCACTGCCAAGCTATGACGCAGACTAGATCGTAGTCGAAATACGAGACATGTCCCCAGTAAATATACGAAGCGAGCGTGAGGCTCTGAAAATGGATATTGGTGCTCTCCATTGGGTTGTGGAGATGCGTTGTCGTGTTCATATTTTCCTAATGAAGTATAGCCAGATGCTAATTCTGGAGTAAGTCGAGCCGACGGTACTTATTTGTGTATTTTCTATGCATCTCTCGCACTTGGCAACGCTTTCTTCCATTTTGGCCGACCTGTAAGTGTATGAGGTGTACATATCCCAGTCCCAGCCATTTCGCTTCGCAATTGCAGCCTAAAATAGCTTCGAAAAGGATCGAGTGGATCAGCGCTTGCGCATCCCGCTTGGATATGCCGAGTGCCATTGGCGCCGGCCCACTGTGAGATCTTGCTTATTCGCACATTTTGGAATTGTAGTAAGTTCCGAGGGCTGGGCTGGGATTATAAGCCGCTAAGTACAAAAGAATATGCCCATAGTCGGTGTAAATTACTCATTGTTTATACTTGCCCCTCTCTATAGACGATCTGTCTAGCCCTAATGTAGGCCCCATACTCCGCGATCTGGCCTCTTTCTCTTCTTCAAGCAATTGGCTTCTTTTCCACGGTCCGACCCGCGATGTTTCAGGACCTTAAAATGGAGGTCAAGTGTCTCCTGTTTCAATCCTCGTTTCAACAATTATAACACGCATTGCGCATTACGTACCCCCATATACGGGGCAAAGCCCCAAAGAGTACGTCGTTTCCTAATCGGGTAGCTTCTGCTTTCAAATCTTCACCTTCACATCTTCACATCTCCCCTTCTTCTCTCCTAACCCACATGTAATATTCCGTTCAGCCCTTCGCGGCTGCCAAATCCAACATGAAGCTTACTCCCAGATCCCAGACCGGGAACGACCTCCATGATTCTCGCAGAAGACCAAAACGACCTCGACGTTCCCCAATAAAGCCCGAGTCGTCGCCGGATGCGCCATACGGTTTCCCAAATATTTTAATGGGATCTACTCAGAATGACCTGGTCCCGCCCTCGGGCTTGCACCGCTTACCACGACCACCAAGCTTGCCGAATCCTCTTCCTCCCCCACCAGCTGCATGGCAGGGCGAACAGATGACCGAGTGGCTGAGGGCCAAAACTGAGGAAGATCGTCGCAAGCAGGCTGAGGAGAGGACGCAGCAGGAGAGTTTGATTTTGGAACAGCGCCGTGTTGAGCAGTCTATGCTGGCTGATTGTTTGAGGGCTGGTATGCCGCCGCATTTTCTTCCGTGGATTTTTGCGGCTTTTCAGCATACTTCTGCTGCCGCTCAGAGTGCTTCTACGGTGCCGCAGCTGAGTTCAAATATGGATTTTCAGCAGTGGTCGACAGCTACTAGAGCTGCTCAACCTCAATCTCAAGCTCAGCCTCAAGCCTTAGCTCAATCTCAACCGCCTCCTTTACCTTCTTTGTCTGCTCAAGCTCAACAGCAGAGCTATCAGGGACCCGTGTCTTCCATGAATCCGCCGCCGTCTCAGGCTCAGCAGCCAGCGCAAACGCCAGCACAGCCTGTACAGAAATCACCTAGTGAGTTAACATCCATTGTTTTCAATAAGAGTATACCAAGCAATCGCAGCCCAATTTGCCGCGGCTCGAGCTGTTGCGCAAAATGTTGCCAGCGTTGAAAATTCCAAGACCACATGTATGTTGCTCACACAACTGTCCAGGTTTCAGACAATCGTTCCCTATCATGGGCCCTGTCTCTCATCCGCCTCGATCCATGGAGCTCCAAGGCAAATCTCGGTCCTCTGGTGCGCGACACACGATTACTGCACGTCCTCATTTCCCACCTCTTCCTAATTGGGCCTGGGACTACCGACAGCCACCACCTCTCGCCTTCCACCACTGGACTCCGCCAGAGAGTCTGCAAGCTCAATCCCAATCGCAACCGCAGTCGCAATCACAGAATCCAGCAATCACAACCCATGATTCTGGTGCTCCTCCAAAACCACCTGCGTCCAACCTCCGTTCGGAGCAAAACTCCCCAGTCCAAAAACGGAAAGACGAGAGATCGCATCAAAAAGTGCCTCCCCCCTCGTCCCGTGTACTCGATGCTTCTACCAGGAGACAAGATTCAAGCGACAACTCGCGTGGAATTTGGTCGCAGCCTCATCGGCGCCAGATCAGTGATGTGTCTAGCACAGAAGGCGCTTGTGGTAATGACGAGGGCGAGTCTTCCGAGCAATTCTCTGAAATGACTCCAGCTATCACAGACTTATCCAGTATCCACAACACCCAGGACGTCAATGTGGGAAGTCGGAATGAGTCTTCCACACGTCAGTGAATTGATTCGACGACTACCCAGCTCGCTTGAAGCACTGGGCTTTTGTTACTCTCTTTTGTTTTCTGTCTGTCTCTTTTCTAATCATCCTTAGCTATTCAGCGTGTGAAGATTCTTTGTGGGTATAGATAGGTGCATCCTGTGAAAATGGGCCTGGTGTATATGTTAATGTTTATGCTTATGGATTGGGAGGGGTTTTGGGCTGTGTTTTTCGCCCGGCTTCAGGAGGCTTTGTATTCAAAGATACCAATTTCCATTGGACATTATTACTTTTATTCTACTCTACGACAGTACAGAAGTAAATGCTAACACAAAAATAGATATAAGGTTGAGGTATCAAAACTCTTGGCATGTCCGGTATGACATCGCCACACGTCATACCAGCCCTGATGATAATCCTATGGAAACCTGTAAAGCAACTCGGGGGCATCCTGGGGTTCTCCACATATAGGATGACTATTTCACTTCCAGCATTCTCCTTCCTACACTATCCGCCTACAACCACCACTCATTAACTACCAACCTCCAGCAATATCATATCATATCATCATCCATCCAAACCAACCAAAATGGCCACATTCATGCGCCTTCGAGGCAACCTCCAACCCAGAACCTCACTCCTCCGCCTAAACCAGATCATTTCTTCTTCCGTTGCCAGACCGACAACCCAAATTCAAACTCAAATCCAAAACCGAAGCTACGCCCAAAAACAAGACAAAGCACCACCCCCCTCAAGCCAAGACCAAGCCAAGCCCTCTCCAAACCATCCAATCCCCTCAAACAAAGCACAGCCAACCCTGAACGATGGGAACCAGTCACCGATTGCCGACGACGAGGGGAATTTGAAGGATGATTTGCCTGAGGATGTTAAGCGTCATAATGAGGAGGTGGAGGATCGTTACGATAGGCCTTATAATCATATGGGTGATAAGGGGTCTCCGGAGAATAACTTTGAGAATTAGGTTGGAGACGGGTTTGTTGGGGTATGTTGGATGCTAAATGCTGGGTGATGGCGTTGTCTTAAGGATTGAGGCATGGATTGGATCTGGGTCTTGTATTTCTATCATGTTTTATGTATCAAGTAGGTATAGCCACCATGAATTGAACAAATTGATTATGAGGAAATCATCAAGACATATTGAAGTATAAGTCGGAGAACGAATATGGCTTCGGAAGGGGTAAGTAGTAGCTCCCGGGGGTAGAAGAATATATTATCCCGTTGCAAAGTTTATTGATACTTCTCGGAACCTCGTGTGGTAAGACAAGGAAGGTATATCTACGTAAGTATTATCACGTCTACAGAGGATTAAGTTCGTAGAAAACCGATTGCTAAGAGTAGATCTAGATGTCTGTGTACAGTTTAAAACTATCCCATTATTGGTTCAAAACCAATCTCCAGCAAGAATCAGATAAAAAGAAAATTGAAAATGGCACAGTGCACTGTGAAGTTCCTCAGTTCCTCAGTTCCTCAGCTGACAGGCAGCTTGCCCAAGTCACCCTTTCCGTCCTTGATCCAATCCTTATCGACGAGATTCTCACGCTCAGCATAGAGCTGCTTGTAGGCACCACGGATGGTTCCGTCGCTGACGTGAGCAACCTGGGAGATCTCCTTGGCAGTCTTGCCATGACCCATCAGATACGAAGCCATGTAGATACAGGCCGCGACAATAGACAGGGGAGAACGTCCGGCCAAGGAGCCCGAGGCAGTGACACGGTCCGAGAGCGAAATGGAAACGCTGGTAACCTGGTATGGGAGATCGAGAAGGTTGCAGAAACGGTTGCAGAGGTCGCTGGGCTTAGTTGAGGTGGTGGCTGTGTAGCCCTCGTTGGGATCCGCGACACCACCGCTCTGGACGGTAGCGTTGTAGCGCTCGATGTTCTGAGAAGTGAAGAATTTCTCCAGAGCCTTGTAGATGCGGCCAATTTCCTTGCGGGTAACCTTGGTTACGGCGAAGATTTCGGTGAAAGTACGTGGGACCTTGCACTGACGGCATGCGATGAAGATGCACCCGGCAATGATGACATCCTGCGACTTTCCCTTGAATGCCTTGGCATCATCGACCACCTTGAAGAGATACTTGGCTGTATCAGCCACGGTCTTCTGGATGTTGAAGCCGTCACATAAAGCACCGATTTCCTTGTAAGCGGCCATGAGCTGCTTGTTCGCCTTCTCGTTCGACTGCTTGTTCTGCGCGCGGTACAGATCGCGGGCACGGTGGCCCGTGCCACCACTGGCGATGGTAGTCTCCAGCTGAGCGCCGTTGAGCAGAGGGTTCGAAGCGTCTCCGACACGGGAGGGATCATCGTTGTTCTGATCGTCGTTCGAGAATGTACGCCATTCGGAGTGCACATCGATCTCGCGGTCCGCGAGAACGAGACCGCAAGAGCCGCAAACGGTTTCGTGGGAGTCGGGGAATTCCAGGTTGGGAGGGACCTCCTTGCATTCTGGGCAGAGGAGGTGGGCGGAGAGGTTCTTCTTCCACGGAGCCGCGGCCTCAGCTTTCACGGCAGGAGTAGCCATCTTTTGCGATTTCAGAGAACTTTCGAATCTATCGGTGCGTCTTTTCGCGATGATTTTTGGGGTTCTGCGCAGGTTGTATTTGCGGTTATAATAGCGAAGAAAGAGCGGCGAATACAGCTTGGCGGCTGCAGAGCGTTAAAGAAAGAGGGCCACCTGTAAAGGACCTCTCAAGAGAGGAACAAAGACGAGAAAGCGATTTCTTCAAAGCCACTGTTTGCACAGTGATGTTAGTCCAAGATCTCAGAGCCAGTGCTTTGTGTCAAGGAACCATGGCAGAGTTGTATGGCTAAAGCCTCCAACAAAGCCATGCACAACCGGAACGAAGAGGTCATTGTTACCTTTTACCGGCTAGACCCCTCGGGGTTCGAAGAATTACCCCCCAGTCAGAACAGAGCCTTCACCAGTCTGCGCTTTCGAGTCGAAAGTGGAACAGAAACCTCGCCTCAGCTTGTCCAGCCGCGTTGAACCAGTCAAGGTCTCCGTAAGAAGGTCTCTCACGAAATGGGGACAGGCTGAGGATGAGAACACGAAGTCAAGGACCGGGGGAGATGGGAGTGACAACGAGAGTGAGGTGAAGAGAGTAGCAGAATGAATAAGAAGTCCGAATCGGGCTTGGTAAGCTAGTCACGTGGTACTAAATTGTCCCAAGTTGGCCGAGTGAGTCAACCATGTTTGTTCTCGATTGTTCTTTGTTCACGTCTATTGCTACTAGTCTATTCATTCATCAATACAACTAATAATAACAACACAGATGTCTGCGCTGTTATCGACTGGAAATGTGAAGAGATTCGGATGCACATGACCCGGCTGAGTCAGCGCCAAGCCACCTTTCCGAACAGAAGTCGTTTGAACCTCCAACTTCACGGAAAGACGGATCAGATCTATCCTTGAGAACCACCCCTCATCCCTCATCTACACCTCCTCAGTCAAGATGATGTCTCAGTCTCTCCGGGCCTCGGTGAGTCCTGATTGAATGATTTCCACCGTGTTAACCAGCAGCTAACGCGAACACAGCGCACCCTCTTCTCCCGTGCCTCTCGGCAACAGGTCTCGGTTGCTCGCCGCACCTTCCTGACCTCCGCCATCCGTCAGGGTATGTTTTCTCGATCGGGATAGTCGTTGCCTTTGTGCACATATCCCTCCATTGCCCTTGGATCGTGCAATCGCTGACCCGCATTTATCTTTAGCCGACCCCGTCCAGGACCTCTACCTCCGCGAGCTCAAGGCCTACAAGCCCATTCCCCTCAAGGCCAACGACGCTGATGAGCACGTCCACAAGTTCAGCGCTCCTCAGGCCCCCAAGTCTCCCGAGGAGGCCAACCTCGCCAGCGAACTCTCCGCCTACGAAGCCCAGCAGGTCGAGGTCGAGGGCCAGGCCGCCGCCGGTGAGGCCGCCCCCGCCGAGGAGAGCTGGTTCGAGGAGGAAGAGGAGGCTCCCGCCGCCCACTAAGCGCCCTTTATTTTTCTTTAGCAAGGTCTGGGGAGAATATGGGGGGACGGCTTGCAATGCCTGTGCTGCAACTAATGTGGCCGCCTCTCGGGTCCTGAAGCTTGTAAATTAGACCACATTTTGAAACGTTGAGAGTTCTTTTTCCTTTTTCTCGCCCATATCACATTCGCACTTCTGAGGAGCATGGCCCTAAACCGAGAGACTGGGTGGTCCTGAAGTCTGCTTTGGGTGATTATCAGATCTTCACACTGGGGTCATCTTGACGATCTTGTCATATCTGATATACGGTGCAAACAGTAGAGTCGGTGGCATTGATATTGGCATTGATATAGTTGGACAATATAAACAATGGACTGTTGACTTTTCTGATCACCACGTGGGGTAAACACTATTGCTCGTAGAGAATAGAGCCAAGCCAATCATGGCCTGAATGAATCTCTGGAAACAGTATAGGCTCGGACTCCTCTAATTTTCCATGACTTAACTTGTTAGAGTTTGGGAGCCGTCGTCGCCGATTTAGCCGGTAAGTACATGTACGAGTCAGTAACAACCCAACTTGAATCTTGGCTTGGAACAAGAGACGACTGATCTGCAATATATCTCAGAGGGGAGAAACCTTATGTATCGAGCTAGTCGTTGCAGGCACATATATATGGGCGTCGATATAAAAGTTATTATTGGCACTAATTCGAATCCACCGCTGCAACGGATAGATCAACACTTCATGAACAGATGTTCGCAAGAATTAAAGAGCGCTGCGCTTGATCTGACGTGTCAGCTCTCCACATTCCTGTGGAACGCCTCTCAGATGCAAGTGTGTCCCGTCCTCAAGTTGATATCCAGCGATATCCCTGCGAGGATCGACCGGGAAGGCTGGACATCAAGAGATGTGCAAGAGCAAAAAAAACAAGACTATTACAAAACTATTGCACTAGAATAGTCTCCACAGACGCTATTAAACTATTAAACTTGTTCGGTTCTTTCCCAAGCAGGGGGTGCCATGAACACATTGGCCAAGGGCTTGTGCAATGTGATCCATGGTGTGTCGGCATGGCACTTGTACCTGGAACTGAGTTGATACATCTGAGGGACCAAAAAATAAAGTATGGTATATCCGCGCCACGTATCAGGCTCTATTTAAGCGTTTTACGGTTCAGACCCTGAGCAGACACCATATCGGGAGTATGGCGTATAGATCGATACACCAACAACATGCCTCAAATCTTGTGGACAATTCGATTTCAAGGCAAGGCCACGCAAAACATGACATATTGAGAATGCGGGACAGATATAAAGTAATAGTGGCGGATGATGTATGAGAGGCAACATTCCTAGAACATTCCTGTACACGTAGAAAGAATGGGATACGAGCCCAAGAGTACAACACCACTCGGTGGATTATGCCATTTTATCTTCCGGAGAAGATTCGATTGGCTCCATCGCCTGTAGATACCTTGCAATTGGGGCTGAAAGTTAACTGCATCAAGGATTCGAGCTGACGGGGAAAGTGGAGTAGAAAACTCGAGTTGTCTCACTCTAAATGGAACGGGTTAATCTAAGAGAGAGATATGAATAATACAGAATTATACGTGGTTATGAGGTGCCCGGTTTGACTTATATCTCTTAACTTCCTCCCTTGGACCTCTTCCCTCCCTCACTTCCCTAACTCGGACCCTGCCTTGGGGAGATTCTCATAACCGCCGATCCGTTGCTCAATCGGCGTGGCGCCCTTCTAAGCGCATAGATCTACCTAATATTTGACAGCCTTCTTCTCACCCCCTGTCTTTGTATTTTATTTGCCCTATGTACGCCTGACTACTTCGGAATACATGTGCACAGAGGAGCTGGTCTCTTCTACGCCGAGCTTCCGCCGAGTCAAGGGGAAATGACCAGCTTATAACTCCCCATCACCCATTTCTCCCCCAAGACAATGTCTTCGCCCTCCCCCGAGACACCGACACCGACGCCCAGCTTCGCCGATGATCAGACCCCCGAGCTCTCTCGTGCCGCTAGCTATACCGACCTTCCAAGCCAGGCAACAACAGAACCCAGCCTGAGACGCACATTTTCCGACTATGCTGTGCCAGCGTTGTCCAAATCGCCAACCAAGGAAAGTGTGGCTGCGGGGAAGGACATCCTTCGGCGGACCTCTCAGCGCTCCAAGAACAAGCCCGCCACCGTCTCACGTTTCACATTGTCGTCATCAGAGGACTTGAAGGATTCAGAACCGCATGTGCCGGAAACGAAGGCTCCAGAGCCTGCTGTGCGGCCCTCGAAGAGCCGTTCAATGTCTGGGAGGATAGTCAGCCTGGCGAGGAAACCCTGGGGCTCTTCCTCTCGTTCCCCTTCTCCATCGGCCAAACGATCCAAGCAACAAGAACAATCTCCGACTCGATCCGGTCGAAAAACAGACGATGACCCGTCACAGCCTTCCCGCAGGCGAACGATTCTCTACAAACGCCCGCGTCGCCCCATGGTGGCTGTAGTGGCCAAGGGCCCTGAAGACAGCCCTGGCTCTCCTAGCAGCCCTTTGGGGAACTCTCTACAACACAAGTCATCGTTCGAAAAGTTCACAACGTCACTCTCAGTTTCTACACCGGTTTTACCACCGATGCCCAAGGGGGCCGCAGAAACGGCTGCGGCGTATGCGAACAGCGGCGGGGACCCCTCACGGAAAAAGGATGAGCTTTGGGGTGTCTTTCGTGGACTGGAGGCGGACTACCAGAAGTACGTAAGCCAGCGTACTTTTTGCTGCAATTACTGACCATATCTCAGGTTCCAATCCAAATCGAGCTCCTTGAAAGCGAACGTTATCCGGTCTTCACTCCTCCCTTTCCTCGGTCGTCATCATCTACACGCGTCCTGCAAGAACCTCCGACCAGAGGACTTGGATCGACGAGTCAATATTCTCAACAAGTGGTGGATTGGAATGCTGGAAATGCTCAATGGCAAGCATAATCAGTCGATTTCAGGGACAGACAGACCGGTGTTTCTTGAGGCTGTGGTGGGCATCATGACTCGACCGGAATGGCGCCTCCCATTTCCCATGGCACGGCAAAGCAGTGGGCCTACAGATTCGTTGAAGTATGCGTCAACTTCAGTGTCGGAAACCTCTGACGCTTCGGCCTCATCAGGATCGGACTTCCTGGTTGAATCGATCCACCACAACATTCGTAATATCTTTATTCAAAACTTGCTGTCTCAGATGGCATTTGTGGTTGAACGAATGTCTATGAGACATGCGCCAGCAAGCTTGGTGGCATTCTGCGGAAAGGCTTGCGCGTACGCCTTTTTCTTCTGCCCCGGAGTCCCGGACATCTTGGTTCGGTTGTGGTGCACTCCTCCTGGTATGTTTCGACGGATTCTAGTAGAATCGGCCGGATCTCGAACAGGAAACACGCGTGCATACACCCAAGAACTCGCCCTATGCTTCCCGCCTGCACTTCGTCCTCTCGCCTTCCACTCACAAGCACCCCTGTTGCGGTATCTACGACAGAAGCCAGAAGCGCCATTGAATACCACTGGTATTGCCTGGAATCGCCCATGGGTATCACGTTGGGCTGGGCGTGACACGGATTTGTTCTTTGTATTTGTTAAGTACATTCATATCTTGTATGCCGAGTACTTGCCCCCAGAAACCGAAAAGGTCAAGCGGATTCTGGCACCTGGGCTGTTGCTGGTTCATGCACAGCTTCTTTTTGTCCTGGAAGACACGATCTACAAGCAGTCGACACAGCAAGCACCTGATCCACATTCCGCTGCAGCGATCACATTTGATGATTTCATCGAGTCACCAGATGCTTCGGCTTCCACTCACCATCTTCGGAGTGGCAGCAACAGTCATCGGTCGATGGCAGAGAATCGTTTGATTATTCTACTCCGGGATTTCCTGTCAGAACAATCCGCGGAACCGAATCGTGCCAGATTGTTCTTTGCCGAATCCTTCTGTAGTATCATTAAAGCTGCTGCGCAGAAAATGTCCCTCTTTGACCATAATGCGTGTTTCTTGCTGTGTGATTTCCTCGAGGAGATCATTCCAATAATCACACGCTATGCTCAGTCAATCGAGACGGACTTGTTTGATTGGAGCTTCTGGCTTGAAGTCTGTCGACAAATGATGCAGAGCCACAACTCGCTCACCGAGGTCCGCGTATTCTCGTTCCTCTACTGTGTCTGGGGTACATGGACCGAGGCGGAAGAAAGGAAAGCATCTCTATGTCTGGACTTTTTGTTACACGAGCCGATATTCTATCACTATTTCAACCACTGGAGTCCAATGGTCCGAGCGTATTTCCACCGTCTGTTGTGCTGGCGGGTTGGACGGTTCAATACAGACCCATCGTCACTTGATTCGATGATATATGAGACTCTTTCAGACCGACTCCTGCGGGTTTGGGAGTATTACATTGGGTTTCAATCCAAGGCGGAAGAGGGAATGACCGCTCCTCTATCTTCTGCCCCCTGCACCCCGGCCCCAGGACGAAGGATTATCATCATTCGATGTGACAACCAACTCTCTCCGGCCAATCTGTTTGTTAGCTTTGACCGAGTCGTTCCACCAGTTCCTTCTGATCAGGTCATGTCGCACCGACGAAGTGGATCTTCAGACTCGCAGAACGGAGATGACCAACCCGCCAAAAAACGATGGGGCCTTCTCAAGGCCATGTTTGGCAGTTCCTCCAACACACGTTCTGGCGATGGTGATCTCAGTAGCAGGAGCTCTGAAGACTCTGAGACCAGTGGCACAGATCTGACCATAGTATCTGATAGCAAGTGTATGGATGATCATGAGCAGACTCCAACCAACAGCGTGGACGAGCCTGTCCGCCCTAAGACTCCGCATCAGCCATTCTTTTTCAAGTTCTCCTTGGAATGGATGGATCGGCCTCAATGGCCCACCAAGAACAAACGCCTCTTCACCCCCTGTCTCCCCGTGGCCTCTCAATTGCACGTCGAGCACCGGCGGTCTCCTTCAAAGTCAGACTATGACACAGCATCCGAGAACCCATCTCCATCGGACATCGAAAGCGAGACAACGACACCGGAGGACCCGGAGGACCCCATACACCCCGATGAAACACCCACACAACCCACCTCTGACACATGGCCAAGAACACCAACCACTAAAAACTCCCCTCTACCCGAACTCCCTTCTCAACCTTCCCACGACCACCTCGTGCCTAGCAAATATGCAGGCCGTGCCCTTGCAGAATGGGCTCACATAGTTTCGGAATGTGACAGCTTCTTCGCCCGCCGACGTGATGAAGGCGTCCCCACTGATCGCCTGGTGGAAACCCCAACACTAGGCGTTGAAAGCTTCCGCAAATAAACCAAATGCAACATGAGAGAACCAGCCTCTCCACACAACGACGGACCATTGATAGAAGTCTCGTGCATGTGCGACAGATGTCTTTTTTTCCTTCACCGTCTGGCTCTACCTCTTTTTTTTTTCATTTATTCTAGTTTCACACCTCATCGGGTGTGCATGGCGGTTCTGGAGCATAGGGAATAGGCGTTCAAATAGCCTGGTTTTTTTTTTTTTCTTTCTTTTTCCGGGGTGGTTTTCTTCTTCTGTGGGACTAGCGATATGCCCTAATCATAGTAAGATACAATTCACCATTAACAAATGATATTTCCATGAATGCATTAAGACGTAGATACAATCTAGATTTCTAAGTAGAGTTTCCAAATAGAAAGAAAGAGCAAGACAAAAGCAGAAACTCCTTCCCTACTTCTGTCCCTTCTCCTTCTCTTCCTCAACCCTCTCTTGAGCAAGTTGCTTATTTAACAAATAGAGCAAAGCCCCCTGAACGTCCTCCCTGTCCATAAATACCTCCACAAGGCGCACTCCACTCCCATTCGAAATCCGCTCATCAGCCAAAACCCCCTTCAACTCACCAACAGTACGTGCCTGGAACGTATTCGCAGCCGCATGCTCCTCCCCAGCCCCGAAATAAGTAAGCGCATGCGCATGTCTCCAGAACGGCACATCATTGTACGCCTGCTTGCGGCCGTGGATCACCCGCTCGATAGTGTAGCCATCATTATTAATAATGAAAATAACAATGTTGAGCTTCTCCCGGATCATGACGCTGATTTCCTGCGCGGTCATTTGGAGGCTTCCATCGCCGATGAAGAGAATTGTCTGTGCTTTGCTGATTGTGTTGGCGTTTTGCTCGCGTTGGGCCAGGGCTGTGCCTAGTGTTGCTGGGAGCATGAAGCCGATAGAGAGCCATGTTACGGCGCCGAAGAGGCGGGATTTGCTGGGTAGAGTGAAGTTTCGCCCGCCGTGGGCTGCTGTGCCGGTTTCTGTGAGGATTATGTCGCCTTCTTTGAAGAGCGGGTTCACTAGTGGGTAGAAGTTGGTTTGTCCTAGTGCATCTGTGTCTGGGGTGTTGGTGTCGATTGTGAGCTTGGTCTTTGGGGGGCCGGTTAATTTGACTAGTTTGGTTGAATCGAGGTTCTCGAGGATGTGCGAGAGGATGTTGCGTGCCGACATGTCGCGGAATGTCTCGTCTTTTATTTGGATGTTGCTTCCTGAGAATGTGATTGCCACTTTGGGCTTCGGCACTGTTGTGTAGAAGTAGCTGTTGGTGTCGCTGTAGTGTGGGCCGAATGTCAGGACTAGGTCTGCTTCTTCAAAGTATGCCTTTGCGGCATCGTCGCCGAACCCTCCTGCGTACAGGCCGTAGACATTGGGGAGTTGCTCGTCGGCTAGGCCCTTGCCGTAGACGGATGTCCAGGTTGGCCATCCAGTCGCCTTAATCAGAGCATCGAGCTGGTCGACGATGCCGAGGCCTGTGCTTTCTCCGTCGACCAAGATGAAGGGACGCTCTGCTTGGTAGATTCGCTCCAAGATTTGAGCTAGCACCTGAGGCTCCTGAGCCGAGCACGGAGGAGCTGGAACAGTGATCTTCGTTTTCAAGTTGGCAGCCGATACTAGCACGTCGGGCATATCATCCGGGACTTCAAGGTAAACAGGCTTGTTGTGAATCAATGCCTGCTGCAAGATCCAGTCGATCTTCTCCGGCGCCGTTGTGGAATCAACGATGCGGGATTGGGCAGCAGTGATATGTATCGACATAGCAGCAAAACGACGGTAATCTCCATCGGAGAAGGTATGGTGCATAAACGTGCGCGCATCCTGAAGCGGGCGCGGGGGCGTTCCGACGATGTGCACGACAGGCGTGTTCTCGGCATAAGCACCAGCAATACCATTCAACGCGGACAACTCGCCGACACCGTAGGTAGTGATCAAAGCGGCCAGGCCCTTGATACGGCCATATCCATCTGCCGCGTAGGCAGCGTTGAGCTCATTGCAGTTACCCACCCAGTGCAGGCCAGCCGGAGTGACGAAATCTAGTAGGCGGAGGTTGTAATCGCCAGGCACGCCAAACATTGACTCGACGCCCAGCTGGCGGAGTCGAGTGAAGAGGTAATCTCCGAGCTTGATCGTATCTTGAGCCATGATGAGAGAGTTGTGGTGAAGTTGAAAGGGTTCGGCAGTACTCCGTATTTATAGATGTTCTCTCCCCGCACCTTATCAATACGCCGACTCTCCGATTACTCCGCCGTTAGCCGCTCCCACTTTTACTCGGACTTTACTTCTACTCTAACCTCATGTCGTCGCGTCTGGCTGCCTGTGAGGCCTGTAGAAAGGCTAAATTGGCTTGCGATCATAAGCAGCCTGTTTGTACGCGATGCAGTACCACAAAGGGGATATGTATTTACAGAACCACGCCCTTTAAACGGAAGAGGGCTGAGAAGCATAGGTGAGTTTTATACTGGACTTGGCTGACTTCCGATTGACTAACTATACCGCAGCCTCGGTTCAGATGAATCACCATCCTTTAATCCAAGGCGCAATCCATATCCGAACCCCGGGTATCTTGGGTCGTCCAGCCATGCCGCCATCTTCAAGCATATCACTCCGGACGGAGACCACACCGGAGCTCACCAGGCTATACCAGAAGCCTTAAACTCGAGTTTATTTGGCGACAACCATATGGTGCTACAAGGTGCAGATGTTCTCAAACACCTTCTAACGACATACAACCTACCGGCCATGAGAGACCTCGTCATGTTCTGGCTAGCCAAAGGAGCTAATCTAGCACTAGCAGAGCCTTTCGTCGTGCAATGCACCCAGAGTGTGAGCCAACTGTTCACATATCATGACGAGAACTGGCATTTAGTCTATGCAAGACGTCTCTTGCATAATTCAGCCCAGCCGTTGCAATTCGATGAAACTTCCGACCTCGCTAGTTTTTCAGCCCAGTTGTTGGATCACAATTCTCGCTGGGAGACCCTGGGCATTTTCTTCGCGGCTGTCACCCGGGCTACCATCGACATTGCTTTCTTTCCTTCTCTATATACCACCGAGCAAGAACAGTATACCCTCAGACGATTATGCACGAAACTCTGCGACCTCGCCTTGGAGATATCCCTCTCACTGGACTGTCTAAACGACCTTCAACTGATAATGCAATACGAGAACTTCATCGTCCACTCCTACGTCGATGGAGACCAAAGTAAGCAAAAACCCACTCAGATCCTAAAATGTACACCCGACTAACACACATCAAGGTTACCACTCCTGGCGCAAACTAGGCGACGCAATATCCTCAACTTTCGCCCTGGGCTACCACGAAAACATAGAAGCAAAACCAGGCATACCAAAGTTCCTCAAGGAACTCCGCAAAGCCGCATTCGCACGAATCTACTCCGCAGACAAGAACATAGCAATCTTCCTCGGCCGCCCACCACGCATGAACAAACGTTTCTGCCATTTCCAAATCCCATCATGCCGAAACGCCCAAAACTCACTAGAGTGGACAGTCGACGCAGAAGCCGGATATGGAGCTGACACGCGCTGGTCAGCACTGTGTGCTTCACTCAAAGAGGAGATATGGGAGTTACTCCAAGACAAGCATGACCCAGGATGCGCACAGCGGGCGAGGTAAGAAAACTGTCACCCATCATCTATCATCTCCCAGAAGGAACATGAGCCTAAACTAACAACCACCACAGCATAATCCAAACCCAAGCAGCAACCCAATGGCAATCTCTCCCGCACCACTTCCGCCTAGAAACTAGCCTAAAACAATGCACGCAATCCCCCTTCGAACGAGACTTCATAGCAAGCGTTCGCCTCCACCACCTCCACGTCCTCTTCCTACACAGCCTCCTCCTCCTGAAATCACCAACAGAACCCTCAGCATCAATAATCTCCACAGCGGGGCAGATGCTCACACTCGTCGTTGAGATCATCCTGCTACGCGACCAACTTACAAACTCCGGCACAGGCCTAATCTGGAAAGTGGCGTACTACGGCCTCCCCGCTGCGGGGATTATGTTACTCGCCATGCTGAAGCAGTGTATTTCTAGATCTGCGCGCACGCGCGCTGTGCAGGACCTTAGTGTTTTTGTTGCTGAGGTGCAGATTGGGACTATTGTTCGGCCGGGTGATCCGAATTTCGCGTTGCTCGAGAAGGCTACGCGGACTATTCAGCGGTTTTTGGATTCGGGGGCGGATTCGGGGGTTGGGGGTGGTGAGGGTGTTGGTGCTGTTGGGGAGGGGGCTGATGATGAGTGGGCTGGGGGGTTAGGGGTTGATTTGTGGGATTTTGAGGCGGGCTTTTGGCAGTGTTTGGCGGATCATCCTTTTTTGGGGGGAATTGAGTCTGGGTTGCCTAGTGTGTGACTGTAATTTGTTGGATATATGTATGATACCCCGGAAGAGATTTTGGAAGGAGGGAAGGTAGTGTCAGCAGACATAGGGCTATTGGCTGATATGCTGTGCGCTTGAAGGACAGAGTAGACAATGCAATTGGGTCTAACCCGTAATAAGCTAAATACGAAACGTGATATCTTCCCATATGAACGCCAATCCCTCGGGACAAGGATGAGAAAATAGGTACATGTAAGAAAAGCGACTGAAAGAACCGACAAAATTGACATCCACCAAATTCGGTATGAGCTGACATGCATGGTTGGTATAGGCGTATGAGGCATCCCGACAAGGGGTCGGGCTGTACAGTGCTTGTATAGAACATGAAGAAAGCAATCCGAGGCGTCAGGCATGGCTGAGATATTGCAAAGAGTAATGAAGGCCGAGAGGGGCTGAGGTAAAATACATTAGTGAAGCAGCTTGTCGCTGGCGGTATGAATGATGTTGGCGACCCGGTTGATCCAGTATTGGGTCAGTGTCCAATCTCCCGTGTTGATACTATCCACAATAGCAGGGAAGAGGGCCGCGTCGTAGCCGGACCACAGCTCTGGACCGAAGATGACGTGTCGGAATTGTGTGCGGTTGGGGACCTGGGTTTATTA